CTGGTTCGATTCCCGGCTGCTCCCCGGCCACCGGAGGAGGGTCCCACATGGCGCGCAGACCTCTCCTGCCGCCCGCTGCTCCCCTCAGCAGTGTACTTCGGTCCTTCTGCCTGCTCTGCTCCCCGCTCTGGCCCTGGTGAATTCTCTCACCCTCCCACGCTTCTGACTGTACCCAGTGCATGTATAAACAAAAACAAACGAACAAACAAATAAATAAATAAATAAAAACATGCCTCTATTAAAAAAAAAAAATCTACTTTGGTGAAGGTTTCTTTAAAAAAAAAAATAAATAAAAATAAAACTTTTCCCCACACAGGCGGATTGCTAGACTGAAATCTAGGTGGGTGGGGTGGGAGAATTCAGTAGCAGTCTACTTAATCTTCATAAAACCCCGTGTTTTGAATTGATTTCATCATTCTGTAGAGGAGGAAGCAAACTGAGGTGTGGGGCATGGTTCCCCAAGGCATGGAGGCAAGCAGTGGCGAGAATAGGTTGAATGTGTTTTACCTGAAAAATATGTTGCTAGGCAGGAAGGCTTGTTAGGCAAGCCCAAAAGAGTTGGCTTAGCAAACCTATGGGAAAAGCAAAGACATTTTGTTTTGTTGTTGTGATTTTAATTTTCCTAAGATCTAGAAAGACTTGTTAGGTCACTAAGAAAGTACAGAACACACTGGGGACCAGCCCTGCCTGCACCCTGTACCTGGAGGTGGAACCCCGCAGTGCAGTGAGCAGAAGGGGTGGGCAGCGAGAGCAAGACCTGGTGTGGCTTCTGCCTCTCATTAGAGCACTTTGATTGGGTCTGCCAATGAGGGTGAAGAGCGAGGATGGAGAAACAGGGCCGATTTCCAAGTCTTCGTTCTCCTAATCTTGCCTTCTACCTCTGGGGAGGCTGTGCAGTGTGGGGGGGGGAGAGGAACACAGGCCAGGGGCTGGCTGGCCGGGCCCAGAACCTCATTTAGGGCCATGTAAACTTTCTATGTCGTTTCACATTTAAAAATGGGCATAAAGTAGCAATACCGAATTCACAGGCCTGTTGGAGGATTAAATGATAGTCCTACCTCTAAGGGACGTGAGGCAGCAGCTGGCACAGAAAGCACTTGTGCTGATTATCTGCTGCAGTGGCTCCTGGAGGTCTTGGTCTCCATAACGAGAGAGGGCTCCATTAACTTGGTGATGAGTGTGACTGGACCCTCGAAAGGGGAACTGTGTTTATGTTGTAGCTTACAGTGCTTTCTTTGAAGTTTGGAGGGAATTTTTATCAGTTAACATTGACTGCTGTAAAAAAATGAACCCCCCCAAATGTCAGTGACTTTATACAACACCTACTTCTTGCTGTGTTAAGGGTTCAGTGTGGGGGTCCTGCTGCTACAGCTGGCTTTCCTCTCTGTGGCCAATTCAAAGACCAAGGCTCGCTCCTTCTTGTCCCACTGTCTCCAAGGGCCAGAGCCCTGGCTTCCAGCTGGTGGGAGAGGAAGCAGAGAGAATGCTCTGTCCTTGGCCACTCATTTCCTCAGGGAGAGGTCAAGTTTACCTGCACTCAAGTTGTGTGGGTGAGAATGTCGTCTGGAGTCCGCATCTAGCGTCTGCCCCGTGCTGACAACTGCTCACCATGAAGTGGGGCAGAATGGTTACTAGTTCTGCCACAGCAGACGCCGCGGCAGAGGCTCCAGCTGAGCGCACTTGCCCAGAATCACACACTGACCCGCGGAGAACTGGACTTTAGCTCTTTCTCACAGCTCCCAGACTCTCCCACACCCTCTCCGTCCTGCATCTTGCTCTCTCTCCTGTTGGTGCTACAGGCTGTGTGGTCAAGTCTAAGGGGCTTCCCAAGGCTTAAGTGTGCCGGGCTCCTGGCATTTAGAAGTTCACTGATTCCCAACCATAGCAGGAGCGCTGGGTGGAGGGTTCTAAAACTCAGCCCCATCCTAGGGACACTGTTCAGCCCTATTTATCACTGGACCCTATTTATCACAGCCCTATTTATCACTGTATGCCCCAAATCACAACCTTGCATATCAGCTGGCCAGGGTGCCTCTAACAGTGTCACAGATGGGGCGGCTTAAACACTTACTTAGTTCAAGAAGCCAGAAAAATCCAAGATTGAAGTGTTGGCAGCTTGGCTGCCTCAGGGCTGAGAAAATCTGTTCCAGGCCTCACCTCTAGCTTCTTGTAGTTTGCTGGCTATCTGTGGGACTCCTTGGCTTATAGAGTGATCTCAATCTCTGCGTTCATCCCTGTGTGCAGATCTATGTACAAATTTCCCCTTCTTCTAAGGCCACCAGTCATACCAGATTAGGGGTCCACCCTGTCCCACTGTGACCACACCCTAACTTAGCTAATTCCATCTGTATTTAGTGTAATAGGACAACCTGCTCCAAATAAGGTCACACTCCGACAGAGGATTAGGACAGCAACAAGTGAATCTGGGGGCACAGTTCAATCCTTAACACTCCACTACCTTCGTGGCTTTCAATAAGCCAGTGAATTCCATAATAGTGTACCCCAAGTACAAACAAATATGCATCAAAATAAGTCATAGTGGACAGTATAATTTAATGAGACACGAGTATTCTGAGGGATACCTCTCTGCACAGACGTTTTGATCTCAGGCTCACTGCTGCGACAGTGTCGGCCAACTTCTCAGCAGGAAATAAACTGGAGCTAAGAGGTGGCCAAACTCCATGAACCTTCAGTAGGACAGACTGCTTTGACTAAGGAACCTTGACGAGGCCACCTCACATTTCACACAACTGATTATTGATCTTGTAGCTTTGGGATAGGACACAACCCACCCGTTTCTTCTGATTCTGTGTAGGTAAATTTCTCCATTAGCTTCTGACTTTGTAGCTTTAACGCGAGGGATCTAGAAGTAGTTTCCTGCTGAATGTGCCCGACACCCAAGCATCCTGATGTGCTGTTACAGCCAAGTAATTGTCAGGTTATTAGCTGCTAAGTTATGTATGAGAATCAGTTGTAGTGATGCGTTCACAGGGGAAGGACAGTCAGGACTCCAGAGTGCTTCCCACAGTGAATATGGGAAATTCTGTGTCCAAAGTAAACTGCTGGAAAATGGCGTCCTGTTTCTCAGAGCCTAACACCCCAGTATAAGATGAAAGTTGATGTATATCCATGTTTCAGCTTTATAATATTGATGTGGTTTTTGGAGTCAGTGGGTTTGGAGTGCAGGGTCCTTGGGTTCACTCTGGGAAAGGTGTCACCAAAGCTCCCGTTTCGGTGGCATGCAGCGAGTTTCCCAGGTGAGTTTCTCCACAAGACAGAGGCCTTAGTTATATTTAAAGAGCAGGTTTATTAGGGAGAGGGAACAAGTTTGCTGAGAGAGGCCTGCATGGTCACGGGAGGGCAGCCTTGAGGAGAGCGGCCTCCACTGAGGGAGGTCAGTGAAGAGAAGCCCTGACATGGTACAGGGCACGGACCCGCAGGATGGCTGCGGCCCTGCAGAGGGACAGAGAGTTGGTGAAAAGAAACACCTGCATAGGCACAGGTGGGCAGAAGAACACAGGTGCCAAGTGTCAGTGCAGATTGCACTGATAGTCTTCTCTTTGGGAGGGGCTCATTCCTTTATGGAGTGGCCTATTTGCTGCTGATGTTGGATAACTATGCAGAATCTGAATGGGAGCAGAGATTTCACAATGGGCCCAATCTCTATTTACTTTTGGGTCTGTGCTCTGGACACTCCCTACAGCAGTCTGATACCTGCTTGGGTCTTATGCCTTGTGATAAGGCACTGGCGCCTAAGGGTCTTGATTTCTACAGCTGGTAATGGTCATGTTAATCCCCTCTACCCCCACCTCCTTGTGTGAGTCAGGTTTTAATCTTGTGATGTCTCCTTTTGGTTTTCCATTGTTTTTCCTCCATCAGTATCGCAGAAAAAACGCTAATTTACTATCCTAGATGCTTTCACATGGATTATCTTAGTCGTCACAAAAGTCCTATATGAGATAAGTGGCATTATACTAATTTTCACAGACGAGCAAAGTGGAAAAGTAGAACTCTAAAACTCTTTCCAGGGTATTCACTCCTAGAGTACTTGAAATTTATGACTTAATTTTTTTCTGATGCTTGTTTTAGAAACTAAGGTGTTACTTAATTTCTGACTTGCTTAGCCAGCACACTAAACAGGGCGGACACATCAGATTACTTGATTGACTACAGCAAGTGCTTGCATGCCCTTTGCAAGAAAGTTTTCACGTTCTTCTTTCGCGGTGTGGTATCAAGTCTTTCCCACAAATCCATCTTTAATCGGGCCGTGGGAATACTTAGTGTGCACCAGCATGTCACATGATGGAGGTAGAAAGCATTTTCCAATAATGCTACAGAGGGGTCACAAACACAATGAGAAGCTAAGAAAAGTGAGAGAAGATCTTGGCTCAGGCTGACTTAATTACCTCCGCTCAGAGCCTGGATCTGTCCTGAGGCGGCGGGGGTGCCTGGCGCTCCTCCCTGGGCCCTAGAGCCTTTTCCAGCGCACCCCCACTCCCTTTGGATCCCATCCTATCAACTGCCCTTTGGCAAAACATCCCTTTTCTTTTCTCTTAAAAACTATGTATTTACATATATTTGTGTGTAAATGTAAGCTGAGAAGCAAAACACGAGCCTCCCACCCGCGCAGAGCTCCCTCCAGATGCCCGGCTCGAGAATTTTCACCCTCCCCGCCCCATCCCCCACGGCCTCGTCGCCCCAACTGGCGAGAGGAAGAAACTGGAAGCAGCTGGGCCCTGGCTGGGCTTCCCGCGCCCTCAGAGCCCCCGCGGGCTGGCGTTTACGGAAACCACCTCGACCGTGCGAAAACAAACCCCCCGCCGCCTGCACCCGCCCGGCGCTCAGCCGGGAAGATGGCGGCAGCCCCGCCCCCTGAGCGCCCAGGCGTGGAGGGTCGCGGAGGGAGCTGCGCAAGCGCGACGCGCCGGCGTGGGCGGCTCAGGCGAGTGGCGTCATCGCGCGGCGCGAGCCTGGCGCCTTAGACTCGCGCGCGGAGCCAGGCGGCTGTGGCGGAGGCGCTTCGGCAGCATGAGTGGCCGCGGGCTTTTGTGGCGCACGGCGGCGGCGGCGCGTTCCTGGCGGGCTCTGGCGGCCTTTACCGCCAGCCGGCGCCCGCTGTCCGCCAGCCCTCGGAGCCGAGCCTTCGCCAAGGAGCTCTTCCTGGGCAAAATCGAGAAGGTAACGCCGACCCCGGCGACGCTTGCGCTCTGCGCCCTTAGCAGGCAGGGCTGGGGGCGAACTTTGTCAGCGTGCCCGCGCCTGCCGGGCCGTACCCCCCGGGGCCGAGCCGTGCTAAAACTCGACTCCCACAAGGACCTTTCCCGGGCAGGAGACCCTGCGAATCTGTGGTTTTGACAAGCGTTCCAGCTAATGCTTGTCAGGTCAGTTTGGGAAACCCAAGGCGAGACGATGCAACCCGCAACTTATCGGTCTGGCCTGGAAATGTTTGGGCTTCCTCTCGGATTCCAGCGGCCCTTCGGCTTCCACAGCTGAGTCCCATTCCTTCACCTGCCATTCAGGGTCCTTAAAAGTCTGTCTCCAAGGTCACTCCCACACTGTCTTCCACCAGTGGCACAACCCAGCTGTACCTTAATAACGGGTATTAAGTACTCAACCTCTTACAGTTGGAAGACTTGGATTTGACCTTGGCTCTGTGACTTTGCTCCACAGTTCTTTTAGCCTGTAAATAGAACCAGTGACATGTCCTGCTTCTCTGATGTGTTGTAAAACCCCAGGGCGAGATGTAGCACAGGGGAAATGTTTTTTCAAAGTGTAAGGTACTGTGCAGATGCACGAGGATGCAGAATGGATAGTTAGGGCTGACTTCAACATTTACTAGTCTTTTTGTTTGTTTAAGATTTATTTATTTATGCATACAAGAGCTGGGGTACAGGCCAGAGGTGTGGGGTGAGAGGATTCGCCAGAGACAGAGCCGGGAACAGAACAGGCAGAGTGACGGAAATACACTGCTGAGGGGAGCTGTGGGCGAGTCAGGAGAGGTCTGCTGTGCCATGTGAGTAGCTCCTTGGCCCGGGATCCAACTGGTGTTACAGTGCCTGCGGATAGCTTCATAGGTTGCACTTTAACCCCCTGCACCACCAGGGAGGCCCAGCATTTACTAGTCTTGTGACTTTGGGGTAGTCACTTCACCTCCCTGTACCTCAGTGTGCTGGTCTACAAAATAAAAACAATAACCTTACTCTGCCTCCCAAAGGTGCTGTGCAAACCAAAGAAACTATTTGTGTAAATTTATTTGAATTTGACTGAAGCATTAGCAACACTGTTACTGGAGGAGTTTCTCCTTGGTTTCTCTTTAGAACTTTCCTTAAAGGTTGTAAGGTATTACAAAAGCAGAAATAGAGACCATTAAGAGTTGTTTGCCTTACTAGGAAATGCAAAACTAGTTCTTTTTATGTTTGGGAAACCATTTTATCCAGAATCAGGGGTGTGTGGCACTGTGTCCTGGGCCCTTGTGCCTCCCAGCACATAGATGAAGAAAGAACCCAAATCCTGTTTCTCTTTCTCCAAGCCTCTGGCACCACCTCCGCATCTCATGCCCACCTGACTCATCTGTTTCACTGAGAAAATAACATGTAGTCAAATGAGAACTTCCACCACCATATTTACCCCCTGCTTCCCACATCTGTGCCCATAAGCTCTACATTCTATTACCTTGGATGAACTGTTTGTTTGCAAAGGCCAACCGCATCAATAGACCCCCTGCCTCCTTATTTGCTCAAGGGCACTGATCCACTAATTCTCTTTCCTCATCTTCAGCCTCAGCTGTTCCTGCTCAGCTGCATCTTAAACTTATCATTCAGACTTTTGTCCTTACAATACAAACTGCTTTCATTGACACTGCTCCAGTGTCAATTCTGGTGGTCTCTTCTCCATCCATCACTGGCATTATACACGATTTATAACTCCTTACTTCTAAAACAAACATTCTCTCCTGGTTTTTCTGATTGACTAATTCTTCTCAGTATTGCTTGCTGGTTTCCTCCTTGACACCTGTGATGCTGTGGTCTGCAGCCATCACAGTTGGAGTCTTCTAAGGCCCAGTCTGTAGACCTCTTTCCATCCATAACTCCACCTTTGATGATCTGGTTTAGTATTGTGGCTTTAAATACCAGCAATATCCTGATGCCTTGTATTTATTTCTCGAGCTGACATTTCTCTCCTGAACTACAGACTTTTTATGTCCACCTTTCTACACAAAATCTCTACTTAGGTGTCTGACATCTCAGATTTAGCATATCCAGAACTGAGATCCTGATCTCCCCTTTAAGACCCTGCCCCTCCTTGGTATTCTTTATAGTTGATGGTGACTCTTGCTCCACTTTTTCAGACTGAACTAGTGAAGTCATTTTTGATGCCCCTTATTCTCATAATCCACGTCTAATCTGATGGTAAACCCTGTTTCCTCTACCTTCTGGTTCTATTTAGAATCTGACGCCTTGTAAACACCTTCACCGCTGCTACCCTGATTGAGGCCAAGATCAGGTCTCAGCATTCCTGGGGTTTGAACTGGAAAGTGGTGACTGAGGTGCTTAAAATCACAATAGAAGGGACTTTAAGGTCATCTGGGCCAGTAGTTGTCACACAGTAACTCTCATTTGACTACTAGCTGTTCACAGAGGTGCCCAGGGCTCCTGCAGGGGCCATTGGGGAGTTTTCAGTGGGAGGAATTTAGGTGGCCTCTCTACTCATCTCTACCTTCAACCAGAGCAACTTGACTGTTAACCTGGTTTGTGTATTTTGTTTCTGCACTAGATTTATTTGAGAAGCAGGTCCCACTGATAAAAAAATTGAAAATAGCTAATAGAAATTGAACCCGGACTTATTTGGTTTTTGTAACGTTAGTATCAGATGCACCTGAGATTTCTCCCCATGGCAACTGTCCTTGGTTGCAGTTGAGGGCCAGCTACCTACCAGCCTGTTGTCTTTTCTTAACTGATGTGCTCACAGTACAGAATAATCTTATTGTCATCTTCCAGCAGAGTTCATTGCGCAGAGCCCACTGGGGAGCCAGTGACATGGTGATGGCTGAACCTTTGTATTTTCTTTCTTTCTTTTTTTTTTTTTAAGATTTGTTTATTTATACAAGAACCGGGGTACAGGTCAGAGGCACTGGAGGGTGAGAGAATTCACCAGAGACAGAGACAATAATCTTACTTTGCCCCCGAAAAGTGCTGTGCATACGGACCAAAGACACTGCTGAGGGGAGCAGCGGGCAAGGCAGGAGAGGTCTGGTTTCTCCCTGGCTGGCTGCGGACAGCTTCACAGTGCAGCGCTCAACCCGCTGCACCACCAGGGAGGCCCAGAACCTTTGTGTTTTCAACTAAGGCGCTGCCTTTGTTCTGAGAGGCTGCAAAATGATGAGTCTCAGCATATTTTCCTTCTAGATCATTTAAGTTCCTTTAAGTCAGCTGTCACTTTTGGATAAGGACCCACCTATAAGATTTGAGTCATGGGGCGTGAGAGGAGAAAATAGATTTGGGAGGGAGCAAATTACTAGAGTAGGTAGGCTTTGGTGGCTGACTAGAAATACCAGGTCTGGAGGGAAAATTGAGGACCTCAGCTTTGAAGGCTTTCTTGAGACACATGGTGGGAGCTGGCAGAGTGTGACCTAGGACATCAGTCCTCAGCAGCTGTCGGTGCAACTCCAAATAGTCATGTCATACTGGCAGCTATTGGGTAACCGGAGCCCAAAAAGACAGAGGGTCTGTGGACATAGCCAGAGGCTTCCAGGCAATATCTAGTCATGGCCCAGTGGGGCAGTCAGAAACAATGGCCACTCTCCATTTTGAGACAGACTTGAAACTACGTGATATCCTGGTCCGGAAGTGGAGACTAGAACAGAGGTGATGTCTGACACAAGCACTTGCAGTGATTTCATGTTCCCAGACACACTGTCTCTTTAGAGCCTCACAGTTCTCTGCTGAGGTATCATCAGTAACAGGAGAGAAACATACTGAGAACAACTGTGTGACTTGTCCAAGGCTAAGTTCAGAGCCAAGCACCCTGTCACCTTGTGTGTAACAGCACAAGGAACAGATGTCATGGAACAGGAGGGACAGCGGCTCACGTGCCCTGCCGAATAGGGACCTGGCAAGATGTCGGACCTTGGAACCAGTCTGAACTTGCAACGTAACTAGTATAAACTTTTATATTTTAGTAAAGAGCTTTCACATCATTAGTTACACAGTGAGCTTCACAATGTCTTTCAGTAAATATTACCTGCTTGCTGCAGGAGAGAAAGTGGGGATGTGGAGAGGTGAAGATATTTGGCTTAGGGCACGCAATTCATAAGCAGCAGGTCAAGGGACAGAACCCAGGATGTGGTGGTGCTGGCCTGGAGCTCTTTGTTAGAGAACAGTCATTGTCACGTGTGTTACTGACAAAGGAAAGTTAATCACAATCAGAACTAAGCCTGGAGTTGGAGGGAGGTGTGTCTAGGTGGTGGGATTTCAGACATGGTTCCTGTGTCTTCAGCACCTTCTGGGCTCAGCCTTCAGTGAATAACACCCCTGCCTACCAGATTCAGATTCTAGCAAATCTGCTTCCCTTTTGACTGATAATACCACTGTGGAAGGTTGCTAAAAATTAAAATTTTATTAAATATTTATCTTTAGAAAGAAGTTTTCCCATTTCCTGAAGTTCGCCAAGATGAACTTAATGAAATCAATCAGTTTGTGGGACCAGTAGAAAAATTCTTCACTGAAGAAGGTATGTATGATTTTTTTTTTTAATCATTACTGAGTTCCAGTTCAAGAGCAATTGTTGATATTTACATTAGAAGTAATATATGTAGAGGAAGCATTCTTGAGTGCCATAAATCATGGAGAAATAGTATCTGTTGATAATGTTTTCCTTTAGGGATCATCCCAATCACTCTTTTTTTTTTTTTTTTTTTTCATCCCAATCACTCTTTGCTTATAAGTCGTCTTCAGAGCTGCTCAGTGTATTTGTGGCACAGGCCCACTGTCAAATATTTCTGGACTGTTGCAGACATTTTTATAAACGACAGTAAAAGTGGACAACTCGAAAAGTGAAATGATAAAAACCAAGGACATAAAAACAAAAACAAAAACAAAAAAACAACCAAGGACAATAACCAGCGATGTTGTGCTTGACTGTGTGGCAATGTAAAACTGCTGTGCATGTTCCTAAAGGCTTCCTCTGCCCCTGTCCTCGCCCTGCTGTGAACCAGGAATGGTTCATGGGCCGGTAGCAACCAGCAGAAGGCAGGTTGAGGGCACCTGTGTAGACTGCAACCCTCCCTTGGAGTGGTCAGCCGGTCCTTTGCAGGGCAGCCACCTCTGCCTGAGGGAGCTCCCTGGGGAAGGAGTTCAGTGAGGACAGTTTGACCGCAGTGTTTCTCCAACATGGAGGACCCTGCTAGTGGTAATTTTTCAAGATAAAATTCTTGCTGGGCTAACCAGGTGAAATTGAGCACATTCTGAATGACCATGATGAGACAGTTTGCAGTGTAATCACTTTGTTTACTTTTATTTGTATAACTTATATTTTGTTTAATCAAGATATTTCTTCTTGTCAGTGGACTCTCGAAAAATTGACCGGGATGGAAAAATCCCAAATGAAACTTTAGAAGGATTGAAGAGCCTGGGACTTTTTGGGATTCAAGTCCCGGAAGAATACGGTAAGTTAAGGCAATTGCCACTCCATTGGTTTGGCTCTTAAGAAATTACATTTGTCCCAAAAAGGATTATGTTCTGGAAAGGTGACCTTTAAATGAGGCATGTCCAAAATCAAACTGTAAAACTACTGGAATTCATCAAAACATCCACTGGGCCAAATTTGGGGTGGCTGTCTGGTGACTGACTGGTTTGGGACTCTGAGGCGGGAAGCTTTGTTAAGTTCTGTGCCTTCTTGGAGATGGCTAAGGACCACGGCAGGACATTGTTCCTTGGGTTCAGGCGAGTGTGTGCTACCTCATATCTGAACCACTCATTTCATGTCATCTCTACTGTAAAACCCTTTGGTCTCTGTGGTACAAGATTGGCTCCAGAGTGACAAGTGCTTTGTGTGGTTTGGGCAGCACTTGGCGAGAGCAGAGGTGTTGGGGCCCACCAGGTCTGGCTTCTCATCTCCGTGCAAAGGAGTAAGGTGTACAGCATAGACCCAAGGTACGTTCAGTGGGGGAATTTGACCAGTGTGGACCTTCGAGCAGGCCCTTGATCCTTTGAACTGTCCACGAAATGTTGGAGTATTGTGGTTATATTTTCAACTCCCAAGTGAAAACCTTGCTTTTGCCCCAGGATCCAGTGTCATCTTGCCTTGGTAGATTTCTAGGTCAGTCACTACAGCTTGTCTCAATTTTTGCATAATCTGAAGTTGGTCATCTCAGTTTTGTGTGTATGTGTATGTGGTGAAAAGAGGACTTAGGAAATGTTGCAACAGGACATGTGTGTGTGCCTGTGCATGCACACTCACGCTCACAAAGATGTGCACACATATGTATGTGTATCATTTATTTTCACTCTCAGGCTCCTTTCACATAGTCACAGAAGTGATTCTAGGCCTTTACCCTGTCTCTGTACCCGCTGTCCTCAGAGCCCTGACCTTGCCCCTTTGCTGGGGCTGGTCCAGGTTCGGCCATCCTTGAATCAGGTGTTTGAGGGTAAGAGCTGTCGGGGGTGTTTTCAGAGCTGGCCGTGTTTTGTGACTGGGAGCTGGGTGTTTGCAGGTGTCCTGTTCTCCCAGCCAGGTCTTGAGTTAGGTTTTGCATAGCAAGTCACGGAAGCCAGGAGCTCTTATTGAAGTTCTGGTTTTTCTCCAGAGACTAAAGTTAGGCCCCGCCCTCCCCCACAGCCAAGGGTGGGTGGCCCTCCTGTCTGTAGAGTAAGTGACCATGGGTACGTACACCCAGCCTGGTGCTGGGTGAATCTGAGACAGAATGTGAAAATTTAGTACAAATTTGGTGTGATGGCCAATCTTCGTTTATGTTTATTGCAATATTTGAAGCTGTTAAGTGATGCTATCTTGTCTTCCTTTGAAAATGCAGCTCCCATTTCCACATGTGGAAAACTGCTGCTCATCGGTCTGCTGCTGCCCCTAGTGGTGGGACATGGTAGCACAGCTTCTGCAGGGAAAGTGCAAATCTTGTTTCTAAACAAAAATCTGAACTTTGAGATGATTGACCTCTGTCCAGACATGAGACTTGTCAGTGTTGCAACTCACAAGTGGCAGAGGAGTTGTCTGCCATAATGTGCAGGCGTGTCAATATTAGATAACAGAAAGAAGGTGGTAGGGGTGGGGTTGTGGAGAGCAGTGTTTGGGCTGTTCAGGTGAAAAAAATAAGTGCTTGGAGAAAACAAGCAGCAGAAGAAAGCGGCTCGTGAGAGCCAGGCTGGTGATGTGCATTTCCCCACAAGGTTTTTTGTTTTTTTTTTTTTTGGTGGGACCCTTGCTGGCGGCCGGGGAGCGAACTGGCGCTGCAGAGGCTGCGGGCAGCCTCGCAGCCCAGTGCTCAACCGCTGCGCCACCAGGGGAGGCCCCCCACAAGGTCATTTTAAAATGACTTCTTGGGCCTCCCCGCTGGTGCAGCTGTTGAGCTCTGGGTTGCGAAGCTGCCCGCAGCCTCTGTGGCGCCGGTTCTATCCCCGGCTGTTCCCCGGCCACTGGAGGAGGGTCCCACGTGGCGCGCAGACCTCTCCTGCCGCCCGCTGCTCCCGTCAGCAGTGTACTTCGGTCCTTCTGCCTGCTCTGCTCCCCGCTCTGGCTCTGGTGAATTCTCTCACCCTCCCGCGCTTCTGACTGTACCCAGTGCATGTATAAACAAACAAACAAGTAAATAAATAAATAAATGAAACATGCCTCTATAAAAAAAAAAAAGAAAGAAAGAAAGTTGTATTCTTTCCTTTAAAAAAAAAAATGACTTCTTGACGAAAAGTACTTAGTTTTCCTCTGAATAATTTCTGTGTAAAATTAGGACATGCCAGCGCACATGTGTGCGTGTGTGTGTGCGTGTGTGGGGGTAGGTATGAGACTACAACTCTCCACCATACACTCTGGTGTGACGACACTTTCTCTTCAGGAGGATGCATAGACACATACTTTGGGATTAATATATTTTCTTTTTTCCAATCCTTATTTGGGAAATTGAGGTAACAGCAACCTATGTGCCCAAAAGAGTTTTGGGAAATGTTCCCAGCCTGGAACATTCTAAAGATGCATGGGGAAACCCCTGTTCTGAAAAACAGGTCTTTCCACTGAGTCTGAACTTCCTCCCCAAGGCCCCTGTGCACTGGCCTGCCATGTGTGCCTCCTTCCTACCTCTAACTCCTCCCTCACCAGCAGTCTCCACCTACTTGTCGCCTTTCCCATATGATTGCTGACCCCACCATCTTTTTTTTTTTCCCCAACCTAACTCAGTATATGAAACAAGAGAAAAAGTGTGTTGACTGAAACAGGGATGGGGTTTAGGAGAGCTAGGGGGGTGGTGCCATCACCAGAGCCAGGAGACTATACCCAGCCCAGTCACTGTGCCCCCTCCAGGGACACCCTTCCCAGTGATGCTGTGCGATGACTCCAGGGACAGTACCCCAACCCCAAGTTTAGGGCCCAGTTCTGCTGCTTGTTGGCTCCAAGACCTTAGACCACACTTTGTCATTTCTAAGATGCACATGAAAATGGATTAAAGAATTAGATATAAGACCTGAAACCAAAAATATACAGAAGAAAATATAGGCAAAACACTACATGACATACATCTCAGTAACATCTTTGAAGATGCATCACCTAAAGATAGTGAAGGAAAAGATGAACAGCTGGGACTATATCAAATTAAAGAGTTTCTGTACAGCAAAAGAGACTAACCAAAACAAAGAGACACCCCACTGACTGGGAGAAAATTTTTGCACACCATACCACTGATAAGGGACTGCTCAGTGAAATAAGTCAGAAGGAAAAAGAAAAAAAACAGATGGTTTCGCTTATAGGAGGAATATAGGGCATCAAGGAGGAAAAATGATAACAAAAAAAACCCAACAAAACAAAACCAGACAACTATAAATCAGTGATATTCTACAGGGGAGGGGGAAGGAAAGGGATCAAAACGAGGGCTAGAAGAGCACAAGGGACTATGGTGATGGTGGACAGGTGAATTGGTGGTGGAAATTCTGTGGGGACTACACCACCTGAGAAAAGAAAGCAAACATTGTAAGAATAAAAAAAGCAAACATCTCCCCTCGTGGCGCAGGCGGTTGAGCGCAGTGCTGTGAAGCTGTTCGCAGCCTCTATAGTGTGGTTCGATCCTGGCCAGCCGGTGAGGGTCCCACATGGCAAGCAGACCTCTCCTGTCTCGCCCGCTGCTCCCCTCAGCAGTGTATTTCGTCAGTCTGCCTGTTCTCCCTGCTCTATCTCTGGTGAATCCTCTCACCCTCCTGCGCATCTGGCCTGTACCCCAGTTCTTGTATAAATAAATAAAATCTTTTAAAAGAATAAACATAAATTTCAAAAAAGAATAACAACTTTTAAAAATTATTTGATACAGGTTATGATAAACGACTATGTATACAGCTATTTTGTATTTTTTTTTTTAAAGATTTATTTATGCATACAAGAGCTGGGGTACAGGTCAGAGGTGTGGGGGATGAGAGGATTCACCAGACAGAGTGGGGAGCAGAACAGGTGGATCGACTGAAACACACTGCTGAAGGGAGCAGTGGGTGAGTCAGGACAGGTCTGCTGTGCCATGTGGGTAGCTCCCTGGCTGGGGATCGAACTCGTTCTGCAGTGGCTGCGGGCAGCTTCATAGTGCTGAGACTTAACCCCTGTGCCACCAGGGAGGCCCCATGTATTGTTATATTTTTATATAAGGCATGTATCTACATGTGCCTCTATACCTAGAAATCTGGAAGCATACTTTCTGGGTGATAAGTGATTTCTTTGAAGAAACAGCAAGGAAGACACTCAGTGGTGTGATGGGTGTTTTTGTTTCCATTGTACCCATCTGTACTGAGGCTTGACAAGTGACAATCAAGTGCACCTTTGTAGTAATAGGAAACAGGGCAGCCCTGCACCTTTCCTGGGAGGGGAGTGGGACTGGACTCTAAGTGGAGCTGATCTCTCTCTCCTCTAGGTGGCCTGGGTCTCTCCAACACCATGTATGCGCGGCTCGGAGAGATCATCAGCCTGGACGGGTCGATCAGCGTGATGCTGGCCGCACACCAAGCTATTGGCCTCAAGGTCAGGTATCTTGGGTTTTCATCGAATCTCTCTGAAGATCTGTTGGCATCCATGGGTGGGTGGCAGGGAGGTAGGAGACATGTTCGCTTACTCAGAAGTGCATGCGGCTCGCTGCCTTGGGGTCTCGGAGGGGACACTGGCTGATCTTGCAGCCTCGTCCTGCAGTGCCTCCTTCGGCACACCCTCTGCAGCCACCCAGCCCTGGGTCCCCATACAGACAGCCGCCTTTAGGTGGCACAGTTCTGTCCCTTTGCATCCCCTTGTCCTCGTTGTCCTTTTTCCATCATTCAAGCCCCGATGAGATAAGGGCTGCCTCCATGGAGGCTGCCTCACCCGGGGCTGGAGTGAGCCTCCCCTCCTGAGCAGGGAGCACGCTGCCCACTCAGCTTGCCTTGGCTTCTATGCTGAGCACAGACAACCCACGTAATGGGACTGTCACTGGAGTGGGGTGACCTAGACCTGCCCTAAAACATATCAAGTCCAGTGGGCAGCGAACTCCTGGCGCACCCTCCCAGAGAGTGGGCCTGTCCCTGGGGCAGACTGAGCACAGTCGGTGCTCTCATTGACCAGCCCCTGCCTTAGCCAGCAGGGTTCTCTTCCTCGCTCTTGGCGCTTCGCCATCCATACTGCCCCTCCAGTGAGCGGGGTCACCCCAGTGTGTGGTGATGAGGTGGAGGCTCAGGAAGGGATATCCCCACAAAGGGCCACCCAGAAGAAAATGGGGGAGCAGCAATGAAGTGCCCTGTGTCTGACCCCAAAGTGCCTCCAGGCCCAGGCTGCCCTGAACGTGCACTCGAGGGTGACTCCCGGCCACTCCCCAGCTGTCTCCTCTCGCAGTGTTTGTTCAGAAGGACCCCGTTCTGCAGCACATCTCAGCTGAGATCTGTCTCTGTGTTTGGTTTAGGGTATCATCCTGGCTGGCAGCGAGGAGCAGAAGGCCAAATACCTGCCCAAATTGGCGTGTGGGGAGCACATCGCCGCCTTCTGCCTGACAGAGCCCGCCAGGTCTGCCCCTTGCCCGATGCCTTTGTCACAGCGGCCTGGCTTCTCCCGGGCATCAGTGGTTCTGTCAAAGGGGTGTTGCTGTCAAGTCCTCTCTTCCCTGAAATCTTCCCAAGAGTCTCCTCCACACCTTTCTTGCCATTTCCATGTTCTCTTTACCTTATTTCTCTGCCCCAGTGAGACTTGCAAAAATGTACCTTAAGCTGCGGTATCATGTAAGTGATTTTCTTAGGCTTCCAAGGGACTTACAGAGTGTGTTGGGTGAGTGGGGTGGTCCCTGTTTTCCAGACTAGGGACTGAGGGTCAGTGCGGTTGTGTGATCACCCCCAGGCCATGGGGCACAGACATAACAGCTGGTGTAGGACTCAGGGCTTCTCATGGCAACTTCTTTGTACACCTCTGGTTCCCTTGGTTTTTTTTTTTTTTTAAAGATTTATTTATTTATTTATACAAGCACTGGGTACAGTCAGAAGCGCGGGAGGGTGAGAGAATTCACCAGAGCCAGAGCAGGGAGCAGAGCAGGCAGAAGGACCAAAGTACACTGCTGAGGGGAGCAGCGGGCGGCAGGAGAGGTCTGCGCGCCATGTGGGACCCTCCTCCGGTGGCCGGGAAGCAGCCGGCGATCAAACCGGTGCTGCAGAGGCTGCGGGCAGCTTCGCAGCCCAGCGCTCAACCACTGTGCCACCGGGGAGGCCCTGGTTCCCTTGGGAAGTTAGGGTGTTCTGCCTTCCTATAGGAGCTCAGGTGGGCCTGTTGTGAGCATACATCTCTATGTTTAGACCTAAAACCAAGATTTCACTGCTCCCCTTCCCCCCATTGCAATAAGGCAGGGGTTGGCCAAATCCTGTCGGCCTCCTATTTTGTACGTCAGGTTTCACTGGAGTGCACACATGTACGTGCAGGCGGTCAGCGGCTGTCCTGCCGCAGCCATTAGGTGGGAGAGTTGGGACACAGACATCCTGTGTGTGACTCCTTACTTTAAAACTGCCAGCTTCCCTGTATTAAGTAGAAACCTCATTTTTTGGCCCTCAGAGCCTCCTTATTCCCACCATTATTTTCCTCACCCGCATATCTGTCTTGGCAGTGGGAGTGACGCAGCCTCCATCAGCACCAGGGCCACGCTGAGTGAAGACGGGAAGCACTACATCCTCAACGGTTCCAAGGTGAGCTCCATGGCCGGGGCCTTCGCCGCCGCCCCGACACATTCCACGCCCCAGGAATCACAAAGGCCATACCCGGCATCTCTCTTCCACTCTTGGGTGGCGCCCACTCTCCTTTTGGGGGTGAAAAAATGATTCAAAGAGTTCAGCTACTGGCCAACGTCCTATGCCAGGACTGGATGGGAACCAAGGCGTCTGGCTCCAGAGTCTGCGTGCCCCCACAGTGCCAGCCACCCCGAGCTGCTTCAGACATATACAGACAAATATAGGGGCTTAGCGCAGGGAGCTTCCTCGTGCTCGAGAGGGTGTGGCAGCTTGCGGCTGGTGTGTCTTCTGTCAGCACTGCTCCCTCAGGGTCACGTCCATACTGCTCAGCAGGGTCTCTGCACGGTTATACTATTTTAAAACCATAATACCACATTTAATAATGGGTAATTTCTTGCTCTCCAGTCAGCATTCAGATTTCCCTAATTGTGTTATATTTTGTTTTTTAGTTTGCTTGAATCAAGAGCCAAATAAGTTCTGTGCTTTGTAGTCTGTCAAGCAGTCTCTTTCCTGCTGGCCTTTCTTCCACCCCTTTTTGCTTCTGTCTGCCCCGCCCCCACCTTAGAGTCGGAGCTGTCTTAGTGTTGTTGCTGCTCTTGTGTGTGCACGTGCATCTACCCCCCCCCCACACACACACCCTTGCTCTGGGCGGGCAGGATGGGGGCTGGTGACGGTGCCTTCTGCTCAGGCGGGCGTGGCTTCCCTGGAGCCAAGGGCTCACAGCCTGGCCTGAAGTTCCACGGGTAGCTGGAGCGTCTGTTGGAACAGGTGGCGCTGAGAGGTGGCACCTAATGCTCTGGTTTCTCCACAGCCCCTGTTCTTTCCGTCCTCAGGTCTGGATCACCAATGGAGGACTGGCCAATATCTTTACAGTGTTTGCAAAAACCAAGATTGAAGATTCTGATGGCTCTGGAAAAGACAAAATCACAGCCTTCATCGTAGAAAGAGACTTTGGCGGAGTCACCAACGGGAAACCTGAGGATAAGCTGGGCATCCGCGGCTCCGACAGTAAGTGTGTGTGCGCGCGCACGAGGGCCCTCAGCCCTGTCCAGCGGGATGACATCGATGGTTTGGGCTCCATGTGAGCATCCAGTGACATGAAGAATGCCACCGCAACGCTCGTGACGAGTTCTTTGAAATGATGTCGGTGGCCCAGCCTTGGCGGGCTAGGAAGTGGGCTGACTTGCCCGTCTAGCTCAGGGCAGTACAAACGCCCTGCTTCGTTCCTTCTCTGACTTCTCATGCGTCAGACTTGTCCTGAAGGCTGCCGCGGACAGGACAGCTGATGAAGTTCTCTGCCATTAACAGACTCGGAGTCAAAATGAATTTGCAGTGGGGGGAGGCTGGGGAGAGCCGTCGAGAGCAGCTCTGCCTCTCTCCCTGCCCAAACTTTTATTTTATTTATTTATTTATTGATAAAGATTTATTTATTTATTTATTTATATATACAAGCACTGGGTACAGTCAGAAGCGCAGGAGGGTGAGAGAATTCACCAGAGCCAGAGCGGGGAGCAGAGCAGGAAGGAGGACCGAAGTACACTGCTGAGGGGAGCAGCGGGCGGCAGGAGAGGTCTGCGTGCCATGTGGGACCCTCCTCCGGTGGCCGGGGAGCAGCCGGGGATCGAAGCGGCACTGCAGAGGCTGCGGGCAGCTTCGCAACCCAGCGCTCAACCGCTGCGCCACCGGGGAGGCCCAAGCCTAAACTTTTATTGAAGATAGGAACAAAGGAACAAGAAAATAGCACACAATTGTGTTTTTGCTTATACAGATTAATAAGTTCCTTAGCCAAAACTGTAAAAGAACAAAAGATAAGTTTTGCAGATGACCCAAAAAATGGCTTCTGTATTGATGGCTTCTCCGGTATAAAAAAAAAAAAGCAAAGGGGAGCTGACCATCAGGCATGTCAGCAGGTCGCTTTAGCAGCACGCAGAGCCTGACAGAGCTTGCCTCAACCCAGAAACCCAGACTGGTCTTTCTTGCGTATATTGCAGGGACCCTCTGAATCTTTTGCTGATTTCCGGGATAGACTGACGAAAGTCATCAGACGTCAGGTTACTCACAGGCGGCCGACTCCTTGATGAAGCAGTTGGCATGGGACAGTGCAGATAGCCATGTTGAGAAAGCGCTGGCCCCTGGAAGACTAACGAGCCTAACTGATTATACCCGACCTGCCCAGAACGGTGGCACACACAGAATATAAACGGGGTTTTTGCAGCAGGCTCCCAACAGGTCACCCTAGGGAAGCCTGGCTCACCCCTCAGTAAGAACACCACCTGCCCCCCGGCGCCCACTTTTGTCACTGCGCCCTGTTCATTCCACCCGTAGCTCTGACCACATAATTACATCACCTTGTCTGCATTCCTAACCCATGTCAGCTCCGCGTGGCTGGGAACCCGGGCTCTTGTGCTGTCCTGTCAGTAGATTGGGAATGGATGGATGGATGGATGAAGCGCATTTCTTGCGTGCAGGTCAAGTGCAAAGTGGTTTGCATTGGTCGGGTGTGGTCTTAAACTTCCTGTGTTTCAGCCTGTGAGGTCCATTTTGAGAACACCAGGGTGCCTGTCGAAAACGTCCTTGGAGAGGTTGGAGGCGGATTTAAGGTGAGTGGCCAGTAGCAGCCCCAGTGAGTGCCCTGTGGTTTCAGGGGCGCAGTTTGTTGGCCCCCAACTTTCTGTCCTGACCAGCCTGCGCTTGCCAAGTGCACCTGGGATTCTCCGAGAGGAGCTCAGCTCCAGGAGAGGGCTGTGTGGTTCCCGCCGGGTCTCCACCTTCATCTCCCACCTGGTTTGCCTGGAGGAACGCGGGTTCCTCCCTCTAGCGGGTGTGTGAGAAGGCCGCAGGCACTGGGGACTGGCGTCCTGACCCTAGTTGTTTTTCCCTTGGAGTCACTTAGTTGTTTTGTCTTTTCTGTGAACTTGTTTGAGGGGTAACTCAGGTAGCCTAGAATGGACCGTTTTCAAACGTGCACTTTAGTGGCTTCTCGTACCTCCACTGGCAGCCGTCCCACGATGTGGGGCCAGGACATTCCCGGCACCCCCAAGAGAAATACCAACCCTCTGATTCCCCTCTCCCTTCCCCTTCCTGTTTCCATGGATTCGCCTATTTTGAACGCATGACACAGTGGAGTCAATGCGTGGTCTTTTGTGTCTGACTCTTCACGTCACAACGTGTGTTCGAGGTTCCGCTGTGTGGAAGCAGCTGCCACTTCACTGGCGGCTGACAGTCGGCTGCGCGGCTGGGTCACCTCTGCGTTCATCACCTGGTGGGTGCCGGGAGTTTCCACTTTTGGGCTATCACCAGTGATGCGGCTGTGAATAGTCACGTACAAGTTTTTGTGTGAACACTGGAATTTCAGTTCATCGTGGCCTGATTTGTGCTTCCTTCGTGACTGATCATGTTCAACATCAAAAACAAAAGTACTCGCACTGAAGCGTTCCTGAGCCGCTTCCCCACAGCTGGTGCCAGCAGACTGCGGTGCTGGCGTCAGTGCCACGGGGCGTTTCTCCTAGTGACGCGACTGTGCCCACTACCGGCTCCTAGGACAGGAGGCTCCGCTGTTCACAGCTGCCTCCTCGGAGCCACGCTGCGTGGTGCTTGTGCTTGTGCGGACGGCGGCACGCTGGTCTGATTATTTCCTGAGTTTAAACGCCGCCAGTGAGCTGCGCGTGTCCGGAGGTGTGGTCGTGCTGTGTTCTTGATCCCTGTTGTCACGCTGCCTGCTGGGAAGTTGGGCAGGGTCCGTTTCCCCAGAAGCGTGTGGGAATGCTTCCCCGCAGCCTTCCCAGCACTGCGCCCTGGAAGCTCCGTTGTGTGAGGTGAAGCGTGATTGTCTGGCTATGCAAAGAAAATAGCCCGTTTCAAAAAAATTACTAGTGCGGTTGCTTGGCAGCCTGGTTGCCAAAAAGTGTGATACACTCAAGCGATTCCAGAGACCCGAAATGGATCAAAGGCAATGCGAAACTGGCGCGCTGACGTGACATTAGAGGAAGAGTCTGGGGCAATCAGGCGTGGTCAGCCGTCAGGCCCCACAGAGACGAGGACAGGTGTGCCGGGTTGTTGGAAGGACAGCGTCTAGCTTGCTCTGGGAAGTTGTGATCTAGAATATCGTTGTGGGAATTGTAGAAGAAACTTGTATGGAGAAGGCGATAAGCTGGCAAGTGCTGGGGGCAGAAAGCAGGCCGTTAGCTCTGCTCCCCGCAGCCCCGTTCAGGTTGCCTGGCGGCGCCCTGTGAGTTGTGTGCTTCGTTGATCCAGGCCGCCTGTCAGCGGCGTTCAGCGCACGGCAGCTCGGGACTAGAAGGTGAGCTTGTAGAACAGCCACGGAGTTCACGGACTGCTGTGGGCTGCTAGCCCCAGTGCTGCCCTCCAGGCCTCCCAGGGGGCCAGCATGGGCTTGAGCAGAGGCCTGGTAGCGCACAGCCACCCTTGGGGGGCTCTTGCCCTTTCGGCCCTGTGCCCTTCTGTCCTGAAGGGCCTGGCACCCCTCTCTACCTGTCCCCCTGGACGAGTGCCCTCCCCTTAGTCTCCCCATCACACCGCTGGCCCCCTGCTGTCTAGTTGGGTTTGTCTCCACCCCGTTGGGCCCAGAAGGGAAGGCCGCCTTGGATCTGGACTGCCCAGCACTGGGGAGGCAGAGCGCGGGCAGCAGCACCCGCCTGTCTCGTCACCAGCTGCTGACCGCCACGCGCATGCAGTAGGAAGACGGGCTGGAGGAGGGGAGCTGACGGTCACCCCGTGACAACGCTGGCGTTGGGGGGTGGAGGATCATGGCGGAACATAGCCGGGTGCCCTGGGGTGTAGGGAGAGAGCACAGGCCTGGATGTTAGCAGATGCTTGCGTGTGACCTGGCGTGAGCACCTCATCCTCTGAACCGGGGGTTCTTATCTGTAAGATGAGGATCCTGATGCTGAAGCTTGGCCGGAGTCTCCACGACTTGCGAGGTGCGCCATGTGCTTGTTCCTTTCCACTCTTCCCAGGACTGGAATCGGTCTGTTGTTTTGGAGTGATGGTGTCCGTGGCTTGTGGCGGGGGGGCGCACAAGGATGTGTGTGAGGCCCCTGCACTGACGGGTGCCTCATTTTGGGGTATGGGAACTGTGTTCTGGTCCCGTGAGGACTGGCGCGGCGGGAGAGCAGCTCGCTGAGGAGCAGACTGGCAGCGAGCCTCCCTCCTCCCGCAGGTGGCCATGAACATCCTCAACAGCGGGCGCTTCAGCCTGGGCACCGCCGTGGCCGGCATGCTGAAGAAACTGATCGGTGGGTGAGTCAGGGACGGGGCCCTCGGGGTGCGGGGCCTCTCGCCCAGCTTCAGCCCCCAGCCCGGAGGCTGTGCTGAGCCAGGCCACCGGGAAAAACGGCCAGAAGTTTAGAATCGGGTCTTCAGTGTAGACCAGAAAACATCCTCAGTCTGTCTGCAGAGCGTAGCTAGTAACCGTGATCCCCCACTGGGCCTGCTCACCCACAGAGCCGGGGAGAGGGGCGTAGGCGTTGTCAGAGGCCCGGTGGGGCTGCTGCTCCGACAGCGAAAGGCTGCCGGGTCCAGATAAACACTAGCGCTCGTTCCCCCAAGACTGTTTTGTGGGTGACTGCACCGTAGAGGGAGCCCTGGCCCCTTGGCCTCTGGATCCCCGCTTTGGTCGGTAGGTTACCTGAGCCAAGGTCAGCCTTTGCCACGCGAGTCACAGCGCCCTCTAGTGTACTTGTTGGGCATGAAACGCCATTACCACCCTCACATGGTGAGGCGATTGCCCGAGCTCTGCCTGCAGGGGCGGGGGGGTCCGGGGAGACTTACCACCACGCTCAGGAAGCGCCTCCTTCAGGACAAGGTGGGGACAGGAATGCTTTTGGGGCTCTTACCTCCGTGTTACAGATGAGGGGGCCGAGGCCCAGAGGGTAAGGCCATGCACCAGGGCCTAAAAGCTGACCCTGTCCAACTCCACCCTCAGGACTCGTCTCGTTGCTGAGCTGCTCCCAGGCCCGGCAGCCCTCTGGGCCTCTGCTCTCCCATCTGGAATGCTCTGTGCAAGAGTCTTCAAGCAGAGGGGTGGGAGTGGGGAAAGCTCATGATCAGCCTGTCCTGATGTAGAACCTCGAATGAGACACCAACCCAGAAATGCGTGATGTGGGACCAGTTTGTCAGTGGCTCATGCCTGTGCAGACCCAGAGAAAGCCCGTGCAGGGGAGGGTCGGGCACTGCCGAGCTCACTTGGGTTCCTTCAGGGCCAGGCCCTGACACTGTTCTGTTCACAACTACACACCCTGAGGTTCCAGACCAGCGCTTTCAAATCAGCCTGCCCTAATGGCTAGGACAGGTGGGGCCTGCTCCCACCTCTGTCAAGAAGCTTCTGGGGGCCTGGCCTGTGCCAGCACCTTGAACAGGCATCTCATGGAGTCTGCAGCAACTCTGGGGTCCATAGTGTGTCATTCAGAGGATGAAATCTTGACCACTAGCTGGTTTAAAAAAATGTTGGATTCGAGAAGCTAGAAGGGGGTCGGGGGCTCTTTTTCAGGCCTTTGGCCTCACCTCAGTACACCCAGTTCTCTCAGCTGCTGCCTGAGCATTTGGACAAAGATGATGATAACCTTAGGAAATCATTTCAGACCAACCAGAAAATTTGTGCTGCTGTGCTCTTCCCCAGGAATGACTGCTGAGTATGCCTGCACGAGGAAGCAGTTCAACAAGACCCTCAGTGAATTCGGACTGATTCAGGTACTAAAAGTCAGGGGTGCCTCATTTGTTGACTGCATTTTGTGGGCATTGAGGCGTGGGGTCAGTCCTGGTGAGCCTCGTGTGGCGATTCAGCTCCCTCTTGTTGCTGCCTGGGCCGGTCTCTCCTGGGCTGTGCAACTTTGGACTTTGCTGTGCCAGTTGGCATTGCTGAGTCTCGGCACATGCAGATTGTTTGTGTTTTTCCTGAACTCTCCAGGAAAAGTTTGCCCTGATGGCCCAGAAGACTTACGTCATGGAAAGCATGGCCTACCTCACGGCAGGGATGCTGGACCGGCCTGGCTTTCCCGACTGCTCCATCGAGGCTGCCATGGTGAAGGTAACAGCTTAGCCAGAAAGCTGGCACTGAGGCTTCTTCGCGGCCTTTTAGACCTCGTCACTCTCGCCACCTTCCTCTGTTCCTCAGCTTATAGGGCAGCTTGTCACTGACCCAGTGCTTGTGACATGCCCACCCTGTGCCAGGCACAGCCCTAGCACAGAGCTGGGGAAACCAGCATAGCACGGGGCACGCAGCAAGCACCATGCGCAGTTGGTGTCAGGTTGTAGACAGTCTCCCCAGTGCCATGTGTGCCAAGATGTCGGTGGGTGGTTGCAAAGGACAATCCAGACCACGTGTTGTAACTTCCATGGCTGCCAGTGCCTGTCGGGATAAAGCGCAGCTAGCCTCGTGGGAAGGACTGTCTTACGCCGAGTCTGTGGGCTTTCTGCTTTTGGTGTCAAAACTCCCTTCAGTGAAATCTTGGTTAGCCAGTACCTTCTGGGCTTCTGTCTTGTTCGGGGAGGGCAGTGTCACTTTCCTGTTACAGAATTGAGAGCCCTGCTTCTAGTCCTACTGGTCTCTCGAATTAAACTCTCAGGGCGGCGAGAGGCCTGACAGCCGGGGAAGTGAACGTCTGGCGTCGACGGGTGTGCCTGGGAGGTGAGGGGGCGGTGTCATCAGTCCTGTGTGGAGCCTTTGTACGTCGGCTGGTGTGTTTGCTCAGTCTCATCTCTCATTACCTTCACCATCGTCACACACGCCCTCTTCCAGAAACAGCCCAGAGCTGAGCACAGCCCTGCCTTTGCCATGTTCACACGTGGACACATAAACCGGCCCCTGGGGCCAGGTGTCCAGCCAAGTAGTTCAAGTGCAGAGGAGTGCGCTGCCTGCAAACGGGCCTGGGCCGGCTTCCGGTACGGGTGAATCAACATCTGAGGCAGGCTCTAAAAGGACGGGTTTCTCCGGGCATGGAAGGGCGAGGTCGGGGTCACCCTGTGAGACTGGGCCAGGCGCCTCCAAAAACTGGGTTCGCCACACGGAGCCTCCTCTCCACCCCCAGCTGCCCATCCCTGAGGCTGAGGTCCTCGTTTTGGAAGGACCCCGTCCCCGTGCTGACCTTGCCGTTGGGTCTGTGGCAGGTGTTCAGCTCAGAGGCGGCCTGGCAGTGCGTGAGCGAGGCACTGCAGATCCTGGGGGGCTCTGGCTACACGAAGGAGTATCCGTATGAGCGCATGCTGCGTGACGCCCGCATCTTGCTCATCTTTGAGGTGAGTGCCCTGCTCCGGAGCCCTTGACCCCGAGCCATGCTGCCTGGCGCCCACTCTCACCCACGCCCTTGCAACCCCGTGCTGGGCCTGGGCTCTGCTCCTGGGTGTCCTCTACTGACGCAGCTCCACAGGCCCCTGTGAGGGCTTTGGGCACTTCACTCTTGCTGCTGCGTGTGGGCCCCGGCCTGGAGAGCAAGCTCAGGGAGCATGTGCTAGGTGGCTGGGGAACTTGGGGAGACTGGAGCACCTCTGGGTGCTCGTCATCTGTGCAGCCTGACGGAGGATTCCTGCAGCAGAGCTGCACCGCTGGCTGCAGGGGCTGGTATCTCGTGAGACAACACGTGGCCCTTGGCCATGGCATAAAGGCTTCGGCTGATAAGCAGATGAATCGGGGGCAAAGGTGAGCAGCACCGGAGGTTTCCAAGTGAGGGAGGACTTGCTTGCTTGTGTTCTAGGCGATTCCCCGAGGCTAATGTGGGGGCAGGTTGGAGGCGATGGCTTGTGGGAGGCTTTTAGAATGGGTGTGGACTGTGCAGGGTGAAGACCTGACACCAGGGTCAGGCTTGGCGTCTGAGCATTGGGTGAGGTTCCCAAAGGCACCCTGAAACTGGCTGCCCTTGGGGCGCAGCTTCTGAGCTCCTCCCCAGAGGAAGACCGTGCCGGCTGCTTTGGTTGCCATGCGCACCCCCGAGGCCCAGCTCTGCAGTCTCCCTCAGTGGGCATACAGGACCCGGCAGCCTGAGGGCACTAGGATCCTGGGCCCCTGGGTGGGTCATGGCACTGCTGCCCTGGGCTCGCCCCTACTGAGGCCCCATCTCCGTCTTGGCACGTTTGCGCATCTGGCCGGGTGGGGCAGGCAGCAAGGGGCTCGGTGGCTGTGGGGTGCAGAGCCCCCCGGGTGAAGCAGATGCACCCATCTGGACACTGCTTGGCGGGGGTGCGAGGGCCTGGGCTAGCCTGGAGGCCTGCACCCTGCCCCTTCCTTTCCTGCAAGTCCCGCTGTCTGTGGTGCCCGTCTGGCCGGATGGTCGCGCATCCGCCCTCCAGCACCGCGTCTTCCATGGACACCACTGCCAGCCTGTGCACAGGGGGAGGGGGCCCTCTGGGCATTGACCCTGACATGGGGGCGCTGCCAGCCGCACCTCCTCTGTGGTCGTGGCTTCCCAGAGGACTGGCCTAGGCCAGCACGTGAGGCACCTGGATGTCAGCCCCCACCCCCCCACACACACGCACACCGGAAGCGCTTTCTCCCGTTACAAAGACGCGAGGCTTTAGGGAGCGGAAGGAAGTAAGGGTCCTTGTACGGCTGGCCTTGGAGAGGCGGGAAGTTGCAGAAGGACACCACAGCCATCTGGCTAGCTCCCCACTTGTCCCCTGCGTGTTGCCCTGACCCCTGTGGTCACAGCCTTGCTCTCAGCTGCTTCCGAAGCAGTGACTTCCTCAGTGCAGGTAAGCGGGCAGTGGCAGGCCTTTGACCTCCATTCTTCTGACCACAGGGAACCAACGAGATTCTCCGGATGTACATCGCCCTGACAGGCCTGCAGCATGCTGGACGAGTCCTGACGGCAAGGGTCAAGTAGGTGCCGTTCTCGCTGGGCATCTCAGGTCCCACCTGCCAGTAGGGGCCCATTCTGGGCAGCAGCAGAAGGGGCTGCCCTGCCCTGGGAATGGTGCAGACTAGAGGGGTGGGGGGTGAGGGCCTTAAAAGCCAGGTCCAGAGCTTGGCCCTCCCCAGCAGGTACTGCCAGCTGCCCCGGAAGCCCTCTTCCCTAGCAGCTCCCATGGGGAGCTGAGTTTTCAGAACCTGAGGCAAGAGAGGTGACTCTAACGGGCCAGACTTTGAGAGCCACAGAGCCTTGAGAGCCTGATCCTGGCACCAGAGCAATTAGAAATCTCTGCCGGAGCCTAAGGATGGGTTGCTCAGAGCATTTTCAGACCCCATAACTGGGACAGAACCACCTGAAACTAGCTCCAGCTCAGAGTGGCCTGGCTGTTCTGACAGGGCTCAGCCTGCAGCCAGTGTCCAGCATACTACGGGGAGGACCAGAGTCCTGAGCTGCTCTCTATGGCTTCAGAGTCAGGGAGGCAGAATGGGGTGCTGTGGTGCTGAGGGGCCATGTTTCAGGGCACGGGACTTTCTGCAGGGAGCTTAAACAGGGCAACGTGGCCACCGTCATGGAGACCGTTGGCCGGAGACTTCGGGACACCTTGGGCCGAAGTGTGGACATGGGGCTGACAGGGAAGCTTGGAGCTGTGCATCCCAGTGTTGGGGTGAGTGGACCCAGTATGTGTGCCCCATGTGGATGCCCTCCTGTCCATATCTCCTTCCTAGTAGGGAAGTAACTGGGAGGGGCACCTGATACGCCCCCGCCACCTAACCCTGTCCCCTGTCCCCAGGACAGTGCCAGCAAGCTTGAGGAAAATGTGTACTACTTTGGCCGCACCGTAGAGACGCTGCTGCTCCGCTTTGGCAAGGTATTGGGGCCCTGCCAGGTTGGGGATGCAGAGGCCTGCAACTTGATGGGTGGAGACAGCCGCTTCCATGAGACGTTTGCTGCGTCTGCCTTTAGGACCAGCCCTGGGAAGATATCCTGGTCCTCATTCAGGTGGGCTTTGTCTGCCTGTCCCAGGGGCCACACAGCGAGCGGGGGCGGGGGGCTTGCAGCTGAGGAGGTGTGACTGCCAGCCTCTGTCTCAGGAGAGACCTGGCCTTGCTTGTCCCCTGCCCAGACCTACGAGGGAAAAGCAGCTCCTCTACCTCCTCCAAGCATAAGGCGAGGCTCAGGGACAGGTGAGGACACACCAGGCAGGGTGGTGTCTGGGTGGCAAGTCTCTACAGGGGGCTCTGCGTTCCAGACCATCGTGGAGGAGCAGATGGTCCTGAAGAGAGTGGCCAACATCCTCATCAACCTGTACGGCATGACGGCCGTGCTGTCCCGGGCCAGCCGCTCCATCCGCATAGGCCTGCGCAACCATGACCATGAGGTGAGCCCGGCCGCGGCTTTGTCCTACTTCATTTTAATGAAGACGTGTCTAGGGGGCCGAGGGCGGGAGGGACTGGACAAACTGCAGGCTGTGGTGCGGCCCATGGCGATGCGTCAGGTCTACAGCTCAAGACGCAGGGCCGCTCCCTTTCAGCATCCCACCTGAGGGAGAGAAGGGAGGGTGAGTGATGGCCCAGACCCAGGGTCCTCACCCCACTGGCCTTCACCCTGCTGGAAGGGGCCCCACGAGCACCTGTCTGTGCTGTTCTGCAGTAGCCCACTGCCGCTCCAGAGGGAAGACAGGCAAGAGCTAGTTTGCTTCAGACACAAGACGGGTTTCCTGGAGTTCTCAGTAGCTATCCTTTCTGACTTCACTTCCGGCAGGTTCTGTTGGCCAACACCTTCTGCACAGAAGCTTACTACCAGAACCTCTTCACCCTGGCTCAGCTGGACAAGTGTAAGTGGGGTGACTCGGGGGAGGAGAGGGCCCAATTCCAGGTGAGGTGTTTCTCTTGGACATCTTGAGGGAGGGCCGGGTTCACCTGTGACAGAGCCCTGGCGGGGGCCCTGTGTGCCTGGCCCATCTAGACGCTGCCAGTGCTGGTTCACAGAGGAAGGAGGCAGGTACCTGTCCTGTCCCTCCCCCCGCCCCCCCCAGCTAAGTGAGCCTGCTGTCTCGCAGATGTCCTGGCTTGTGTGGGGGCTTGTTCCTGCTGCTCAGCTTGTCTGGAATGCTCTTCCTCTTCCCTAGCCCTTGGCTGTGTCAGAGCGGCTGGCCAGTTAAAATTCTCCTTCAGGCCCTTAAAATTTTCCAGCGTCCTGCTAGCCCTCAGGCTGTCACAGTCGCTCTGCAGGGCCAGACATGCAAGTGCCTGCTCCCCCAGACCTGGAGTTTTGTAGGGAAACCAGAATGAGCCCATGGTTATTTGACATAAAACCCCTATCTAGTTTCTCCCTCAGCCACACACTCCCAGGAGCCTGCAGGAGGGGTATGGCCATTGGGCAGCCTCTGTTAGGAGAAAAGCTCCACCAGCGTTTACCCTGGTGCCAAAGATCACCCACCCTTCCTTCCTAGATGCTCCAGAAAACCTCGACGAGCAGATTAAGAAAGTGTCCCAGCAGGTGCTGGAGAAGCGAACCTACATCTGTGCCCACCCCCTGGACAGGACATCCTGAGTAGAGGGCACTGGACGGCTTCTTTTCCAAGGTGGAGAATTTAAGGGTTTTATAACTTGACCCGAGTTTTTCTCCCTGCCCAAGGAGCTGCTGCTCAGCTTTGCCCTACAGGGACTGCTGCCTGACCTGACCCCAGGATCTGAAGAGACACAGAATGAAATTCTTGACCCAGGGCTTGAAGGGGTTCTGCGGTGCCCTCTGGCCCGAGGCTGGCTGTTTTTCTATTAGCCCACACATTTCCCAGGGAATAGCTTAACATTAACACTTAACAAAAAAGATAAAACGGTGGTGGTTTTCTCTCCTAGTTGTGTTTTCCCTCAGATCCCACCTCTGCCAGGTGACCGCATGGCCTGGAGAGCCCCCTGTGGTGGTAGCTGCCTGCTTGTGGGCAGGGCAGCTGAGGGCCAGGCTGAGCCCCCCCCCCACCCCCGAGGCGCCTTGTCTGCTTTGTGCGGCGTCTTTAGGTGGCCGCGGGCCTTTCCGCCCTCACCTGCTAGATAAACTGGGGCCCAGCGTCAGTCTGGGTGAGTGGAGAAACCCGCTCTGCTGACCAACAAATATGGGTTCTCTATGAACCTGTAAATGCGGTTGAAGGGGTGGCTGGTACCCACTGAATCCCAGAGTGTCCAGAGAGACCTGGCTCCTGCCATCCTCATTTTATAGCTGAGAAATCGGGAGGCCCGGCCAGGGTCTTACCTGTCACAGGCCTCGGGGGAGGGGGCAGCTCGAGGAAAGGTGGTGGCTTCTTGTACAGGTCGAAGTCCTGGTGGCGCTTGTCCCAGCTCCACCTCTCTCGATCCAGCACATTCCCAAACGGTGCCTTTTCCCTCCACTCCTAAACCAGGGGTGGTGAGTTAGGAGAGCGCCCCTGTGTGGACGCCCTGCCCTAGGCCCACTCCACCCCTCTCACCTCACTCTGCTCTGTGAGGAAGCCGGGGGTCAGCAGCCTGAGGTGAGGGTCACTTCCAGCGCTCTGAAGACCAGTCACTTGGAACCCGTTAGGGGTGAGCCACGCCTGGCGAGATTTCTTCTTTGCTTTCTTTTCCTCTTCCTCTGGGTCCCAAGGCTCCACCATGGCTGAGAGGTACTTCTGTGAGTATGTGAATCTCTTCCTTGGCTCCTAGAATGAGGGACAAGCAGGAAGAGGGTAGTGCTGGCAGCAGGCCGGGACAGGACTGACTGACGCTCTGGGGACAGTGTCAGTGGCCCAAGTGAACCAAGCTGCACAGCAGCTGAGGGTCACGTGCCAGCCCTCTGCCAGGAGCGGCCCTTTCCTAACGTTAGGGAGCCTGGCCCGCCCTTCTGGGTGACGGCTGCCTGTTATGAGCAGCAACAAAAGGTTCCCTAGGCACGAGGAGCCTGCAGTGGTTTGCAGCCATAGTTGATGAGCTGCTCCGGCTCTTCCTCCTGGAAGGAGGAGTCACACTCACTGTGGGGACACTCCATTGTCCTGGCACCTGATCACTGGGCCGGAGAGGAGGGGGCTCATGGGACTTGCCAGCTGGCATCCTTGGGAGAGCAACATACGCCGTGTGCTCTCTGGCTCACCTTGGCCATCTCTTGATACAACTCCTTCTTGGCGAGCTCCGTGGAATTCAGGGTCTGAATGCTGTAGTTATAGACAGCGTCTTTGGCAGGGGCCGAGATTCTGATCACCTTTACCACAGGCTTTGTAGGCTTCCTGCTGGCCTGGTAGGCACCTGCGATGTTTTGCTGAAGGAAGGGACACCACAGTCATCACTCACAAATCATCATTAAAATTACGATTAACTACATGGGTTTAATAGCAGACTGGACGTGCAACAGAAAAGATGAGTCAGGAGATGAAGTACTTGGAAATATCCAGGTTAAAGCACAGGTGTTTTGAGCTCAACATCATTTGTTGATCACTAAGTGATGTGCACACAGGGGCGACCCCAGGGAAGCCAGGCTTTAAAATCAAAACAGAAAAGGAAACAAAAGCGAGGCTATCAGCAGTTGCCTACCTCCAGGGAGACAAGAGTCCGGATTCAGTGCAGGCAGCTTACTAAAACACGCACACCAGACCCCCCCCACCAGCAGAACAGAATCCAGAGTTTCTATGGTGTATTTCAGATGTCCACTTTTTGACCAAAATTAGGAGACATGCAAAGAAATAACATATAAATACTCAAAAGCAGCTATTATTTAAAAAATAAAACCTAAAGGGAATTGAAGTTTTAAGTGGTATACAAATCTGGAAAAGACAAACTGAGTAAAAAAAAAAAACTTTCAGAGGAGGGCTAAGTGAGAATGCTGGTGTTGTCAAGTAAATGAAATTAAGTTCATTAGAAGGACAGAGATTCGATTTGACAGAGATTCTGGATTTAAAGATAGGTTAACAGAGATCACCCTGATCTCAGGAACAGTAACAACAATTAAACAGCGCCTCACGGCCTGCAGACATCAAGGGACCAACACACACACATTGAGGAGCCACCGCCCAGGCGGAAGCAGACAAAGGAACATGATCGGCCCCATCTAGGCTGCTCGGTGACCCTCGAGTGGCGCACACTCAGAGCAATCCGCGCCTGGACAGGAGCCCTACAGCGAAAAGAAAGAAAATGTTGGAAACGGCAAGAACAAAAACCGCTACGCAACAACAAGGAAACGGCATGATTAGTGGCTAACAGACTCATCAGGAGCAACCGCCACCAGAACACGATGTAACGACTCTTCTAAGGTGCTGAGAGAAATCACCGTGCTGTGCCAAGAAGTGCACATCTAGCAAAAAACGGTCTCTCCAGGGGGGCCTCCCCGGTGGCGCAGCGGTTGGGCGCTGGGTTGCAAAGCTGCCCGCAGCCTCTGCGGCGCCGGCTCGATCCCCGGCTGCTCCCCGGCCACCGGAGGAGGATCCCACATGGCGCGCAGACCTCTCCTGCCACCCGCTGCCCCCCTCAGCAGTGTACTTCGGTCCCTCTGCCTGCTCTGCTCCCCGCTCTGGCGAATTCTCTCACCCTCCCGCGCTTCTGACTGTACCCAGTGCTTGTATAAATAAATAAAAATAAATCTTAAAAAAAACAGTCTCTCCAAAGTGAAGGTGGAATGAGGATATTCTGATAGATAGGACTTGTTGGCGATGATCTGCTTCTCAGACAGACTGAAGGAGGCTGTCAAGGATGAAGAGAAATGACACCAGATGGTAATACGTAGCTACAAAAATATTAATGGAAAAATATGTGGATAAATATGAGATGATATTTTCCTTCTCAGCTTTTAATTTAAAAGACACATAAAACAGCATTGTATTTATGTTATATAGATGCAATATAATGTGTTACAGCAAAAGGGAGGAAGTGGAATTGTTATAGACCATTTATTACATTTTACCCTAAAATTTCAGTTAATAACAACTTGATTTAGAATGTGCAAATCAAAAATGCATACTATAGAAGAAACCATTAAGAAATAACTTCTTGGGCCTCCCCGGTGGCGCAGCGGTTGAGCGCTGGGTTGCGAAGCTGCCCGCAGCCTCTGCGGCGCCGGTTTGATCCCCGGCTGCTCCCCGGCCACCGGAGGAGGGTCCCGCATGGCGCACAGACCTCTCCTGCCACCCGCTGCTCCCCTCAGCAGTGTCCTTCGGTCCTTCTGCCTGCTCTGCTCCCTGCTCTGGCTCTGGTGAATTCTCTCACCCTCCCGCGCTTCTGACTGTACCCAGTTGTATAAATAATTAAATCTTTAAAAAAAAAAAGATATTTCATAACAATTTAGAGGGTCAGTTTATCAGGAAAAGATGATTATAAACATGTAACCACGTATAATTAGCAAAAACTGGCAGATTTGAAAGTGAAAATTGACAATCAGTTAATAAAGACCCCCCACACCTCACTCTCAGTGACGACAGAACTGGAATGAAAACTAGCAATGATACAGAAGACTCGAACTAGACTATTAGCCAACCTGACTTGTCATTTATCTGAACGCCTGGTGGGGGCGGGGGGGTCTGAAGAATACATATTTCTCTCAAGCCTTGGGATGGAACATATGGCAGATCATAAAACAAGTCATAACAAATGGCATAGGGTAGAATCATACAAAGTGTGTTCTCTAGTTGCAACGAACAAAATTAACGACATTTGCAAAATCTCCAAATACTTAGATGTTAGCACACTTCTGAAAACCACAACGGAAATTATAAAAGACTTGACGGTGGTGAAAATGAAAACACAACAAGCCAAATTTGTGGGGTACAGCTAAATCAGTGCCTAGAGAAAATCTGTAGCTGTCAATGCATACGTGAAAAAAGATCTCAGAGCAAAAAAGCTAACTTTCCTCCTTAAAAAGCTACAAGTACAATTTCAATCCCAAGTAGGCAGAAAGAGGAAAATTATAATACAATTTAGGATACAAGTAAATGAAATAGAAGATAATGAAACAAAATCAATGAACTCTCAAACTGCTTTTTTAAGAGGCCACCAAGACGGACAAACCTTTAACTATATAAATCCAAGAAAAAAATGCAAAAGTTAGTATTAAATCAGGAATGAAAGAAGATACTCAGCTGGCTTTACAGAAATTAAAGGGGTGATAGGAGAACACTGAATATAGGTCAGCAAACTGGGTACCTTAGATGAAATGAACACAGAACAATAGTTACAGAACAACAAAAATGACTAAACCTGCTTTAAGCAGAAATATACCTGAATAGAATCATAAGCAGAGAGAGCTAATAATTAGTTAGAATGTTTCCATCAAGTACAGCTTAGGCTGAGATGGCCTCACTGAAAACATTAACACCAACCTTTCACAAATTGCCAGAAAATGGAAAGAAAAACAGCCCGTCCCCACGCATTCTGCAGGGCCTGCAGGACCCCGGTTCAAAGGAAGACAAGGACGTCTCAAGGAAAATACGAAATATTAGCGAATGAAATGCAGCAACATAAAGATCACACACCACGACCAAGTGGGGTTCCTGCCAGGAATGCAAGGTGGTTTTAATATCCAAGCACCGATGAATGGGGTTCAGGCTATCAGGAAAGGCCACAAGCCACCCCAATAGATGCAGAAGAAAGCAACTGACGAAAGTCAATGTTCACATTAAAAACCCACAAACTACAACCTGCGGGGACTTCCTCAACCTAGGACAGCTCCCCCAGCCCGCAGCTGCCGCCTGCCTGAACAGCCCACGTGAAGACCTGAGTGAGGGGCGAGGCCAGCGGCCCTCTCGCTGCTGCCCCTGCTGGTCGCTGTCATTACTAGTTCAGGCAATGCAGAGCGGAGGGATGCGGGAGGGCTGGGAGGAGAGGGTATGGATGGAATGTTTGAATCTCTCTCTCCCCCCAGCACCCCAAATTGCTATGTTGAATCCCTAAACCTCAGTGTGGCAGTATGTGGAGTAAGCAAGTATTTCAGGTTAAATGAGGCCCCAAGTGTGGGAGCCCTGGCCCAATGGGATCAACGTCCTGTGGGAAGAGGCAGCAGGTGGCTGGCTGCCCGCGCCCTCCACACCTGTACACACAGGTCCCGCCGGCACCCCGGGCACGGCCGCCTCCTGCGAGCTGAGAGAGGAGGTCTCAGCACAAAACTTCTTTTGCTGGCACCTCAGTCTTGCACTTCCCAGCCTCCAGAACTGCGAGGAAAGAAATTTCGGACGGGTAAGCCCCTGGCCTGTAGCAGGCAGGAAACTGGAAGGAAAAGGAGGGTTGTCTGGGTTGGAAAGCAAATGACTTTCTCCACAGATGACACAGTTAATTTCAAAAGGTTGCAGGAGTCAAGATTAATATAAAAAAAATGTATTTCTCTGTTCTGGCAACAAACCACACACATCTGAGCGTGTAAGACTTGCACACTGACAACTATAGACGTCACTGAAGGAATCTAAGGACCTAAATAAAAGCAGAGACGTCCCGTGTTTATGAACGAACAGCTTCAAAACCGGAAGGATGGCGATTCCTCCCCGAATCGATCTGCACATTCTATGTAATGCTTCTGAAAATCCCCACGGGCTTTTGCAGGTTGGTTCTAAAACACACAAGGAAATGCAAAGGACCCAAAAGAGTCTAACTGTTTTAAAAGAACGGAAAGAATTTACATAAGCCGGTTTCAAAGCACTACGAAGCTACAGCGGTCGAGACAGAGTGGGCCGGGGAGAGGGCAGCATGTACCGGGGCCCAGATGGACTCGTGCCTGGCGGTCAGCGGGTCTCAACAACGGCGCCAGGCCCTTCATGCGAACAGCCAGTGTTCCTGGCCAACGGGGCCACAGCAACTGGCTGGCTCCACGCTGAAGGGCTCCGCTACACCCCCGCTGTGTGCCGTGCACACGAACAGCTGCTTCAGATGGTTCTAAAGGTAAACGATGCAAATGTCAACAATGTAGACAAACTAAAGCTACCCATCTCCTAGAAGGCGGCGCTGCAAAGAACTAAACAGAAAGCAAATGACCCGATTTTAAGGAGAAACAAGATGTGAAGAGTCGCCACAGGAGTATGCAGAGTCAATACGCGCATCAAAGATGTCCAGCAGCCTCAGTGACTGCAAAATACAAATTAGAGCCGCGAGACACCGCCGCACACCCACTGGAACAGCACGGCCAGCAGCAAGGCTGACAGACGAGGCTCAGCACGCGGAGAAATGCGCCCTCGTGCATGGTTGCTGGTGTGAAACGGGCCAGCCCCGCTGCAAAACTGCCTGACAGTTTCTCCGGCTGTCAAATGTGCGTTACCATATGACGCCCAGTCCTTCCGGGTTTCTACCCCTCGAGGAGTGTAAACACATTTTCACTCCATGATCTCTAAAGCAAACGCTGCCAGCAGCAGTGTTCTCCACGCCTCAGCCCTGAAAGGACACGAACTGTACCGTCGCTGGAACTGCATACGGCAATAAAAAGGAGCAGAGACGGATGGATTTGGCAACATGACAAACCTGACAAGCGTCACGCTCAGGGAAGGAAGCCAGACGCAAGGTCCCGCGTCTGCACCTAAGAGCACGCCCGCTCAGGAATTCACCCTCTTGTATCTCCCAGCAGGCAACCGGGCAGCCCAGGAGGGTGAGCTGAAGCCCGACTGGGGCAGGGGGAAGGACCCACCTGGATGAGGCTGCGACTGTCTTCTTTGTTCTTTAGCATCATGGTTCTCCTCCACTGCAGGTACCTTTTCTTGTGGGTTGAGATATCGTGAGAGAGGTAGGAAAGGTGACCTTGGGAAGGCTCCAGAACAGGGGCGGGTTGTGGGGAGAGAGTGGGTCTTCGTTCCGTCAGTTCTGTGGGCGAGATGGGCAGCCCAAACTCCTGGTTCAAGACCTTGATCATGGTGGAGGTCGGCAGCAGGTCTCTGGTGACCACCTCCCTGAGCCTGGCGCTGTGGTGGCAGATGCAGTAGAGCCTGCAACGCAGAGCAGACCCCACTCAGCCTGGCTCACCAGCGAGACGGGCCCCTTCATGATGAAACAGGCTGATCAGCTGGCCTTGCTCACGGAGCGAGGAAATGAGGGGCTTAGATCCCAGTCTGATGAGCCCTTGGGGACAGGCCGCGTGCCCTCGCCCCACTGGCCCCGGGGTGGAAGGCTTCCCGCCGTGCACACAGGCCCGTGTGCTCGTTCCCTGCCCCACAAGCCATCCCGGCCGTGGGGGAGGCCACCACACAGAGCCCCATCTCAGCCACGCGTGGGACCAAGCACTCGCCCCCACCCCACTGTCCCTGGTGGGCACTGGATTCACGCTGCCACACGGGGCTGCGCATGGGGACTGCTTGCTGCTTGAGCGGGTGGGCCCGGCCTCCGCCCCCACCGTCCTTCACGATAGGAATGCAGCTTCCCAGGAGCAGTGAGCACCGGATGAAGAGCAGGCACCTCCCCTTTCCTTGGCAGAAACCCCACCTGGGGGTTCTGTTAGAATATCCTGACATTCTAATACAATCACTCACCGGGCAGGACGGGCCCAGCTGCCCTGACTGACCAGTGAGGCTCCAGATCCCCAAACATCGCCCCCTAACGTGAGCTTGCTGCCGCCCTCTGTGCCCCTTCCTGACTCGCAGCCCTGCTGCCTGGCTCTCCTGCCCAGCCAGGGGGCAGGGCTGGGGGTGGGGGGGCTAGAAGGGAAGGCATCCTAGCCCAAAGGCGTCCCCTCCATCCTGCTCTCCTGCAGTAACACTCGGTGCTCCAGCTGGGGGCCAGCCGGGCCAGACCTGCTGCTGGCTCTAAAGAGAGGCAGCCTGCACCTGCGCCCAGAGCAGGGCGAGTGGACTGCCCGCTGCTGCACGAGTGCTGGTGGCCTGGGGCACGGCCTAGCCTGACCCCAGAGGAACAGGTCACTCTCCTTCACTGCCCCGCTCGGCCTGACACAGGCCACGCAGCCTCTGCAGGTCCATGCAGGGGAAGGCTCAGTGAGCACCACCAAGGGGGCACACGGCTTCCCAGGGTGCAGGGCCTGTTGCTGAGGGTCTGGGGTCCTGAGGGCACAAGAAACGTGCAAAGGAGTGCGAGGGTGAGGTACCTAGACGTGGGGAGAACGAGGACGAGGCAGGGAGGAAACGATTTAGGAAGCCGGCAGATGGACAGCGAACACGGGGCTGGGAGGGAAAGCTGCTGCGGCCGGCAGATCTGGGGTTCCGGCCCTCAGCTTTCTCCCTTGCTCACTGGGAAATGGGTGCTTTACCTGGGGGCTCCTCAGGCTAGTCCAGGATAGCCCCCAGAACAGCAGTCAGGCGACGTGTGTTGGGCTGACTGTCCTGCCTTTGCCAGGGCATTTCTAAAGCTCTCTTGGGAGAGCAAGTGAGGGTGGGTGGGCCCTGGGAACCGGACCCTGGGCCTGGCCGGGGGTCTTCAGCAGGGGGAGTAATAAAAACCGCACCACCCAGGGCACCTGTGCTGCCCAGGGCAGTGGCCAGAGGAACAGTGGAGAATGGGTGGCAGATGGAGTCACTCATGTCAAGGGAACCTGAGGAGGAGGGTGGGAGGCCAAGCAGCCAGGTGCTTGCGTCTCCAGACTGCACAGCCGCCAGTTCCCTGCTGTCTGGGGTGGACCAGCCCAGACGCGCATCCTGCGTCACTCGCTGCCCACCGTGGTGGTCCAGCTGAAGCCGTCCCTGAAACCTGGGGACCCCCGGGACCATTTGGGGAGCACAGTTCGGTCTTATTCAGACTCAGAGCCCCCACCTCACCCCCGTCAGCTTGCAATTCCAAAGTCCCAGATAAACTGTCTCTCCTCCCAGCGCCGCCTCCACAGAGGGGCCGGCCCACCTGGTCAGGGCCTGGAAGGCCTGGCGAGACACGGCGTTGCGCACGTACAGCACCGGCTGCCTCATGAGCAGCGACAGCGGCTTGAAGAGGTGCACATGGTACAGCAGCGTCTCCAGGTCGGCGTAGAGGCGCTGGCGGAACAGCAGCCGGGAGTTGTACAGCACCTTGTGCTTCCCGTACTTTTCGTGCTCCAGTTTGGTGACCCTGCAAGGTGGCCGGGCGCGTGCTCAGTGGGCCGCAGGCTTGGGTTTGGGGGATGCTGTCTGGCTCAGGAACTTTCCCTCCTTACTTAAAACCACACAGGCAAGGAGCACCTTCCTAGTAAATGCCCGCTGGCAGGCGGGTATTCAAAGCCTGGTTGGCAGTGAAAGCCTGAAGCCAGCCTGGTCTCGTGGGTGTCCCAGGCCCCCCAGCCCTGGCCACCCCTGCATCTCCTGCCCTGGCCCTCACACTGCACCCTGGCACCGCTGGCCTGGCATCGCCTTCCCTGTGTGTGCACATTGTGCCCTCATCTGCACACGTCCTGCTGGGGTGTGTCGGGGGGGAGGGGGCGCTCCCCGGGTGTGAGGTGCCAGTTCAGCTCTTCAGCTGGGATGTTTTTATCGTTTGCTTATTGACTGACAAGATCTTTCTCTATATTCAGGATCCTGGTTTCATTCGTTGTAACATTTTTTTTATCTCTTCTCAATTTAAGCCTTTTGTAATTTTTATGGTGTCTTTGGATGAACAGAAGTTATTCATTTCAGTGGAGCCAATCTATCGTTCTTTGCCTTTATTCCTTCTCCTTCTGCCTTGTTCAGGAAGTCTTATTCTAAGGTCGTGAACATGTTCTATATTATCAGGCAAAGGCTTTCTAATTTTACTTTTCAAAAATAGATTTTCAGGGTGCAAACAGAGGAAAACCCTTAACCGTGGCCTAGTTCATTTTACTGCATCCATCCATCAATAAGGCGCTCTAGTTGTGTCAGACGTGACACTGGGGGGACCCTTTACATTATTTTTGCAACTTAATGTGCGTTTCTATTTCAAGCAGGTCTTTAATCTACCTGGAATTGATTTTTTGTGAATTATGTGGGCCAGAAAATTAGGAATAGAGTGGAATTTCCTCAAATCTCTACCAAAAATCCCTCCACCTGACATGATATCGTAATGGGGAAGGTCTGAATGCCTCTGCCAAAGACCAGAAGCCAAGCAAGGTTACACTGTCCTGCAGAACAGTGCTGCTGGCCCGAGCTAGCACACCACGGAAATAAAGACATCCAGACTGGAAAGAGATTAGGCTATGTCAGCGCAGGAGCTGCCTTTGCAATGTCCCCACTGAGTGGCCATCAGGTACAGGGAAGGGGAACCGCCTGCAGCCTCGGCAGCCCCTGCAGTCTCAAAACAATCAGATGTGTCTTCCTAGGACTGAGATGAAACCTCCTTCCTGGTGGCGGCCATCCTTGGGCCACACTGAACATTCTGCACCCTCTGAGCCAAGCAGGCCCCTCAGAAGTCTGAAGGCAGGACCCATTTTCCTGAACCACCCTGTCCTCTAGAAACCCCTGAAGTCGTGCCTTCAACCAAAGGCAAGCAAGCCTTTCTGTTACCAGGCCCCATTACTGAGCGCTACACAGTGCCTTGGGATCAAGCCCAAGAAGAACGGGATCAACACGTCCCTCTCACTGAGGACACAACCCAGGCCTCGCTCCGAAAGCCCCTCTACTCCCTCGGTACCCACGCCACCGCCGTCACCGAAGCACAGCTCTGACTGCCTACCGCCTCTGGTGACTCTCCCACAGCCGCTTCAAGCCTTGCTCGGCCAGGCCTTCCAGGATGAGGAGGTGGGTCTTCCCATCCAGCAGGTGGAAGCCAGTGAGCACGTCCAGGTCAGGCCTTTCCTGGACCTTCACCCGTATCCTGAAGGCTGACAGGATCTGCTGGATGTTCCTGAGGGGGTACATGTCCAGCTCGAGGGCCTTGGCATTGATCACCGTCACGTCCTGCAGCAGGCTACGCAGGAGGAAGGGCTTCCTGGAGTTAAACACGAAAATGATGCGGCCGAACTCGGTGCCCCTGAGTTCTGGCTCGGGCGCTGCCCCCCAGGCCCGCAGCGGCACAGCGATGTCCACCCGCAGCTTCAGCTGGGAGTCAGCCTCCAGGTAGTTGCCCATGGGCATTGGTGTGTGCTGGAGGCCACTGGGGGATGCCCGAAACCCCACAGCCTTCCTGCTCCTGCTGTCCCGGCCGAGGTTTATGGGGTTGGGCTCGCAGTTGTGGATGGGGACAACCAAGTTCAAGTACTTGTGGCCAAGGAGGAGGTCAGCAAAACTGACCTGGGCCACCCCATAAGGGTCCTGTATTTTGCTCTGGGACTCAAAGGGGTTGTTCTCTATCTCTTTCGGGGCGACTAGGGTATGAAGACTGAGGTGTGTATCAAAGGGGTCCTCCCCAAATAGAATGGGCTTCTGAGGACGTTCCTCTAACTTGCGGTCCCGGTCGTGAACTTCCACCACCATGGGGGGGCCCTCCAGGTACTCCCTCAGGTCTCTGGGATGCATTGCCCCCAGGAAGATGACGTTGACATCCTGGAAGTAGACGTGAGTTCCATGGCACTGCCCCTCAGTCCTGTGAACCGGCATGTTGTGGAACTGGTACCTGCAGTACACAGGAGCACACAGCCTCTACGAGAGAGCCGGCAGCAGTCACCAGGCGGCCTTCCCTCTGAAGGGAGCCTCCCAGCTGCCCTCCTTGCCCATGGCCCCTGCAACTGGCTGCCTCGCCCACAAAATGCCCATGAGTACGCCTGCTCCGCAAGGTCACTGCCAACCAAGCAGCATGCATGGAGGCAGCAGCAGCCAGCTGGCTCAAGAAAAGGGCTCCGTAAGCGCGAGGCACCGTCCCTTCCTCCCCGACGCAGCGCCGTGAAGCCGGGCCACGCAGCCTGCCGTCTGGACGTCTAGTGGCTAGTCCGGGGCTAGGCCCGGGTGATGCCTGGGTAAGACGACGCGGCGCGCGCACAGTGGAATACGACTCAGCTGAAAGGTGAAAAGCTGACATTTGTAGAAAGATGGAAGGAACTTGAGGCAATTGTTATATGAAGTGAAGTTGGCCAGAAAGATGAGGACAAATACTGGATGATTCCCCGCAGACAAGTAACGTAAGGAAACAAAGCAGATGAACTGACAAAAGCGAAACAAAACTAAAGCGGCGGGCGTTGACCCCCAAACTCAGGCTACCCGGCGGGAGAGATGGGGGGACGCCATCTAAGGGACAGGGAAACACACAGGCAAACTGGAGAGGATGCCCTCCCGGGCGGGGGCACGAGCTGGACGTCTGGGCTGCTCTTTTCAGCGGAAGACGAAACATTCCCCTACCTCCACGCTGCCCCAGACCCACCAACACCTAAGGGGAGTTTTTAAAAAGACACCAACATCCAGGGCCCAGGAGAAGAGCGGACGACACGAGTGCGGGGACGTGGCAACAGGCTTCGCCAGCCAGGAAGCCCTATCTCAGGCGTGCGATGGAAGCTGAGACCCAACCAGATCTGCCCTCCACAAACCCTGCAGATGGCTGAGGAATCCTGTGTGTCCGGGGACCGGCTGGAGCAAGGAGAAGCGGGTGCTAGTCCTTGGGGTAGAACCCCACTGCCATGTCCTCGCCATGGCCTGCAGAACCTGCGAGTTTGCTCTCTGGACAAAATTATAGTAGAGGACATACAAACTGATTTTAAATTTATATGGCGGGGCCTCCCTGGTGGCCCAGGGGTTAGAGTCTCAGCACCATCAAGCTATCGCCAGCCACTGTGGCCTGGGTTCGATCCTCCACCAGGGAGCTACCCACATGGCGCAGCAGACCTCTCCCGTCTCGCCCGCTGCTCCCCTCAGCAGTGTGTTTCAGTCAGTCTGCCTGGTCCCCCGCTCTGGTGAGTCCTCTCACCCCCTGCACCTCTGGCACTCCATTTCTCGTACACATAAAAAAAAAATTGTTTAATCTTACAATTTATATGGAAATGTAAGATTCCATATTTGAAAAAGGAAGAATAAAGTTGGTCCCCTCGGGTCTACATGTTAACCTTTCCGCACACATGCGTAACAGAAAAGAACAATCAAGGAAGAAAAGGAACAAAAGCAATGAGTGGAACAGACCCGAATATTCAACTTCTAAGCCAGAGAAGAAAAGGGAAACAGTAAAATAATTCAAGGCAACTTCATAGCACTGAGAGTTTGAGGCTGGAAGGGGCACACTGAGCCCCGCTCGATGGACACAGACATGTCCACAGATGTCCTGTTCTGGACCAAGATAAAACAGACATACTCCTTGCTACTTCTCCTGCAAAAAGCAGAGTTTTAAAGCCCTGGGTTTTATTAACAAACAACCTATGAAGGACCTGAAAGGTACGGAGCAGGCGGCTCAGACAGTGGCACCAGAGGGACCCCACACTAACAGGGGCGCCTTGTGCTCCGCCGAGGGAGGGTTACAGCCTCCACTGAAGAGCTGCTGTCCCGCAGGGAGAGACTCACACCCAGGGGTGCCCAGCGCCAGGAGCCGAACTCCCCCAGGTCTTGCTGTGAGCTGCTGGGGAAAGACACCCTTCAAACCAGTTCCTCTGGCTGGTTCTTACCTCTAGCTCCTGGCCGGGCAGCGGCTGGGGCGGGAGGCAGGAAATGCTGCGGATCTTTATGGTCAGAGGGTTTAAGTCCTGCTTTTGCTCCTCAGTCATGATGGGAACTTCGGTTTTTAAAGTCAAAAAACAATCTAAAATGTTGGCAGAACTCAGACTGCCATGACTCACGACGGTCTGCCATCCTGGGGAGGGGGAGACACAGAATTAGCCTGCTCCTCGCGACACTGCCCAGACAAGCGCCGAGGGCTCAGGGAACACACGAGCCCAAGATAAAATTACAGCTAAGAGAAGACACATCAACTGTAATCACGGTAACCGGGACGCCCACAGGCCGCAGCTAGTCCCCCTTGGGGCCCCAGCTGTCCAGGTGAGCCCGTCGCCTCGTGGTGCAATGCTATGTGCAAGGGTCTCCCCTAGACTGAGTGCCCCTGGGCAGGGGTGACTGTGCAGTCATGGGGTCTGGCACAGAAGAGACGTGTGCAGAGCAACTGAGCGCTGACTATTTGTGGGGTCTCATGTCAAGGGCCCCGCTAGACCCTCAGATGCAGGTTCTCACTGGTGTGATGATACAGACACTGCACAGCTACATGGAAGTGACTCTTAACCAAGTCTTTTTTATCAGTGTGTCAAGTGAGATTTCCCCTAGTAGGGAACCCAGTTTTTAAAAAAATCAAGAACATTTTGTGTTTACTAAGTAAAGAAACTCAAGCATCACTTAGCTCCACGTCCACATCCCATGTATGTTGTTAGGGCCAACAAACTGATTCAAAGGGTTTCCGTTATCCTGGCATCTAGCATGAAAAGTCTCAAACAGTCCTGTTACCAGTGACACCTCAATTAAAGAAGTAAATAAAGGATCATTTTAAATAGATGAACAACAGAGAAGGTCTCTGCAGCACCTGAGAGACCATGGGGTTACCTTAACTTCACCACTGCCTGGACAGGCCACATGCCTCACCGCTTTCCCAACCTGAGGTCCCGCGGGTTCTCTAAGGGAATTTAATTTTTGTGACTTAGTCTCCATCCTTCTGTAATGTCATTCCTAGAGGTTGCAATGAGGACTGCTGGTGCTCGGGTGCTGCCCCAAACAGCCTGACAAGTCTGGGGTGTAACTGCCAGCCCAGTTGATTCTGGAGCCACCACCCTTCAATAGTCTGGTCCAGTAGTTACTGGCCACAAGTGGCTACTTCAAGTTAATTAAAATTAAGGAAACTGAAAGCGCAGTTCCTTCACCACATGAGTTGGATTTCAAATGCTCAGTAGCCACAGGTGGTTACAAGCTAGTGGACTGGCCAGCACAGAAGCCACCCTGCAGAGGACTCTGCCCGAGGTGGCCAAGCTTTGACTGGGAGAATGTTCACGGACAAGATGTGGATGCGTCTGGGCCGTGGCAGCGTGGGTGCCTCTGCTGGGGAGGCTGCTGCAAGGTGCGACTACGGTGGGGGTGGGGTGGGGGGTGGAGGCCCACGGCTCAGCGCAAAGGTGCCTGTGAGGATGCTCTTCTTACAGGAGGGGTCCCTGTGTTCCACCACGTGGGGACAAACCGGTGCAGGAAAAGCCAGAAAGCAAAAGCCCCCATTTTGCCAGCAGAGGCCCAGATTCAAGTCCCAGCGCTCTTAGTCATCACATCACCTGCAAGTTAGGGACTCTCTGAGACTCAGTTTCCTCATCTGTGAACAGGCACATGCACCTCCTTTCTCAGGGTGAAGGGGACCATGAGGGATTATCTCCAGGAAGGTGCAGAAAAGATGGTCCAGAGCACAGTTCACGCTCAAACACATCAGTGCTATTCTTTCAAAATGTCTGCAAGCGTATTTGCACGGCACAAAGACCCAGCCAGGCACACTCGGAAAGCACAGTCCCTCCCATGACAAGTCAGCCCCGGGGGGAGGAGCTCTGTGTGGACTTCAAGCATGGGCAGCGGGCATTGCTCCCTAAAGCCCACTCACTAAGGCCAAACCTAGTCACGACTGTGTTCCACAACACCCCTCGAGGAGAGCTCCCTGGGGCAAATGCAGAGTCACAGCATCCTCAGAAACTTAGGGAGGTGTCACATATAATTCCAGGATTGGGTCTCAACCTCAGCATCACGGATGTTTGGGGACCCTCCTGTGCCCCGTGGGATATTTTGCAGCATCCCACTAGATGCCAACAGCACCCCACTCCCACATGTGTCAGCCCAAACGCCTTCACACCCTGGAAAATGGTCCTGGGGGCACAAGTGCCTCAGTTGAGAACCGCTGTTCTGAAGTAAAGAAAAAGTTGAGGGAATGGACACCCACAGTTTGTGCACCTACAGCTGTCAGACATGAGCATGTGTTAATGCTCTGTAATCCTCAAAACCACCCTGTGTGGCTGCTGTCATCTCTGCTCTCCAGGCGGGGAAACAGTCCAGAGATTTAAGTAACGGTTTTTGTCTCTGAAAAGAAGCCTGTTTCTGCAGATCAGCCAGCAGAGGGCGCACATTTGCCCTAAAAGCCAAAAACCACAATGAAGTATGCTCCAAAGTATATTCTCTAAAAAGAAAGAGGGTTTCCCCTTCCAGACTGTCCTTTTAAAAAAAAATGAAACCGCATAATATTTTCTGAGATTCCCATCATCAAAACGTGGGCATGATAAACGTCTATTCTTTATCAAACTGTGGAAAACCTAGCTCATAAATTGTGATCGATCTTAGACTACGTGACCTGGGGTGAGTTCTTTGCCTTCTCTGAGTTTTGATTTCTCACTGGAAAGAAAGGTGACGTGATCAGGCCCCCAATACCACCACCCCAAGCCCAGAGGGAGGGCTGCAGCTTACCGTAAGAAGTAAATGCTGGGACACGCACACTGGTCCCTCCCCTCGTTTCCACTGCTAGATGTTTTTGTAGAAGTGTGTGGGGACAAATTTATAAAAAGCGGCATCTTATTTAACAAAATTGCGACCGTTATTCTCACAGGGTTCCCTGGATTTTGGAATCAGAGCTGGCTCAGATCCTGACTGAAGTTCTGTGCTGTGTGATCTTGGACAAGGCACTGAACCTCTCTGAGCCTCCATTCCTTCCTCTGCACCATGGAGACAATTACCCCCACCTGGCTGAGTGACTGTGGGCACGAGATGAGGTGGCGCAGAGCAGGGGCTGGAGCCCTGTGAGCGCCTGTTTGCGGACACCTGACCACTGCCGGGAAGCGGGGAGCTACCTGCCAGGAGCGGCTTTATCGCCAGCTGCATGGAGAAGGTTTCCGACCTCCAGTGGCCCATCGGCTTGGTGTTCGTTTCCTCTTCTATTACGGACCTAGCCTTCTTCTGGGTTTTCCTTTTCCCTTCTGATTCTTTCAGTCGAACTGTGAAATCAAAGGAAGGAAATAAGCGTGACGAGGAGCTCGGATCTGAGCTGTCACCCGTGAATGCACACATGCTGCAGAGATCTGGGAAGGTTCTGAAGCTCCCTGAAGGCAGGAGTTATCTCTGTGCCGCTGCCCCTCCTCAGCGCCCAGAAGAGGTGTCTAAATGTAGGGAGCAGACCAGTTGGTGGGGGGTGAGGAAAGAAGAAAGAAGTGTCCCGCTCCCTGCCGCCTGCTGCTGGTGGGCACAAGGGGGCTTAGGCTGCCCCACTGCCCCAGCAGAGTCGTCCTCCAGGTCAGCTCTCACAGCAGAGGACTGAGGTTTGGATTCTGGAGATGCCACCAGACTCCAGAAGCAGCTCTGTCCTCCTAGAGCACAGCCCTGGGCAAGGCCCTAACCATCCTGGGCCTGTCGAATGGGAGCAGACAGCACCTGCCCCTTGGGGTGTGGAGATGAGTGAGCACAGGTATATGAGCTGCTCAGCCCAGTGCCAAGCTCAGATCAAGAGGAGAAGGGAGATGATCAGAGCCATAAATGTGTGGTAATCAAAACCAGGAGCTGCTGCTTCTAGGATAGAAAGACCAGTGGAACAGAGAAGCCCGCCCAGAAATAAATCCGCGCACAGAGGGGACTAACAGGAAGCCAGAGGGGGCATTTCCGATCCGTGGGAAAGGGTAGATCGTCAGCTAATGACAGACTGTCCATTCAGAGGCAAGAGAAATTACTGGGCGCCTCATGCCACATGCAAATGAACTACAGGCGACAGGTGGAAAACAAACTCCAAAACCAACATAGGAGACTAGACTGACATCTGGATGAGGACGAATTTCTCAGATATTACCAGACATCCAGGAACATTTAAAGTACTGGTGGGAGAAGCCAGACGCAGACACCAGGCAGAGAGGGCGGGCCCCAGAGCTCAGCCCGGGTCCTGACTGGGCATGGAACCAGCAACGCGCAACTCTCCAGAGGAGGAGAGAAAATAAAGCCTCTGGATGGATTAAGAAAAAAATTTAAGCCCTACAGAAGCAGCAGCAAAGAAACGGGAACAGGCAAATCACAGAAGGGCGTGACTGAACGGGGGCGGGGGGAGGCCCGGTGGCGCTCCCAGCCCCACCAGGAACCAGGGACCAGCCCAGACAGCACCACGCTCACAGGGCTACGGCCTGAGGAAACGGGGCATGAAAATCTCTGCCGCTGAGATTTTCAGAAACTAGTTGTAACTCTCTGACAGATGCTGGGTGGCACAACCGCGGCCGCAGAGCAAGTGGTAGTGAAGGCTGTGGCTGGGCTGGGGTCCTCAGAACCCACTTTCTTGGCTTGGGTCTCCTCGCCAGTTTTTTTAGCAAGCAATTGGGTTTCCTGTGTGATATGGAAAATTCTAGAGTTGGTACATTTGCAGCTTGTAGGATGGTTCATTTCCTACTCGTTCAATTATAACTGCTACAAAGCATTTCCTTAACTCTCCCATTAACTGACCTGCATTGCCTGGTTCACCTCTCAAGCTGCAGAGAAGAGACTGGTGGGGTCAGGCTCTGTGGGTGTCAGAGACAGCCTACTTCAGCCCCTCCGAGACTCGCCCACCCTTTCATAGCTGAACATAGCTGGACCGCTCATAGCTGAAACTCCTGAGTTTCCTCTTTTCAGGTGAAATAACCTCACTCCTTTTGTGTGGTATAAATTTTTTTTTTATTTATTTTTTTATAGAGGCATGCTTTATTTATTTGTTTGCTGGTTTTGTTTGTTTGTTTTGTTTATACATGCACTGGGTACAGTCAGAAGCTAGGGAGGGTGAGAGAATTCACCAGAGCCAGAGCGGGGAGCGGAGCAGGCAGAAGGACCGAAGTACACTGCTGAGGGGAGCAGCGGGCGGCAGGAGAGGTCTGCGCGCCATGTGGGACCCTCCTCCGGTGGCCGGGGAGCAGCCGGGGATTGAACCGGCGCCGCAGAGGCCGTGGGCAGCTTCGCAACCCAGCGCTCAACCGCTGCGCCACCAGGGAGGCCCTGTGTGGTATAAATTTTAGTGAAATTTTCAAAGCATTCTTTTTATTTTGAAATAAAAATAGAAAGTACATATAATAATACAACAACAATCTACCACTATTTAGGTGTTAATGTTTCTTTCATTTCTTTCTTATTCCTTTTTCTTTGTGACCTTTTCTTTTTTTTTTTAAAGAGTTATTTATGCATGCAAGAACTGGGGCACAGGCCAGAGGTGGAGGGGTGAGGAGGGGGTGAGAGGATTCCCCAGAGACAGAGCGGGGAACAGAACAGGCAGACCCACTGAAATCCACTGCTGAGGGGAGCAGCAGGCGAGACAGGAGAGGTCTGCGCGCCATGTGGGTAGCTCCCTGGCCGCGGACTGAACTCATGCTGCAGGGGCTGCTGATAGCCTGATAGTGCTGAGACTTAACCCCTTGTGCCACCAGGGAGGCCTACTATTCTTTTACTTTTAAGTAATCTTTGGCCAGATATCAAAGTCTCTTACTGACTTAATTTGAAATATTTGAAATATTTCATAATTCTTTCAAGTTTTGTTATATGATAAAATTCCAAAATCTCACCCTGACTTACTTGGGATCTTTTGCTTTTCTGATGTGTTTAAGCTGCTGCTAACTGAAGTTTCCTTCCTCTCCATCCCAGTTAGACCTGTCAAAGAATTCCTTCTTCTTGAAGCACTCAATCTAGAAAATTCACAAAGAGAAATAAATGAAAGTGAAAAAAATCAAGGCCCAGGTCTAAGACTCTATTTACTGAACTAAAAGGGAGCAGAATGACATTCTGTTCCTCAAACTCGCTATTTTTCAGGTTTCAATGTACATCACCCGGGGGCGTAGTCAAATAAAAATCAGATTACAGATGGGGGGCTGGGGGGGCTATTCCATGTCTCTAACATGCTGTCCAGTGATGCAGCTGCTGTGGGTCTGCAGACCACACCTGTGCCATCAATTTCTAGCCAATTAGAAAATAGGATGGAAAACAGCATTTTTATAAAATCAGTCAAAACTCTAAAACATCCAAGAATTCATTTATAGAATTATCCACATTACAGGAAGAAGAAAAAATTTACTCTATTAAAAGCCATAGAGGAGGAGGCGCATTCGATGGATATGCAGTGATTACGGATGGGAGAACTCCACAATATAAAAGTGTCAGTTCTTCCCAGCGACTATAAATTCAATGCAAAAACAATTTTTAAAAAAACCAAGGCTTTTCAGTGACATGGTCCCTGGGTTCGTCCCATCCCATTCCCACAAACCACCAGCAGGACCTCCAACCTACTCCTCATCCTCACAGCAGCCAAGGAGGCCCCTTTTCCAGATCCATCTTACGTGAGAAGAGGCACCAAGAGCAAACTGCCCTCAGAGCAGTAAGGCTGTGGGCGCAGCAGTCGGAGGGTGAGGGCGGGGCTGGCGGCACTACTGCGCCCAAGAATTCCAGCCTTGTGTTAGTTTTCTATTAGTCTGTTCGTTTTCTAGTTTTATATCATGTTATGTGAACCACTTAGCTACTCAGTTGCCTTGTTTAGAAAATGGAGAGAGTAATCCCGCCTCTTGGGGTAATAGTTATGAGGGCTAAATAAGTTAACTCGCGCAAAGCACAGTGTCTGCTTCCCACACCGCCCACGTAAAACCAGCAGCAACCAGCCCTCCCTCCCTCCCTCCCCCCTCCCCCTTCCCCCTCCTCCCCTCCGGCCCTCCCTCCCACCCTCTCCTTCACCTGACTGAGTGAGTCCAACTGCACTGAGTGCACTAAAATCCACATGACCCCTGGTGGGATCTGCAGGGCTAGTACAAGGGGGGGGCTCCACTACCACTCCCCCAAATAACATGGGTCCATCCTTACTGAAACAAGCCAGGATCTTCCATTCTGAACAGCTTCTCATCCTCCCAGTCCTTGGAGAAAATGCCGGGCTCTGCTGAGTGAAAACCTGCTATTAGCAAATGTCTCCAAACCTCTTCCACACTAACTGGCTCCCCAGGAAACAGAGATGCGTTTTGTAAGGCAGGTTCCCAGGGAGAGAGTCGGGGATGTGGTAAGCAACCAGGAAAAAACCTTTGTCAATAATAAATGAGTAAATAAATGAATAGACTAATTATAATTATTTGGTCAAATGCAGGCAAGAGGCGGCCTCCAGTTCCTTATCACATCCCACAGCTTAAGAGGGCAAAAGTCTTTTATCTGTTCAATTGTCCACTTCAGCACTGTTAACTTCAGAGAACACTAAAACCACCGCCCAGATCCCACCCAGAGGGAATCTTAAGCAAATTACAGCGCTACCAGCAGATGAAATATGACACAGTCAGCACAAATAAAGTTGATGGAGTTTTTAAGGGAACAGAAGCGCACGTGTGGCGACAGGGCATTTCGGTCTCGGGATACTCAGAACAAATCAGGGTAAACCCATCTCTGTAAAAGGAAAATCTTACAGCAAAAACAAGGGATCTTGCCCTGGTATGATAACCAGAACTTTCCAGTGCTTGTGCCTGGTGACCGAATTATAGGTTATTTTCCCTGCTTGTTTTATACTCTCCTATAGTCACTGAATTTTGTAAAAAACATATATAACTACTATGGTTAGAAACTTTTTGGTCAGTCACAAAATTAAAACTGAGCAAAGACAACAAATCACGACCCAGTGCAGGGCCCGGCAGGAGCGGCGCTCGTGGGCAGGGCTGCCACAGAGCCACCACGTGTTGCCCCGCCACCGCCCTCCTTGCCACGGTGGGGCATGCGGCTTGTCCACAAAGGGCCGCTCCACTCACCTTGCAAAGACTTTACTCGTTCTGGTTGTTCTGGCTTTCCTGACACATACTCCTGGTTCCATTTCCCTGTGCTGTGAATGTCCTGTTTAGGCAACTTCCTCTGACTTAACACCAAGTTTTTCACATCCTCTAGAATACAGGGGAAGGAAGAATCAGGGACTGTCCAACAGACACCTGCAGGGAACACCTACGCTGTGGCCATCACGCCCCCAGTGCTCAGATAGAGCTGTGGGCACATATGCCAGGCCCCAGCCCACTGCGGGTGTTGCTAGGGGGGGCTCCTTTAAAATACCAGGAAACTCGACCTTGGATTGGCAACTGCTTCTTCCAGAGACGACCACTAAGTACTGGGCATGTGTCGTCCATTCAATCATCACATTTCGCTTCCCTGTGGTCAGAGAGCTGGTCCTCGGGAGCAGGACTATGCCCAGGGCTCCTTGTCCTGCACAGCTTCAACATACTCTGTAGACTCTACGATGCACACTGCTTTGACCTTTACCATCTCTAAAAACTGGGGTGCATCTTACAATTAAATCCTACCATAGTTTCATGGATAGCCTCTTACTGCAATTTTAAAATTCTCTCTAGACAAGGCACCCCCTCCATACTGCTAATGGCGGTGGGGGGAGGAGCTCCCACCACTATGCCTCCGGGGCACCTGGCCAGAGAAGTGGGAACATTCCAAGGTCACCAGCCAGTCCAAGATGGAGGCTGGATTGAGTTCAGTTGTCTGACTTCCGGGTCCTTCTACTCTCTCGGCTCTGTCCCTCCAGGGGAATTTCGAAAGCAGGCTGTCTGCAATAGCCCAGCCATGGAAACAGCCTCAGCGCCCAATGGCAGGTGAGTGGATAAAGATGTGGGATATACACACAGAATATTACTCAGCCATAAAAAAGACGAAGACGTGGATGGAACTTGGGGGGAACTATATGAGTGAAATAAGTCAGCGGGAGAAAGACAAATACTCCATTATCTCACTCACATATGGAATACAAAGAAACAAAGCAAAGGAACAGACAAAACTAAGCAGATTAAACCCCTGAAATACGACTGCAGGACCGAGGCTCGTAGAGACTGTGCCTGAGTGCACAGTCTGTGCACAGGGTGGGGAGCAAATGAGGAAGGGGTGCCAGTGGCCTAGGATGGAAGATCAGCAGGGTTTTGGTGCTAATCATGTTTTGGTGTAACATGCATTTGAAGAGGTAAGAGTCTCCACCCCTACATCGTATATAGTGCTGTAAAACAATGTTACCGCAATGAAAAATTAATAGTGAAAAAAAGACTCTGGTATTGCCATCATATTGACACAAGAAACACACAAGACGAATGTCTTGGGGAAGTGGGAGTAAGTTTTCTCTTCTGTTTATTATGATCCTCTAATTTTTTTTCCAGGGGACACACAGTACTTGGCCAGGGAGGCGGGATGGGCACTGTCCAGGGACAGGCAGTCCCAGAAGTGGCGGAAGCAGAAGTGGCAGCAATGAGCCCACACACAGACACCCCCACCCCGAGCCACAACTCTGGGGGAAGCACTCCCTGAGGCCTGAGGACAGCCTGGGGGGCACGTGTATCTGGGCAATCAGCTGAAGGAGCTGAGGTACCCTGGATTTTATCCTGTGAACGGGTGAGAAGCCATAAGAAAAGCTGCAAAAACAACTGACACCTGACTTACCAAAAGATCCCGTATCCTCTGAATACCCAGGCATCTTTAATCGGTAGTATCTGACTTTCCTCGAAACCCTGTCCTTAGTGTCCCAGAGCCTCAAGGTTATATTGTAGAAATTTATTTTCTTTAGTAATTCCTTTGTCACGCTGATGTGAAAAGTTTGGGCCCAGGACACCCAGACTTTATGCCCTTCCTGCCACAGCTTCACAGTCTGTAAAAGAAAATGCAGTGACTAAGTGGGAAAACTGAGGCGACTCCATCTGAGATGCAGGATCGCTACCACCCCTCACGTCCCCACAGTGGAGCCGGGCCCTACCCTCCACCTGCCTGACCTCTGGTCTGCCTGGCGCTCCAGGCTTCCAACCCACAATGGGGATGGGTGTCATGGCCTGGGCCCCTTCACACCTCTGAGCAACACAGTAAAAAAATTTCAAAATCAACACAATGGGGCCTCCTGGTGGTGTAGGGGTTAAGTCTCAGCACTGTTACTGCAATGGCCTGAGTTCAATCCTCGGCCAGGGAGCTACCCACATGGCATGGCAGACCTCTCCTGTCTCACCCGCTGCTCCCCTCAGCAGTGTATTTCAGTTGATCTGCCTGTTCTGCTCCTCACTCTCTCTAGTGAATCCTCTCACCCGCCCCCCCCCACCTCTGGCCTGCACCCCTGTCCTTTTAAGCAAAAATAAATAAAAAATTTTAAAAATCAACACAATGCCCTGGAGTGTCCTCTCCAATGGCCTGCATGCCATGCTCCGGGCAAGCCACGAGCAGGAGTGTGTGCGCGCAAGTGGGTGTGCAGTTACATACATGGGCACACGCTTACACAAAGAAAGTAACTGAGGCACCACAAACCCTTTTGAAACACCAAAGCCATTAAAGACATCACCCAAAAAACCACGGATTGGTATTATCAAGGCAGGGCCGATTCTCAATCAGTAGGTGTGGGTGGGGCCTGCATTTCCAGCAAACTCTGGGGAAGCAGGCACCCTGCGCACACGCACCTTAACTCCGGAATCCAGGAACACTTTGGCCACCATTGGAAACAGCACCATGTCAACTTTTTTAGGTTCTGTGTCATCTGGCAGAAGGAAATACTCGATGTGGTAGAAACGGCGAGATTTCGTCAGAGATCTGTCCATTTTAAAGTGTCTGAATATGTCATTCAAACTTAAATTTAAATATTTTCCTTTCTGAACTGAAAAACAGAAATTTAATGAGTCTCATTTTAACCTGCGAGGAAAAGCAGACCATGTCCAAGATTCCCTGGAGCCATATTGAGCCGGACACTGTGGGAGGCTGTCGCCCCCACCCCATACGCAGGTCCAGCCACCACACCCAGTAGGGAAGAACCTGCTTGGGCACCAGGGTGCGGGCTCCTGAAATTTTTCACCTTCGGTGTTTGCCTGCCTTTTCCTAGTCTCAGCAGGGAGAAGCAGGCTACAACAAAAAAGACCCGCATAATAGCTCATGGAGGAGGCAGAGTAAAGGCAGCCCAGGGTAGCGGAGACCCCCAGCAGAGTCTTACAAGGGAGAAGCTGGCAGAGGCTGCAGGCAGAGGCAGCAGCCCAGCAAAACCTCAAGAACAAAGCCATTCAACATGGAGGGGAGAGCAGGAAGGAGACGGAAAACAAGGCTGGCTCCACCAGAGCCCAGGGCCTGCCCCGGACCATAAACGGAACACTTCAGGTTCTGCTTCCGCAAGGTACCATGTTAGGTGCTCCATGCATATTTAATCCAAATTTCATTCTATAAAAACATGACCATCCCTAAAGCTATGGTTTTAAAATTTCAAGTTTTGAACACCCAGGAGACTGTTTCTGCCTTGATTTTGTGCCACAGAAAGAGTTAGCTTTTGTGCAGTTTGGAATAAACTCTTCTGCCAGTCCTTGGTAGGCATTAGAATTTCTCCAGAAGGAGCAACTGACTAGAAGTCTGCAGCTTTTCACAGGTTTGTGTTCCAACTGCACCCAAGGTGAACCAGCAAGGGCCACACACCGCTCACCCCTCTTTTTGCCTGTCCATCAGAGAGCAAGTCGCTGTAACCCCTTAGAGGGGCAATTAAACGCACACTTTGAACCCAGCAATTCGACATCTTGAAATTCAGATTACAGAATATACCAAATACACATGTACAGGCTACATATGCACAGAAATGTAAGTATTATGAAGTCTGTTAGAATTATAACAACAAAAATTGGAACCAACTTCAACGTTCACCAGGAAGGGGTAGTAAAATCCAGGCACAAGAGAATACCACACAGGTACTTAAAACAAAATAAAAACAAGTATGCTCATCTCCTCCAAGATATCCAAGACATATTGTCAAATTTTTCAGAAGCACGCTGTAGCATAGAAAAAGTGCAAAAACTCGGGCCTCCCTGGTGGCACAAGGGGTTAAGTCTCAGCACTATCAAGCTATCAGCAGCCACTGCAGCATGAGTTCAATCCCCGGCCAGGGAGCTAAGCCACATGGCGCAGCAGAACTCTCCCGTCTCACCTGCTGCTCCCCTCAGCAGTGTGCTTCAGTAGAGCTGCCTGTTCTGCTCCCTACTCAGTCTCTGGTGAATCCTCTTACACCCCACATCTTTGGCCTACACCCCAGCTCTTGTATGCATAAATAAAAATAAATCCTTTTTTTTAAAAAAGTGCACAACCTGATTTTTCTTAAACAATTTGTGTAAAATTTACTGACAGATCCATAAATACACTCAGACTGAAGGAAAAACACTGAAACTAGAATTTTACATCCACCCAAGATGTGTCTTTCCAAAGCACTGGCAGGATAATGCTCCCCTTATAGTCTCATAAAGTTTTGCTACACAGGAAACTATTTTTCAAATGCCTTCCAAAATAAGGAAACAAGTCCAGGAGATGCTACAAGAGGTGTGAGGGTTAAAAGTGAGCAGATAGGCACGAATTTTCTTTTTGCTTGGTATCTGATCTCTTTTTCCAGGCAGTTGGGCTGGAGAGCCACAGAGCAAAGATAAAAAGCGTCACTATGGATGGGCGGTCACACATAACCACAGAAAGTTCGTCAGCACCTGTAAACTCGGCTTACACCCAACACAGCAGCCTCCAAGGTGTTTGGGGCAACAATCAACAGAACAAGCGAAAGCTGAAGCTGATCATCATGGGATCACGAGGGGAATAGTTATGGGGAGGAAAACAGTGTATCAGCAACTGGAAGGCTATTCTCTTCTCTGCCCCTAATCTTGGGGGTCAACCATGTGAGTTGCTTTAGTCAATAAAAGGTCACCAGGCAGGGGACACCCAAAGCCTTGAAGGGAGCTTGGGTAGCTGGGCTAGTAACGGCTTGCCCCTGGCGTCTCTGCCCTTCCACAGGATGCATCCGCGCTGGCCCACGTGCCACGGGAGAACAAGCTACACCTGGAGCAGAGCCGGAAAGGGGCCAGTTCAGCTGACCTGCCCACCCAGGGGCATCAGGGATTCCTGTCTGAAGTCACTGAACTGAAGAATTTGTTACCCAGCATTTTTGTGGCAACTGCTGATTGACACACCTTTACACTTAGATTTTCATTTAATACATTTGAGAATCTGCATTTTAAATAAAGTGCTAGGGCTGCACAGCCAGCTTATGGGAACCTATGCCTTAATTCTCCATTATTTTATAGTGTGGAGAAAGCAGAAATAACATCACCTCCTCCTTTGGGTTGTCAAGGGATTATGGCCGCCCGTGTAACTGCTAACTTGTCTGGCCCCCAGTGGGCCCTCTAAAATTGCCATTCTTTTCCAATTTCTGGTCCTGGCATCTGCCACCCAGCTTGAGGGGGCATATGTGCACTAAGCTCCGGCACAAGAGGGTATTGGAAGTCTGCCTTTTTTTTTTTTTTTTTTAAGGGGCTGGGGGGGGGGCGGTTCAGCAGGAAAGGGGGTGGGGACCGGTGGGGAGAGGGCTTGCAGGGCAGAGTGTCCAGAATTCTGTCCTTACCAGCAGCAAAGGAAGGGAAGGCCAGTGAGATGATGAATTTGCAGGGGACCACCTGCGGTATGTCCGACGTGAAGGTGCTGGCAGGCCGCTCCAAGGAGCCCAGGCTGCTAAACAGGTGGTCGGAATCTGATTCCTGGGGCTGGGCCTTGGCCTTCAGGTACTCCTCCATCTCACCCTCACTCAGGGACTGGTAGAAGCTGACCATGGAGGACATGGGCCCCAGGCTTGACTTGTCATCCTCCCACTCCCAGGGCTGCAGAGACATGCTGAAGAGCGACCCGCAGGCCGGGGACTCCAGGCTGGGAGAAATCAAGCAACAGTGGCCACTGCCCTGCGGTCCGCGGAAGATCCCGCATCCTCTCTCCCTGTCCCCTGTCCTGTTCCAGGCCGAATGGCCACGCCCTGGGGCACTACCTGGCACGCAGTGGGTGTCCTGGGAGTTCAGGAGAAGGGTGAAGCACAGAAAATGCTGGCTGGCAGGTGATGAGCAATTCCAGTGTCTCCAGGAGAGTCGTCCTCTCCGCAGGGCAGCTGCTGCGCCTCCCGCCGGGGCTCAGAGGGGTCTCCCGGCTGGTGGGGTGTTGCTCAGGTGAGCGCAGTGCCCGAGGAGCCACCCCGGGCTGGGGAGAAGCTTCCCCTCAGAAAAGCCTCGCGGTGAGCTGCCCCCAGCACCGCGTGGGTTTGCCTCTCGGGGAAAAACAAAACCGCCAGGCCGTGGGGCGACTGTACCGCCGGGCCACGGGGCCGGGCGCGGGCGAGGAGGGCGAGGGCCCCCGGGCAGGACAGGAGGACGCGGGGCGCCGCGCTCCGGCTCCGCTCCGGGCCAGGCGCCGCACCGGACGAGCGGGGAGCGAGGCCGGGCCGGAGCGGCGGGCGTGGGGCAGCGCGACGCGGCCCGGGGCCGCACACCCGCCTCCTCCGCCCGCGGCCGCCCCGTCGCTAGGAGACGCTGGGGGCGGGACTTCCCGCCTCGCCGGGGGCCCCGCACCGGTCGGACAAGGGCTGCAGAACACGCCCACCCGAGCCCGGACACCGTTGCCTCGTCCGTTCATCTTTTCACTCGCTCGTCCCACCTTGAAGGAATTCAGCTCCGAACTTGAGCTTATAGGCCTGACCCTCAACTTCGGGGAAAGGTGGGGGTGCCAGGGGGTGCTGGCTCCTCCTCGCGGCCCCAGGCGCGCTCACCTCCCATTCCCTGGTAAAGGCACAGGAAGCAACGGGCTCTGCAAACTCAGATCACCCCACACACCCCTAATCTGTCACACAGACTGTCCGCTTCTGTCCTGTTGTGTCCTTCAACTATGACAACTATGTTTAGTAATCCGAGCCCTACTCAAAGATTTCAAGAAAACCGAAGTTTAAGAGAGGTGCAGCGCTCTGCCTCGGGTAACAGCGAAAGTGTGCTGCCCTGGATAGAAATTTGGACTATTTGGCTGCAAAGCAGGCCTGCCTGCAAAGCCCCCCCACCCCACACCTTTCACTTCACCTCCACTTCCTCACCTGTGCGGGTGAGCGAGCCCTGGCTGCTGGTCCCGGGGTAGGCAGCCAGAGAGCACCAAGAGGCTGGGGTGGAGGGACACACCGCAGAGGGGCGGTCTGTAGGGGCAGGGCAGGCTTTACCGAGATGGGCACTGAAATCACCGTAAGTTTTAGAACATTTTCTTCCTTCTACTAAGGTCATCGTGCACATTGACAATCTCCATTCCCACACCCAGGCAACCACAAATCAACTTTCTATCTCTAAAGAGTTGGCTTTTCTGGACATTTCCTATAAATGGTATCCTACAGTAGGCAGTCTGGCTTTATGACTGGCTTCTTTCATTTAACGTAATGTTTTTGCGATTCATTCACGCAGATGCATGTATCAGAACTTCACTCCTTTTCATGGCTGAATAATATTCCGTAATGTGATAGACCACATACTGCCTGTCCAGCCATCAAGTTAATGGACATCAAGACTGGACATTTAGGGGGCCTCCCCTGGTGGCACAGTGGTTGAGCGCTGGGCTGCGAGGCTGCCCGCAGCCTCTGTAGCGCCGGTTCATTCCCCGGCCGCCGGGAAGGGTCCCCCCCCCCAAAAAAAAAGAAAGAATGCTGCTATGAACATTCTTCGTGTGTCCAAGTCTTTGTATGGCTAGATGTCTGTATCTCTTTGATAGATACCTAGGAGCGGAAATGCTAGGCCATGCGGTAGTTTTATGCTTATCTTTTTGGAAACTGCCAAACTATTTTCCAAGTGCCTGTACCATTTGACATTTCCACAAGAAACATTTGAGAGTTCCCATTTCTCTACATCCGCAGACACATTTAGTGTTTGTCTTATTTATTAGCATCATTCTCATGAGTGCGAAATGGGATCTCACTGTGGTTCTGTTTTGAATTTCCCAAACCACTACAGATACTGAAATCTTTTCATGCGCTCACTGGCCATTTATGTACCTTCTTTGGAGAAATGTTTAGCCCTATTTTCACCCCCATTTTGATTAGACTGTCTTCTTACTGTAGTTCTTTGTAAATTCTAAATGCAAGTCCTGTGTTGAGCATGTGCATTACAGTTACTTTCTCCTAGTCCCCTTCCTGTCCATGCATTTTTTTAGTGGCATCTTTTGAAGTGCAAATGTTTTGCATTTTGATGATGCCCAGTTTATCGATTTTCTTTCTTTTGGGAGGGTCATGTGTTTGGTGTTGTGCCTAGGAAATCTTTGCAACTCAGACTCATTTTTAATAAAAGAAGGAAAACACGGTGTCTGAACTAACCAGGACTCCTGATAACATAATAGCCTTGACACTAATAATGATGGCTGGGGGACATTCCCAGACACTTGCAGGGACTTCACAAAACAACACTGACTTTTTGACAAACAGTTTGACAACATCAAGAGTTTCTAAAACTTTCACACTCCTGGCCCAGTAGTAAATCACCTAGGATAGAGAGCCAGCCATTCACAGTGCTGTTCTAAATGAAGAAACACTAATGGCGACTTTCATCTGCATCCTTGTGGGCTGATAGCCCTCATGCTTCAGTTAGAGAGGAGCTGGAGCTGCCCTCAGGAACAACCTTTGCAAAAAGTGGCAAAGCTGTCTAGGAAGGAGGCTTCGACATGCAAAGATGACACCAGCAAAGATTCAACTGTTTATGTCAAGGTTAATGAGGTGTAACTCACATCCTGTAAAATTCACCCTTTTTAAGTGTTTTTGACAGACAGAAATAGAGTCTTGCAACCTTTGGGGTGGTGACCCCAAAGAAGTCACAGAATATTTACAGAACTCCACAAAGGTCCCTCATATGAATATGCATAGAATACCCCTGGGAACAAACATATCAAAACACTATTCTTCTGTTGGCAGGATGGTATTTTTTTTGCTTCTTCACATCTTTTGGAACCGTTTAAAGATACTTTGAACACTATCCCACTTGAAATGTTCAAACAACACTGAACCAACTGCAGGGTATCATTCCTTGGCCCCAGTCTCTGTCCCCTCCCCCACACAGACACACAGTCCACCCCCAGTGCAGACAAAAGAGCCCAGAGACCTCCGAGTTTGCTCACTTCCAACCTTAAACAAAAACCGGAATGATTTCAGAGGCGCCTGGTAACATGTCTGGCAGCCAGAAAGGCCTGACAGCCACTATTATAAACGCTGACTCCCCTGTGGCCCGGCCCAGAGGTGGGGGGCGGAGGCTGGCCAGGGCTCCGTGGCTAGATATTTAAAGGCTTTCTTTTCAATATTGACTGGCGGGCAAAGCTCCTGTTCAACACATTCCTTCCCCCAGAAGCCGCCCCCAGCTGCAGGCCCTGGGCAGGGCTGAGTGGGCCCCATGGGTAGCTCTCAGCACCGAGTAAAATCAAATCAGATTCATGGGCAGAGAAGGAGCTCAGAAGTCCCACCAAGTTCTAGCATCCTGTTTTAAATGCACACGTCTTAAATGCACACATCAAACACCAAATGTGGTGGGGCTCCCAGAAGTTTCTGCCATCCAATTGGGGGCAGGAGGTTCCTAATCAACTATTGATACTTGGGGTCTTGCTGACGCCAGCCAATATCACAAGCCAAAGGACACCTGAAGCCATGAGACCAGCTAAAGGGAGCTTTCCCTCTGGAGGCCGTGCAATCACTTCTACAAATGATGGTTCACACAGCCACCATTATGCTGCCTCCTGTATGTCAGGCCCCATCCTGGACCCGGGGGGGCTCCAGGTCCCTGGCCTTGGGAAACATAGACCTTAGGGGATGCCCACAAATAACTGGTAGTATGCTGCTATGGCTGCTTTTAAAAAATACAAAGAGAGAAGAAACACTTATCTTTTGTCACACAGAAAGCAAGTACGAGACAAGACACCTCACCCTTTCCATTGGCAACCATAAGGAGGCAGCCAAGATAGGAGCTGGAGTTCTCCTTCCAGTTCTTCACCAGACCCCATTCTGGTGAACAGAGAGACAATGACCCTTATGGCTGTCAGCTCTGTCAGGATGAGAACACACATAGGCAAGACAGTCTGTCAGAGGTGCAGAGTGCTGGTCATGTCACTGAAGGTCTTTCTAAGGAAGTGATGTTGGAGCAAAGAACTTGGGTAGGGAGCAGTCAACGTCTGAAGGGACCCCCTCCCCCAAAGTAAGTCAGAGAAACAGCCAGGAGGCCACTAAGGGAGAGAATGCCAGTAGATGAGGTGGGAGAGGTTATGGGGAGAACACCGGGGCTGATGGTGTGGGGTCCTGGGGCCATCTCAACAGGAAATATTTAAGGGGTTCTGAACAAAGGAGGGCATCCTCTGGAGACCAGACTAGGAATTCAAGGGCAGTTCTTGGGATGAGGCTGTTGCAATAACACAGTGATGCTGGGAGCTTGGTCCAGGGTGGGAACACTGGAGCAGGAAGGTGTCAGGTTCAGGGCGTGTTCTGAAGGTGGAGCGCTGGACAGCCTGGCTGGCTAGATGTGGGGTACGAAGACAGGAAAAGAATCAAAGATGGCAGGGATTGGCTGAGGAAGGCTTGAGGCATTAAGAGCTCAGACGAAGGAGGAACAAGATGGGACGAGCCAGACTCCAGGGCTGAGAAGGTGTACACACGAAACATAAAAATACACTGGGGGCAGGACTGAAAATGGTGCAGCCACTTTGGAGAACAGTTCAACAGCTCTTCAGAAAGCTGGATATGAAACCACCAAGCAAGCAGCTATCCTTTGTCAAGGTATATGCCCAAGAGACACGGAAATACATGAACACGTGAACATGCATGTTCACAGCAGCATTCTTGATAATAACCCCAAATGTCTGTCCCTGCACAAATAGATAAAATGTAGTCTGTCCACACAAAGGAATATTATTCAGCAGTAAGAAGGAATAAGGTACTGATATCTGCCACATGGATCAATCTTGAAAACATTGTTTTCAAAAAGAAGCCACTAACAAAAGGTCACGTGTTGCTTGATTCCTTTTATGTGAAATGTCCATAGAAACAGAAAGTGGTGTAGGCCTAGCACTGGGGTTGGGGTGTAAAGGGGGGACCAATTCTAGTACAAGTTTTTTTTTGGGAAGGGTAGGTGATAAAAATATCTTAAAATAAGATTACGGTTTTATATTCTATAAATATACTAAAAACCATTTACTTATAAACATTAAATGGGTGAACTTTACGGTGTGTATGTAAATGGTAAAGTATATCCTTCCTCCCAAAGGGAAAATAACCAAAAACATTCCCTTGTCAAAAAGGTAAATATCACTTTAAGCAGTTCCAGTTCTCAGAAGTTACCAGTGAATCTCTTTGTGAGTTCTTCCAGCTTTTTCTAGGCACTTACATATCCCAGTAGAGAATATTTAAGGCTGTTTTATTGTTATTGCTGTGTAAGTCTTGACACTGCCCCTAACAAGCAGCACCCTGCTCTGCGGTGACTCATCCCTGCTGCGGGGCCAGGTGGTCCCCAATGCCTCAGTGAGGCCAGGAACATCCTGTGTCCGGGAGGTGTTCTGAGACAGAAGGCCAGAAGTGGGTATGAATGTGAAACTTTTTGTCAAACTGCTATTATTTTTTTAAATGCATGTCCAAAATGGCTGGGAGGCAGGAATCTGCCAAATGGTCAAAGTACTATTTCTGGGAAACTTCAAAGAAACAGAACTTAGTGTTTTTTCAAATTCTGGGATTTAACACTTAAGTTCTTAGATACACAGAAGGCAGAGTCACTCATCTTCGAGGACAGTTGTAGCAAGTTTGCGTCTGGCCCCAACTGCTAGATAATTGTTCCCAGTATCCTTAACAGGTGTAGACACCTCTACACCACTCATGAAAACGGAAAAACAGCCTTGCACTCACACCTGAGCTTTTCTTTCACCTTCCGGAAAGGTGTCCTAAGGCCCCAGAGAAAACATTGGCCAAATAGCAACCTGTTAGCGTAAGGGCAGCTGACAAACAACTCAGGTGACACACTGACTCACTGTTCACGCACGCCAGGGTTTGGGCCCAAAGCCCCAGAACTTTCCGACCCTCCCTCCCCACCACCCCATACACACAGAGGGAGAGACTGAGGGCAATGTCTGGACCGAGAGGCCTGCCCCGAAAGCACCCCCAGGCTCCGCACCTGCACGGTGGACAGAGATGTGGGTTTGGGAACCCAGTATCTGAATTCAAGGGGCAGAGGGTCCCTGTACCTGCCAGGATAGAGGGCGGGCGGCGGGAGCAGGCCAGCGGGACTGCCCTGGAAAAGGCTTTCTGGGGACGAGGGGTGGGGTGGCGCGTGGGCGTGGGGGACACGCCCCCAGAAACCAGACAACTGCTCTCCGATCCCTCCCTGGCTTGCTAGCCCGAGCCCGCGGCTCCGGGCAAACTCTGCACCAGACGAGCAGGACAGCGGGTGGGCAGTAAAGCGGACAGAAGCGCACTGGGAGGAAAAGCGGGGGGCACCGGGAACGCCCTGAGTGATAAGGCCAGAGGAGCGCGGACTTCGGCAGAAGCGAGACCGGGAGACCCGGAGTGGTGGCCCCGCGGGGTACTCGGGAGTTTCCGGGCCAGCTACCGCATCCCGCCCCCAGCCAACAGGGGTAAACACGGCCGCCCCGCCCGGCCCGCGCAGCTGCTGGCCCTCTGCGCCCGGGCCGCTGCAGCCAGACCGCGAGCGCTAAGCCCCTCCTTTCGAGGGCCTCCGGGGCCGTCCCTGGAAGTGGCGGGGCGGAGGGGCCCGAGGAGCGCCGCGCCGCAGCGATGGAACCGAGCGGTGCGAGCGCAGAGACCGGCGTGGAGGGCGCGGGAGACCCGTACCGGCGCCCCGCGAGGCGCACGCAGTGGCTGCTGAGCGCCCTGGCGCACCACTACGGGCTGGACCGCGGCGTGGAGAACGAGATCGTGGTGCTGGCCACCGGCCTGGACCAGTACCTGCAGGAGGTCTTCCACCACCTGGACTGCCGCGGCGCGGGCCGCCTGCCCCGCGCGGACTTCCGAGCGCTCTGCGCGGTGCTGGGGCTGCGGGGCGAGGGCGCTGCCCCCGCCGGGGACGCGGCCGGCAGAGACGCGAGCTCCGCGGATGGGGGCGCCGGGGCCGGGGGCGCCGACCCAGACGCTGATGCGGAGGAGGCGCGCCTGGCGCTGTGCGCGGAGCCGCCGGAGCTCACGTTCCGCCAGTTCCACGCGCGCCTCTGCGGCTATTTCGGAACCCGCGCCGGGCCGCGCCTGCCCCGGGGCGCTCTGAGCGAACACATCGAAACGCAGATCCGCTTGCGCCGCCCGCGCCGGCGCCGCCGCACTCCCCGCACGCCGGGGCCGGACGGCGGACGCGAAGGCGAGCGCCTGGCGCGGCTGGAGGAGGAGAACAGCAGCCTGCGCGAGCTGGTGGAGGACCTGCGCGCCGCGCTGCAGAGCAGTGACGCGCGCTGCCTGGCGCTCCAGGTGCGCGCTGCACAGGGTGCGGGTGCGGGCAGGGCTGGCGTGGGGAAGGGGTCCTCCGAGCAACCGCAGGGCTGCAAACTGGGCAGAGGAAAAGGGAGAGCGGAGAGAGCGGCCCCACCCTCTTTCTGCCGACTTGGATGCGGTTCTTTCTCACCCCACCCCTCTCTCACCCACTCCAGCCCCCACTGTTTTTCTCAGCAACCATTCCACCAGCTTCCCCCTCCCCTAAGCGCCCCCCAACCCAGCCCCACCCAGATCACCATCCCACACTACCCCTGCCCCATGTCCTCTTGCTCCTAACTGAGAGTTGAACCTTCCAGGAGACCTGGGAGGTCTCTCATACTCAGTCATCCAAAGGGCACCAGCTCTCCGTGGTGCAGGCTTCTGGCAGGTTTAGGCGATGAGGGGTAAAGAGCCTGTCCCTGCCTTTAAGGGGCTCCCTGCTTAAGTGGGTAGTTGGGCAATTCATTCAGACAGACAACATTACTGATGGGCCTCCCTGAGGGCCAGACCTGATACCCTGGTGCTAACAGAAGTGCCACTGTCCATCAGGTTGTCGCTGGCCGCCCACCACCTGCAGAGGGAGGGCCACTCTGGAATACTGAAAAGGAGGGACCGAGTGAGCTATGGACCCAGCCTCAGTATCTGGGAGGCAAGCAACTAACACTTCTCCACTGTGCCCAGCCATGTGCCAAGGGCCTGACATGCCCTTGTGAGGTGCTTAGATGTTCCCCGAGTCTGGAGGATGGAGGAGCCAAGAAGGGTGAAGTGCTAGGAATGGAGGCAGGCAGAGCAGAGGGGTGACATCTGGAAATCACTGGTAATGAGCAAAAGACACAATATGGGCTTTGTGCCCTACTCCCTCATCCCTTAATAAAAGCAGGATCATTAGAGTCCCTGCCTCATCAGTGACTGTGAGGATTAAGCGTTCAGACACACCTGGCACCCGCCAGCAGTGTGAGAAAAAACGTGCACCCTCGATTTGTTTACCTGGGAGGGCGCCAAAATGGTGGCCCGACAGGTGCCTGGCGCTCACCGCCTTCTCCCTGCTGTCCTGTACCCGCAGGTCGGCCTCTGGAAGAGCCAGGCAGGCGCCCTGGAGGCGGTGCGCGATGGGCCCGAGGCAGCCGGGGGCAATGAGCCCGAAGCAGCCGCGCGGGAGCTGCAACAAGCCCGGGATGCGCTGGCGGCAGCTGAGGCCCGTGCCGGGAGGCTGCGCCAGGGCCAGGCTGAGGTCCGGCGCCGCGCCGAGGAGGCCCGGCAGGCGGTACTGCGCAGTCTGAGCCGGGTGCGGGAGCTCGAGGTGCTGGCGCGCCAGGTGCCAGGTCTGCAACACTGGGTGCAGCGGCTGGAGGGCGAGCTGCAGCGCTACAGGTGAGTGGGCATGTGTGGACTGTTGGGCCAGGGAGCAAATCCGGGTGCCCCCAAAACAACTCTTGTTCTCCCAAGCCTCACATATGCATTCCCTCCTTGTTTCTATGCACCTTCATGGGTTCCTCCATGCGGAAGTCCATTCTTCTATTTCTTCAGTCACTCATGGCTCTCTACCCATCCATACACCTGTTGAAAGTAGTTCCAGTTACTTATTCACAGTTGCACAGGGTATGTTATTCTTTGACAATAATAATGGCACTAGCTAATGGTTACTGGGCACTTCACGTGCCCGGCTCTGAGCTAAGCACTTTATGTGACTAACTGAATCCCCGCAACAGCCCTGGGAGGTAGGTGCCCCATTCTAAAGATGAAGAAAGACAGAAAGGATACACCAAGCCCTTGTGCCAGCTCCCCAGGGGCAGGAAGCTGGACTTGGGACCAAGGTTCCAATCCTGGCAGGGCTTCCGACAGACCCACGACCTGGGCCAGGCACTGGCCCTCTCAGAGCCTGCTTCCTCTTTGTTGGCCATTGACAGCTGTCCACGCCTGCCAGACTGGCTGTGAAGCAGTGAGGGCCTGCCTGGCACACACTAGGTGGTCAGGAAACAGCCCCACCATCCTCTAAGCCTTAAGGCACACCCACCTGCCTTTCACACTTACTGAGCACACCAGCACCAGGATGTGACTGTGAACAGGACAGCCGGAAATCCTGCTCTGAGCAGCCACGGGAGAGCATGTGAGAGCACAGCATGAGAGGCAGTGTCGGCAGACTGTGGTGGGGTGGAGGTACGGTCAGACTTGCTGCAGCTCAGCCAGCACCTGAAGAAATGACATTAGAGTGAAGAGTTAAGGATGGGGGTATTACCTGGCAAGATGGACCAAGATGGGGTGTGGGGAGATCATTCTAAAAAATAAGAACAATATGAACAAAGCCCTGAGGCACGAGGGAGTTTGGTATGTTCCAGAAACTAAAAGGAGGCCAAGCGGCTGGAGGGGATAAGCTGGAGAGGCAGGCAGAGGCCCAGCCATCTAGGGCCTGGAAGGACTTCAGTTTTTCCCTCAAGAGAGCACGAAGCCTTGGAAAAGTTTTAAAGGAGGTGACGGGAGCAGATGCACATTTCAAAAAAAAATATGTTACTCCAGCGTTGTGACAGTTGTGACAAAGAGATGGGAGTAGTGGGGAGGTCAGGGGGGAGTAGGCAGCCAGGCGAGGGTTTGTCACCCTCTGGCCTCACAGGCAGGTGGGCTGGCCAGGCTGGTGGGAGGGACGGCTACAAGGGTGGCTTTGAACCCAGCTGCTCAGAGGAGGGAGTTGGCCTGGACTTTTGAGGTACTCATGGCTGGGCTGGGGGGTGAGAAGGCACAATAGTGGAGGGACGCTGCTGAGGAGGCCCACTCTGGGCCAGCCTCCCGCAGTTCCAAATGTTTGGATAGCCACTTCCTGTTTGCATAGTTGATTGGCTAAAGAGCAGAGCTGGTTGGCCTGAGGCCCATGTCCAGCCTTGGAACTATCTCCAAGAGGAGAAATAATAGGTCTTATCATTGTTTTGCCCTAAACTAACTGTCCTTTAGGGCATAATTGTAAGAACAACTACAAACATGGAGGCAGCCATTTACTGGAGAAAAGGTGGATTTGTAGCCATGACACCATTTAGCCCTCCCCAAAACTGCACAGTAGGGGTTTTATTCTCCTTTTATAGACTGTAGGAAGTGAGGCGCTCAGAATTTACTGGGCCAAGCCACATGGCCAGAAGGTGGATGGAAGGTCCACCTACCCCCATACTTGTGTTCTTTCTCTTTCCACTTTACCTTACCTAGATTGACTCATGGTTACAATATGGCTGCTACACCCCCAGGCCAGGCCTAGTGCCTGCTATTTAGGTCCAGGAAAGATGGGCAACATTGGTAGCGGGAAGGGTTTTCTTCGAGAGAGCTTTGCCTTTATATTCAGGAAAAGAAATCCCTCTGCACCCCCCCCCCCACTACCCTTCCAGGCCAAACTTGTATCTTCCTTGCCCAGAACTCTACCAGGCAGCTGCTCCTGCAGCCTGGTCATGGTGACACGACAAGTAGCATCAGGTCGCTCCTAGTGAGGAAACTGGGAAGCAGATATTGTGGCGGCTCTAAAGGAGACAGTGAGTGACACCGCGGGAAGATCGTGGTGACTGCATGGTGCTGTCCCTTGTTTCCATGCTCCACACCACAGGGAATCAGAAGGCAGGCCTCCTCTGCCCCTTCTCTGTGGTCAGTGTGCGGCTTTCTAGACTGACTTGCCCCAAAGCTCTCCCTCTTGTAAGAGGGTCGGACAAACAGCAAAAGACATGAACATCAGCTGCGCAACAGGCATGGCTGTGTTAGTGCAGGAGACCCCCAGCAGCTGGCAAAGAAGGTATTAGTCTCTGCAGTTTGCAGTGCAGAAAACCAAGGCCAGCGAGGAAGCACATTGTCAGTGGCACAGAGTGACAAGGCAGGAGTCACAGCGTAGCCAGGACAGCCCAGAGCTGCACACCAGGCTACTGAGGTAAAGGCACAAATCCTCCTGGACTCTGCTGCCCCATTTACAGGTCGGGAGCCAGGGGCGACCAGGGGCTGTTGCATGGCAAATGCCAGGATTCAGATGTCCCTCTTGTGGGCTGAACCACCTCCTGCAGCAAGGCCCTATTGGGCCTATAGTATGGAGGAACTGGGGGTGGGGAGAAGAGGCCCCACACCCCAAAGACTGGAGCCCCATCACTACTTCAGTGACATCACTCTGTAATGCCTCCAGGTGCTCTGCAGATGTATGGGGAGAGGAGCAATGGCTGAATCCCTCACCCCAGAATGACAGCTTGAAGCCATTAGGTTAGAACACACAACCCTGATCACACATTTCCAGCACTTTCCCAGAAACCAACTCACTCTGGCCTTCTGACGGTGCTCTGGGGTTCAGCTTTCCTCTGGTGAGGAACCAGCCTCAGGAGGGGATGCTACTCATGTCACAAGGCCAACACTTCACTGTTCAAGGGCTCACCTGAGTTTCCCGATTCCTATCAATGTCCTTTCAACCTCACTGGACCAACCTGAAAACATGTTCAGCCCTGAACCTGTTCTGGGGTGGGGCAGGGGAGATGGGACAGGATAGTTGAGTGATCTGATTGGCCAAACCCTAGTCACTACCCAGAGACTGAGGTAGGTCCTCCCGGGAGAACCAAGGGGCCTAAATCCCAGGCGCTTAACAACACACCCCCTGCCTGCAGCAACTGGAAAGTCCTGGACAGCGGCCCGCTGGGGAGGGAGCCTGTTAGTGTGGGACATGCTTGTCACAGTCAGCTTCTCCAGGAGGCTGAATGTTTTGAGGTGTGGTTTGGGGGCACTCTGTGCCCTTGCCAACCTGTGCCTGTTCTGGTGCTTCAGAAATTGCTGTGGAACAGGGGGAGCGGGTCACTGCAGGTGGTCTCCTGCCCTACCCGCTAGCCCCCCTGGAAGCACCAGGTCTTGGCATTTCTTTGGCCCAGAACCCAGTCTGGGGCTTGCATTAAGGCATGGCTGCCGACTTTCAAACTGTCTTGGCGAAAGGGGCATGGGCAAGCACAGGCATGCCCAGAGCTGGCCAATGGCCTGATCCGGCTTTGGGGGAGTGGTGCTGGGGTGGGGGTGGGGGGTGGCTGGAAATCCCTAACTCAGTGGAAGGCCCCTGGTGGTTGTGGTATCTCTGGTCTTCTCTTGCAGCCCCCACATCCTAGCCATTCCCTGCCCTCCCTCCCTCCCTCTCCCCACCACCCCACCTCCCAGGAGCAGCTGGACCTTTAAGGAGACCTGGGCAGGCAGTCAGGGGCTAGCACTGCTGGGCGGGCCTAGGCTCAAACTCAGAGAAGACAGAAACCCGCTCAGCTGGAGCTGGAGGAGGAGGGGCCACCAGTCTGTCCCCATTGGCTTTGTTGCTGGGGAGGATGAAAAGGCCAGGAAGGAGGAGGGGAGGACCCAAGGGCAGCGGCCACCATGGAGGGAACATAAAGCTGAGGCCATCGGAGGGCCACCTCCTTTCTTCTGCCCATGGCAGCAGCCCGCCTGACCTGGGGGGCCCAAATCATTGGCAGGGAGGGAAGGAAGCTGAGTGGGGGCAGGGCGGTGGGGTCCATGGCACCATCTGGAGCCGGAGGCGGCAGGTCTGGTCTCAGCATCCATTATCCTTGGGAGCCGGTGTGTGGGTGGGCGCTGGTGGGAACTCTTTCTCCCGGGACAATACCCAGGGCTCACAATGGGACAGTGCCGTTGGGGCACCTGCCGCCTCCCCACCTGGGCCCTGGGGATGCAGACAGGCCTGCGGGGTGGGAGCCCAGGTCCAGCAGTACAATTTTTCACTCGCGCCACTGCCCACAGGTCACGCACCATGGCTAGGCAGGGCAGGGAGTGTCAAGCCACTTTAGTCTAAAAACAGTCTGGTGAACCCCTGGGAAAATGTCCGTAGTAGAGGATTTATCAGTTAGGACTGTTTTCAGTGGCAAGTTCGAATGGTGGCTTAACTACATCGGGGTTCACTGTCCACAACTAACCAGAAGGCTGGGAGTCAGCTCTTTTCAACGTTCATCTGGCCGCGTGGCTGCCACAGCTACTACAGGCAGAAGGAAAGGGGCCGGCAGTTCTTTTCTGTGTAGGAAAGCACAGCCTGCCCAGAAGCCACGTGAGTGCAATGCCAAAGCAGGGTCACACAGGGTGGGGAGCGGGGGGGGGGGGGGGGGGGGAAGAAGGGAGGCCTGGGGGTGGGGAGAGGAGGGATTAGGGTCAAAATAAGGGGGGGTGCAATTGTATGGGGAATATAACCAAGATGAAAAGGCATAAATTGTGCAAAATTGAAAAATGATGTAAGAAATATATTTTAAAAAAAGGGAAAAAAAAAAGAGAGGCTTTTTCAGGCCCCGGGAGTAGAGGCACCGTGGAGTGTGGCTCAGTGGTTGAACTGTTCCATCACTAATCACGTCTCCCAGAGAGATCTATCCTGGTTCCATGGCCCTGGGCAGTTTCTCTGAGGGCAGTTCCTGAGCCCAGGCATTTGGTGCTAGCCCAGGGCCTAGGGCTTCCTGCCCTTGCAGAGAGCAGGATCTTGAGCTCCAGAGAGGAAGTTGGAGCCCAGAATGGGACAGCAATCTACCCAAGGCCACCCTGCAAGTCGGGGCACAGCCTGAGAGGGACTCAGTCCTCAGGAGCCCAAGAGTCTCAGGCTCTGCCACTGCCCTCGCGTGGGCTGGGAGTAACCTCTGGCTCCTGCACCTTCCTGGTTAGGTAAGGGGGTGCACTGAGACCCCTGCTTTCAAGTCCCAGCTCCTCCAGTCCCAAGCTGGGCAGGGGCCCTTAGGCATATGCAGATGGTTACAAGAACTGAGGCACCAGCTCCCTGGGTAGGGCAGCCACAGGACTCAGGGTGGCCTGAGGTGCCAGGCCAGTCACCACTGGCCATGACCCACCTTGTCCACTTACCTCTAAATGCTGTACATTATCTTCGGTGCCTTGACACTTCTCGGGAAGCTGCATGCCTCTGTTTCTTCACCTGGAAAACACGGTTAATTTTAATGCCTATATCACAGGGTAAGGACTAAGGAAACAATAACAGTCAAATTGGCTTGGGCACATAAGCACCCAGTGAATGTCCCTGCCGCCAGTTGGCCCTCACCTGTGGGGAGCCTCCTCACCTGTGCAGCGTTTATGTGTCTGCGCCACAGACTTTAAACCCCTGTGCCCCCAGCATGCTCCCTCCCTCCCCATCTCTGCTCAATTGCACTCACCTGGCTGCACACTGCAAGGAGTGGCTACAATGACCCCACATTTAGAACTTTTCAAATTTGGTGAGCCAACACACTTTCCTGGAGAAAAAGGCCCAGGGAAGAATGCTGCCCAACCCAGCCAGGTGATGGGGCCACATCTAGGATCCCCTTGCGTATGGGTGGGGCAGGGGGAGGGGAGTACTCCAGCTGGCCAGGACTAGAGCATACCCCACACCCAACGTGTGGGCTGGGAGGGTGGCTGTAGGGTGGGGGTGGGGGCTGCTACAAGATAGAAGGATGCAGGTCAGACAGAAACAACAAACATCCACCTCATGCGCTTCCCCTGGGGAGTGAAGACCAAGAAAGATTAAGACTGCACAAGGCACTGTGCAGAGGGAAAATGAAAGAGCGGATGTTTGGGCGTTGGAGCCAGATGCTGGAGCTTTCATGTGCAGCACTGTGCTTTTCCAGAAAATTAGAGGGCCTGCCACATGTTGGCGTTGCCCCTTGTCCAGGGAGGTCCCATCCACACAAGGTCGTGCTGCTTACCCACGAGACATTGTAGCAGCAGGTGGAGGCCGGGCATGCTTGTAGCTCCAAGGTGCTGAGCTAGGACCCTGACGTGTGCCTGCAGTGTGGGAGGTGCTGACACTTCTGCAGACCCTGGCCAGTGCCACTGTGGAGGGCATGAGGGAGCAGGTACCATGGTCCCCAGGGTGTTCTGATGGGCCAAACTGGCGCACAGGCTCTCCAGGTGGTGCTGTGCAGAGAGAAATGGAAAGAAACAAATACCCTTCTTCCAGTGGAGGAAGTTCACACTATATTCAGTATTTTAGTTCTTAATGACTGAAGCCAAACTGGAACCACTTTTTTTGTTTGTTTTTTAAAGATTTATTTATTTATGCATATAAGAACTGGGGTACAGGCCAGAGGTGTGGGGGGTGGGAGGATTCACCAGAGACTGAGTGGGGAGTAGAACAAGCAGATCTACTGAAATACACTGCTGAGGGGAGCAGCAGGCGAGTCAGGAGAGGTCTGCTGCGCCATGTGGGTTGCTCCCTGGCTGGGGATTGAACTCGTGCTGCAGTGGGTGCAGATAGCTTCACAGTGCTGTGCTTAACCCCTTGTGCCACCAGGGAGGCCTGGTGGAACCACTTTAAAAAAAAAAAAAAGTTACTTATTTGTCAACTAAAAATTCTAAGAGCATTTGGTTTAAGGCATTGTTGAATCCAGAGCTCAGGTGGTGGCCCCTGGGCAGCTTCCTCTCTGCTTTCCTCTGACTGGCTCTGCTTTCCTTCTTCCCTCATGGTGGCAAGAGCTGCGACACCACAGGACTGACTCCTGTTCTCCTGGTCACTCCCAACAGAAAGAGCTTTTCTTTCATTGTAGTCACAGCAGAACCTCAGATCAGCTCTGCTGACCTAACATGGCCCTGTCCATCCTCGAGCCAGTCATGGCGCCAGTGACAGAGCAGGCTGATGGGGTGACTGCTATGGAGCAATCACTGCCAGTCTGACTGACCAGATCTGGGTCACATGGACAGTCCCCTGGGCTGGGAGTGCCACTGCCCCTAGTCTATGCTCCTGCTGCCACCAAGTCCACAGAGTGCCTGGCCCAGGAGAGCCGGTGCCTTCCTCCTGCAAGGCAGTGCCTGGACTGCCAGAAACATGAGACTTTCTGTCACCTGATCTGAATAGGGGACGGAGAGGGACACGTCTGAGAGGACTGAGGTGACGTGGGGATGCGTAGGGCCACCCTAAGTCAGAGCCCGGTAAGGGGGTACAGAGATTCCTCATGTTGTCTCTTCGTGATTTACTGTCAGAAATAACCAGACTTTTCTTTATTCAACCAAATTTTTGTCATGTGTCCCAAAAGTGCCTGTGCTGTCCTGGATACGAGGGGAACAGCATGGGCAGGACAAGGTCCCTGACCTCACAGAGCTGATGTCTGGGGTGGGGGTGGGGGTGTCCACCAATGGGCGACACCAACAGGATGAATAGGGGGAGGTGAGGTGGAGGTGCCAGCTTCACTCCAGCACTTGGGGCGGAGTCTTGCTGGCCTGGGCTGTGCAACAGGTGCCGCGGGCTGGGGCTTCAACAGCACCTGCCACCTCACAGTTCTGGGCCCGGCAGCGCAGGAGCCAGGAGTGAGCAGGGCTGGTTCTCTGAGGGCGCAGTCTCTCTCCTCAGCTGTGGGTGGCGGGCGGTGGTCCTCTCCCTGCATCATTCTCCATGTGTGTATGTATCCTCGCCTCCTCTTCCTATAGGGACACACCAGATTGGAGGGGCCCTTCAGTGGCCTCACGTTAACTTGAGCACCTCTCCCCAGCCACAGCCTCCAAACACAGCCACGTTCTGAGGGACCAAAGGTTAGAGCTTCCATGTGTACGTTTGGGGAGAGAATTCACACCATGACAGGAGGCTTCTGCAGTTGACACCTGAGTGGCCAGAGGGAAGGAGCAATCTGTGAGACGTGCGGTGGGGGCGAAGTCGGCAGCAGATGGGAATGAACTTGGCTCATCTGTGCTGGTCTGGAGGGGCCAAGCAAGTTGGAAAGTGACCGATGAGGATGGACCAAACAAAGGGCAGGAAAAGAGCCCAGAGGCCCCCTCCCTATGCACCCCACCCTTGATCCTGCCCCCTCCATGTGTGCCCACCACCCTGCCCTGCCCCACCCCTGGATGGGACTCCTAACTCCTCTCTGGCCCACTGACCATGCAGAGGCCAAGGTGGACCTTTCCACACTCACCTAACCTTGTAGCTTCCTGGTGCCCTCAGGACAAACACCAGCCAGGGCTCTGCCCCGACTCCCATTCCCTCCCCCCTGCCCCCCCCCCAGCTTCCTCCACTCTGCCCCGCACGCACACACCTCCAGGCACCATGATCCTTCCATTCCTGGAGCCCACCAGATTGGGCATTCTGGGCGAGCAGGCCCCCCTCAGTTTTCCCACAGCCTGCTCCTGACTAATGCTCATCCACGTTGCCAGCTCATCTACACCCCAGTCCATCTGGTCTACTCCTATTGCCTCTCACAGCCCCTGGCCTTTCCCTCAAGGCCCTTTTGTGATTTGTGATGGAGGCCCACCTCCCGGGGGACCGCGAGCTCCATGAGGTCAGGGTCATTCTTCTGCCCAGTATAGTGCCCCCAGCAGCCGCACATGGCTGGCCAACAATGCGTCTGCTGGGCAAATTACAGAACAAAATGAGCAGCTCAGGCCAAAGAGGCCTCAGAGATCCTTGGGCACCGCGAGTCACCCTGCACCGACCCCAAGAGGGGCGCAGGGCACACCTGACTCCACACCAGCCAGTAAAGGTGGCAGCCAGTACTGGGGGGTGACACGCGATATGAGTGCTTCCCAGGCTGAGAGGACCCCTGGACTGTCCCACACGGACCTCTTTGTGGTTTATTTTCACCTCTTCCTCCGATGGCCCCCTCTTGTGCTCTTCTTCCTACTGTTGTTCTCTTGTTTTTACACACCAGTCTCTGCTTCCTGAGAGGCTTTGCTCAGGAAACACCACGCAGCAGAGGAAGCATGTGTGTGTGCCCCAGGACCTCCGGGGCAGGCTCAGTGATGTGGCTGGTCTGCTGACACCCCCCTTGAGGGCCCTGGCCTGGCTGGGTCCTGTCAGTCCTGCAGCTTCCCAAAGCTTGCTGAGTGTCTCAGAGGGTTGAAAGCAGAGAGTGAAGCAAATGCCAGTGACATTTTCCATCCATTGCAGAAAATGCTGAGCCCTGGGTAGTACAGGGGGGATCTTTTGATGTGTCATCTTGATGTGCCGCTTGGTCACTGTCCCTGGTGGCTCAGACGCTAATCTACAGTTGCTGTGAAGGCCCCTGCTGACATAACTGAAGTCCACAGCAGCTGACTTTAAGTAAAGATTATCCTGGAAAATCTGGGTGAGCTCAATTTAATCACCTGAAAGGCCTTACAGTGAGGCTGAGGCCTCCCTGAAAAAGAGGAGGCTTCATCTGTAGACAGGGCCTGGATCCAGGCCCCTTGTCTCCCCCTGAGGTGGGTTTTAGACTTGCAGAGCCAGCCCTCAATCACAGTAGCCACCCCCATGGAATAAAGTAGCCACAGACACAGCTGGCTGTCCCCCACTGACCCAGCTTCTCTGGCTGAACCTGACTCACCCGGGAGCAGAGGCAGGAGGGGAGCAGACACAGGATGAAGCCTGATCCAACGTTTCTGAGAGCTTGCCAGTCATGAAGCACTATGCCAAAGACGCCAAGGCACAACCCCGTGAACCCCTAAGCGGTGCTAGGATAAAGCTTTAGGCTTCAGTGACAGAAACCCCGGCTGAGAATGGCCACCACAAGCAATGATGACCCCAAGTCCAGAAGAGAGCAGTTCCTTCACAGCTCAGTGACATCTGCAAGGACCTCATGCTCCACCTTTCCACTGTCTTCCGCTTGTCATCTTGGCCTGTTAGCATGGGTCCTCACAGCCCCAAGACAGCTGCCAGGGCCTCAGGCATCACCACCACATCCAGTGACAGAAAAGTAACTTCCTCCTTCAACTTCCCTTTCCCCAGAGACCCTTCTGGCAGACTCTCCCTCACCTCTCACTGGTTAGAAGTACACCACATGCCTGTTCCTAAGCCAATCCTTGGTAAAAGGAAGGAAACATCACAATCAGCTTAGACCACTCTAATTTCTCCAGAAGCACAGTCCTCTGTGCCTGAAAGCATGATGGAGGTTGTGTCAACACAGGACAAGGTAGGGTGAGAATGCTTGGGCAGCTGGGTTTGGTTTCCATGCAACCACAACAAATTATCACAAACTTAGTGGCTTAAAACAACACCCACTTATGATCTCACAACTCTGGAGGCCAGAGCCCTGGGTTCTCATGAGGTTCTCAGAAGGCTGAAATCAGGGTTTCCTTGGCGGACTCAGTAAGAATCTTGTTTCCAAGCTCATCCAGGTGTCAGCAGAACTGGGTTTCTTGTGGCTGCAGGACTGAGTTCCCCTCTTCCCTGATGGCCATGGGCCAAGCGTTGCTCCTGGCATTCCACTTCATCTTCCACTTCAGGCCTCCCTGACTTCCTCTTCTGTGCCAATAGAGAAGGGACTCTGCTCTTCAGGGAACCCCTGTGACTATACTGGGACATGATGCCAGTACGGTCAGCTGTTGCAGGTGACACAAACACCATCCCAGGTGACACCTCTTCACATTAACAGGTTGCAGGAATTAGGATGTGGAATCTTGAGGGTCACTGCTGGAAACTCTGCCCACCCCAGCAGGAACCATGGCACCCGCCACGGTGAGACAGACATTTCACTGGAAAGATCAAGTTCAGATAAGTGAAATCAGTTGCTGAAGCTGGCACCAGCAAGGAGTTTGTGGTTGCAAACAACAAAAGCCAGCACTGGCTCATTGCAATTGGAAAGGAACTGCTCAGAGGGGCGCCCCAGAAGTAACAGAATCAGTGGGTGGGTTGCAAGGCCAGACTCAGGCAGAAAGCAAGGGGTGGGGCAGATGCAGCTGGTATAGCAGTTTGCTGGGGTACCTCCCCCACTCTTGCTGCTGTCTCATGCCCTATGCCTCCAGACTCGCACGAACCTCCCCTGGTGTGTGTCCTGGAGATTGTCAGCCCTCTACCCGCTTCACACATCAGCGACAAACAAAAGCCCTCCCTCTGCTTACCCAGATGGTCACACTGTCCTGGCCGGTCACGAGAGTCCCTGCTGCCTTCAAGGTGGTCCTTTCACCCCAGATGGCGGCTTTATTCCATAACCTCACTCAGAATTCTCGGCAAATCCAGAAGGTGCTGGCTGGCTCTGGGGATAAAGGTGATACCTCAGTTCACCACAGTGATTGAACATGTTTCCCCTGGAATGAACTCAGGAATAAAAGCTATCAGTTCAGCTGGGGGGGTGTGTGTGTGGGGTGGGGCAGCAAGCTAACACCCAGAGGCCAAATCAAGCCCCATGCCTATTTTTGTATAATATGCGAGCTACGATTTTTACATTTTTGAAATGGTTGAGGAAACTCAAAAAGGAGTATTTCCTGACACACAAACATTTCTTGAAATTCAAATTATGTCCACTAAGTTTTCTCAGAACACAGCCAAATTCATTTGTTTATATATTATCTGTAGCTGCTTCCACCGATAATTGCAGCATTAAATGGCTGTAGCAGCGACCGTGTGGGCTGCAAAGCCTGAAATATTTACTCTATTCCTATGAAAAGGTTTGCCAACCCCCGACTTAAACAGTAATGTCCTGAGATTGTTATGCTGCACACTCTGGGCCACTGACCCACCACTCGTGCAGGAGACCTGGACTGGAGTGAAGGAAGCAAAGGATTTTCTCACTTTTTATTCCCATGCCCCTTCCTGCCCGCAGGCAACCAATCTCATCTGATTTCTGTGTATCTTCTTGTTGGTCTGTGTTCTTGCAAAGTGTGCATTTTTGGGTTTACCTTCTCTTTGAGTCTTCCGTCTCACTCTGCTGCTTGCGTGTTGTGCTCAGTGTTGGGTGTTTTCGGTGCATGTGTTGTGTGCACATCTGCCCACCGCCTCCCCCTCCTGAGAGTGCCCACCCACTCCTATATCCCTCTCCCCAGATGACACTGGCGAGCATCCTCTTCCAGGCAGACTAGTGTGCTAGTCCTCAGAATATATATCTGGTGAAGGAACTGCTGGGTCCTGGGAGGCTAATGCATAATTTGGCCACGGGACACCCACCAGCCTGTGTGTTCTTTGATGTCATTAGGTCACAAAGCTATCCCATTATATATTCTCCGATTATAACTCTACCCTTCACATTTAGGGCTTTAATACACCCAGACTATACACCCTTTCAGGCCATGGAGACAGCTGCACTTTCCCCACGCAGTACAGGGGCAACTATCTTTATTCCCATGGGATGAAGAAGCCCAAGCAGACCCCTGATCAGTGTTCATCCTAGTGCTTTGATCACCATCAAATGGTTCTGATGAGGAGGTGTGGAACCTCATTTGTGGTACATTTTTTGTTTATACACCAACAGATTCAAGTTCTAGGTTCAAATAACTGTAGTGTGAGCAAACTTGGCACCGCAGGGGTGTATTAGTGAATTGTAACATTGAACTGAATAGAAAACAGTGGCTTTCAAATGAGAATTCAGGCAAAACGACTGTGAACTACTAGATTAACTTTTAATAAGCCTTCAGTTCAGCACTGTCCAGCAGTACTTTCTGATGCTGGAAATGGTCTGTATAAGCACTGTCCAGCCTGGTAGCCACAGCCACATATGGCAACTGCACACTTGAAATGTGGCTCATACATTTTTGGCCTTTTTTCATTTCATTAATTTAAGTAGCTGCAAGTGACTAGTGGCTGCCATACTAGACAGCGCAGGTTAGAAGAAATGAAGAGACCGGCCAGTGGGATAGACACCAGACCTGCCAGCTCCTCACCACCCTCTGCATTACAGAACTGAGGGAGGGGTCTGGCTACTGAAGGCCTTAAGCCAGGAGCCAGGAGCTGCCAGGCCTGGAGGAGAGGGGAAGAAAAACATCTGGCCCTTGATGATTATGTAAGCCGCCGGGCTGGTGGCCAGATGTGGCCATTGGCCTCCGGCAGGAGGAAGACATCAGAGGCTCACTTGGGGCTCTGGGCAGTGTACAGATGTGGCCAGCTGGGGGGACACCCGACCGCACGCAAGGACTCAATCTGTCCGGAAGTGAGGGCATGAGGTGGGTCCTGAAAAGCAAAGAATGACAGACAGCTCTGCAGGTCTCAGAAGCACCCAGCAGCCCCTCCATGGCTCCCCAGTGAGGTGCAGCAGCGAAGTATGGGATCATAAGCCAGGCATGGAGCCGGGAGGCAGGCCCTTCACTGTGCCTTTCCAGCCCTGATTTACTCAAGTCCTGGTCTGGAACTGATCAATCTCTAGCTCATCCTAACACTGCTAAGCTCTTTCCCTAGCACAAACAGCTCTGTGGTCAGCAGAGGCAGAGAGAAAATAAGATGTAGCTATAGCACTGACTAATTTTTTTTGTGGTCATCACTTTATATATTTTTATGGTTTCTATTTATTGCAAGAGATACTGGCTTTTCGTTACTGGTGACTATCTTTTCCTTTAGAAAATCTGTGTTAGTAAACAACAGGACCAGTGACCCAAAATGCCTGCAGTTTGGGAAGGACCCCATCATCCTCTCACTTTAAGGGTCCACTCCTCTGGGAGGTGGGCAGATGGCTTAGCCCTGACCCACAGGAAGCAGCTGCTTGGAACTGGAAAGTGATGGAGCTGGGACTCAACCTGGGTGTTGTGGCTCCAAAGCTAATGCTTTCTGGAACAATCCAAGAACAGAAGGTGAAGGGAGGGGGCTGGGGAGCCCCTGGGCTCTGGCCTTGTCCCAACCTGACCAAGCCTTCTTCCTCACCTGAATTACTGCTAATTGTATCATTCATTCATTTACTCCCATAAGTTTTGGGCCCCAGAAAATCCTAAGAAAACCTTTCACAAACCAGGGTATATGGTGGGTTTGCAGCCAGTTAATATTTTATGGGCACCTCCTATTAGCCTGAACCATTTTAAATTGCCCTTTTATAGGCCAAAAACAGTTAAAATCTGCAGTTGCACTTGATGCAACCTAATACATGCAAACCTAACCCGGCACCCACCATCAGTAAGACAAACGAGAGCGGGACTGTGCAAGGCTGGGTGAAACTGGGGGTGGGACAATGGAATATGGCCCAGCTTTGGAGGTGGTGGCACCCCTACCATGCCTGTGACTTAATCTTTACCTCCTCTGAGAGAGACCAGACTCCAAGATCCAGGGAATGAGTGTTGCCCAAAATAGAACACATAACCCCAGCCCAGAGGTAGGGTACCCAGCCAGGGTCTTCCTCAGCCCCTCCCAGTCTGCTCTGGGAGTCCTCTGCTCTGTCCCTACTGCCCGCTCCTGTCCCCAGACACATCTGTTCACGTCTCTCCCATTCTACTCAGCACCAAGTCCTGTCCCCTCCAGGACACTGTCCCTGCTCTTCTGACCCAGCATGCTCATCTGTGTGAAAGTGAGGCCCTGAGTCCAGGGAGTATGGCCCTGAAAAGCAAGGATGCTCTCTGTGCTCCCTGCTTCTGGTCCTGTTTCCACCAGAGGTCTGCGGAGGGCAGGGGCCACACTCCTGTCCCCTCTTCCTCCTCTCACATCCTCTCCTGACCTGCACAGACCCAGGCATGGGAGGTGCCACAAGATGACAGGCACACAACAGCCCTCTGCTATGCCACTGGGCTGTGCCCTGACCCTCACGCATGAGCTCAGTGGCCCAGCCCAATGACCACTTTCCATGAAAGGAAGGAGGAGCAGGGGGAGGAAGTTGAGGGTGACGGGCAGCTTCTGAGATGCCAGTGGGGATGCCCACGTGGAGGTGCCAACGCAGCAGTTTAGCTGGGGAGCTGGTTAGGAAACTGCACCGGGGGCAGGGTGGACGCCAACTGGAAATCATGGGGCCAAAAGCCACAGCACAGCACAGACCACAGCACAGAGATGGGGTGGAGACGGAGAAATCACTAGGGCTCAGGATGAAGACAACCAGCAAAGTAGACAAGGCGCGCTGGGGGTGAGGGGTGGTGAGCATTCTCCCGGAAGCCACGGGAAGAACGTGCTCTAGTGAGAGGAATGGACCTTCGATCCTTTCTGTAGGCCACATGCGACAAACAGCCATTAATCTAGCAAAGGGCAGTGCTGGGTGACAAGGCAGGACTGAATGGCATGTGGAGCAGAGGCAGCGCTTTCAAGGAGTTTTGCTGTAAACAGACGGGGTGGTAGCTAAGGGAAGCCATCTGGCGGGGAAGCTTGTTTTCTTTGTTTTAAGGTTGAGATATTACAGCAAGCTTGTATGATAACGGGGACGAAGCTGCAGATGGAGCCAGCTGACAGAAGCAGTTAGATGCTAATTACAAGTCAGGAGTGGCACACCCCGGCCTCCCTGGGGAACTGCTGTTTCTCTGAAGCCACACTTTATTTCTTGGAAAATTCCAAAGTGTGTCCTCATCTGTCCTGCTCTCCAAACTGCTCTTGGTGGCTTCCTCTTCCCCACTTCACTGCATGTGACCTGGAGTCGCCTAATGAACACAGCAGCTGGGCGGGGTCACCCCAGTTTGCCTTCCAAGCTCCCCTTCTGCCACCGGCCAAGTGTAAATCCCAGCTCCTCCACATTCAAGTTGTGCAGCCCTGGCAGGTTACTCTAGCTTGCTGGGCTTCCGTTTCCTCATCTGCAAAATCATCCAGGACTGTGGTCAGGAAAACATTTCAAGTCCTAAGAAGAGCATCCGACATCCAGTCAGCATCTAAAAGACCCAGTATTATTACTGCTGTTGATGCGGGAAGCTGCCCTTAGAGCAGGGCTGGGGTCCAGTAGCTGCGGGGAGTGGAGACCCAGTATACTGGGGCCAGCCTGTGCCAGGCTAAGAATTTTCCATCTTGTTTTGCTTGTTGAAACCCTTAAATAATTTGGGGGGATGGAGTGGGGAAAAGTTTCACATATTGGGAAGATTTAGATATTGTCTTGTTCAACTCTTCAAAATTCCACCACTGAAGCCCTTTACCTGCTTGCATACCTCCCCTGCCAGGAAGCTCACTATCTACCTAGGGACCCCATTCCATTCTTAGTCAGCAATCCCTGCAAGAAAGTTTTCTTGTAGTGAGGTCTGTGCAGAGGCCCAAGAACTGACCAGTGACTCCAAATAGGGTCTCCTGAAATAAGGACAAGGGTCCTTGTTTTCCACTGATATTTAAATGCATTAAAATGAATCCACATAAAATGGGACCAAGGTGAAAAGTAGTGTGTGTTTGTGACATGAGACTAACTTGAAAAATAAAAACAAAATTATTAAAACGAGTTTACTATTTAATAAAATCAAGTGATCTTTTCAACCATTCATTTTTTCCAATGTAAATCTATACATAACATAAAATGTAACCACCTTTAAGTGTACAATTCAGCAGCATTAAGTACGTTCACAAAGTTGTGCAACCATCACCACATCTATCTCCAGAATCCTTTTCTTCTTCCCAAACCGAAACTCTATCCCCAATAAACACTAAATCCTCACTCCCAGGCCCCTCAGCCCCTGGCAACCGCATGCCACTTCCTCTCTGTGAACTTGACTCCTCCAGGTACCTCATATAGCAGACCTCCACAGTGCCCGGACTTCTGGGTTTGCCTTATTTCCCTTAGTGTAATGTCTCTGAGCTCCACCATGTCGTAGCAGATTCTGAGTTCCTTCCTGGGTAAGACTGAGTAGGATTCTACCATAGAAACCACATTTTGTTTATCCATTATTGATGGACACTTGGGTCACTTCTACGTTACTATGAATAATGCTGCTATGAACACAGCTGTACAAATATCTGCTTGAGTTCCTGCTTTCATTTTTTTTTTAATGTATATCCAGAAATAAGATTGCTGGCTCACGTCATAATTTTGTTTTTAGTTTTTTATTCATTTAAAAAAGTGCTTTAAAAGCTCAATGCACTAATGCTGAGACACAGAAGGGTTCAGGGTTGCTTATTCCTTTGGAATAATTTTTCCAACAAAGCTGTGAGAACCCAGTGGTGTACCCTCATCCCTTTGGCAACATTATGAGAAGTGTCCATTTTACTAGGGATTCCCCAATTCTGGAGTCTCTTCTGGCACTCCTGGCGCTTCCTAATCATGTTGATTTCCTCCTCCTTGGCCACAAACACCCAACCCTGCCACATTCCCGCCACCAGGGGTTCTGCCTGCGCTTCAAGCAGCCCTTGTTTTCCACTAATATTTGATCCTAGTAAATGCATTGCCCCCTTTTTCAAGCTTTGCAGTTTTACCAAGCAGACCATTCATAGTGAATTGTTACATCTGCCTTCAGGGAGAGGCTGAGATGCTGAAAAGATGGGTAAGGGTCATGTTGTAAAACAAAGGGGTGAAAACTCAGTAAGTGGCCAGTTCATTAATGAACATTTTCATGTTTATGACAAATTTCTTTTTCTTTTTCCCCTGACCTTGTGACTTCAGGAATATGAAAAATGAATATTTAAAACGTAAGAACCCTGGAATATCAAGAAGAGTGATTCACGGTGGTAAAGCAGGTTCTTCAAAGCCCGAAAAGAGATGCTTCAGTTAACAGCTTTTAAGGGCAAGAACAGAAGCTTTTAAGGGCTTTTAGGGTCAGTCACAGACAATCCAGGGCCTTCTTCAGGCACATCAGAGGCAGCTTATCTGCACAGAGTAAAGTGGGACAGGGGGAGGGCGCACACAATCCCACTGCAGAAAGTTGGCGGAGCCTTCTCCTTTCTCTCAATGCCCGTGTCTTTCTCCCTGCCCACAGGTCAGAGGGCACCCAGCTCCCAACCTTACCACGAGCCAGCTCAGGGCCAGATGCCAAGAGTGATGAACCTGAGGACAGTGGGACTAGAGGCCCAGAGACCCCTCCAGACAGTAGCTCCGAGAGCAGACCCTTTGACGAAGGTTTGTTCCCCGCACACTCAGACTTACTGCCAGGCTGACAATGGATCTGAATGTGACCCAGTCTGACCATTCAGCTTCCAAGCAGAACCCCCACTTGCTGGGACTGGGTGTCCCAAATTTTAATTTTTTCAAACTTAAAAACACAGCAGTGGGGGAAGGTGGCTTCCAGAGAAGCAGGTTCCAGCTTGAGGGACTCTCAGTCCCACAAAGGGATGGGTTGGATGCCCAAGAAGCCAGGGTGGAGTAAGCACCCCAACATCAGAGGTATATAAGCAGGGGCTGGCAGTGTCACCCCTCAAGAAGACCATAAAAAGGTTCAGTGTCTTAAGAAGTTGGGCCTGGTGAATGTGGAGTCATCAGGGGGAAAGGAGAGAAAAGCTGACTGAGGTGTGCCGCTGTGCTGTCCTGGCCTGGGTGTGGGCAGGAGCTAGCGGGCGCTGGGCGCCATGGCTCCCACCCATCTTCGCACCTCCTCCCCTGTCTCCAGCACCAGACTGTGACTGTGATGATAACCACACACAAAAGCACATACATGCATATATACGTGCACATGTACACAGACAACACACACACCCAGGAGGACAAAACATGCATGCACAGATGTGTGCACATACCCAGAGAGGCAAAACATACAAACATGCACACCTGCACACACATACATACGTATACGTGGAGACACATGCTCGTGTGCACGTGTGTGTCCATGCATGAGCGCGCACACATACACACTTAACATCAGAAATTCTCAGAACGAAAACCAAAATGTCCATGTCAGAAATACACTCACATACTTACCTGGCAAGGGAGACACCATGATGATGAAGGTGGTTTCCTGGGGCGAGGCTTTCCTCCATCACAGTCCAGGTGTGTCTCCCTTGCAATTTTCCCAAATGTGGAAAACTGACTGCATAATCTGTGGCAGTGGGAGACCACATTCACACTCTCCCCTGGGGAAAAAAAAAATACACTCACACTCCAAAAGTCATGGAACGGCCACTCAGCCCTGGTACTGCTGCACCGGGGACACATTTTAACTAACACAAAACAGAAGGGCGCTGAGCCCACCCAGCTGGGAGTGTCAGGCTAAGGGGAGGGCATCCAGGTCAGGACATCTGAGGGTTCTCAGGCCTTTCACGTGCCAGCATCACCAGAGCCTTTTAAAAATACCGCTGCCCGGGCCACCCCAGATCTTCTGCAAGTGATTGGGGGTGCACAGCTGTGTCGGTTAGGATGGTATCTGTCTGTGAGTGTCAGCCATTCAGTCCAAAGTGACTCAAAGAAAACCATTAACAATACAATCCAACCAGTCTTCAGCTAAGAGGTGGCAGAACCATCCCTGTGGTTTTGCAGCTTTGCTCTGCATGGACTTGCTTTGCAGAGGGCGCCCCCCTCAGACTGACAGGCTGGCCACTGATACCTCCAGACCCACGCCCTCAACTCCAGGGATGGAGGCATGATGGCATCTCTCTTCCCCAGAAGTTTGACTCAAAGTTTGGCCTCAGTCTCCTTGGCTCAGACTGGTCCCTGCCCGGCCTGAACCAAAGCCAGGTGGGACTCACATGTCTCCTGAGCGAGGGAGGCGGGGGGTGGGGTGGGGAGTGGAGGGCTCCCCCAGGAGAGTGGGAGCTGCCTGAGAGGTATGCCAGGCACCAGGCAGCCACAGCAGGCCCTGGGACTTGTAGTGCACCCACCAGGCCCAGCCATGCTGGGGGCCACAGCAGTTACATGCATGACACACACACACCCCCCTTTTCCCCCCCAGGGGCCAGAGGCATGCCCCCTGAGAGCTGAAAACCCACTCACCCTGGTGTGTGTTCTGTAGAGCCCGCCCCCAGCCTGATCCCCTGGCTGGGACTGCAGGGCCCTAAAGTGGAAATTACACGCACCTCTCCCGGCGCGGGCAGGCCCTGGCTTTTTGTGTCATCTTAGAGAGTAAAGAAGAAAAGGAGGCTTCTCCCTCCCAGTGTCCCGGTGTAAAATCCCGGGAAGGGGGGCTCCACTGGGGGCAGGAAGGGGCCTCAGCAGTCTTCGTGGCTGTACCTTATGGAGCATGGGGGTGGGGGAGCAGCTGTGGGGAGCAGGGGGAGTCCCACCCTCTGCCCTCCTGGGGACAGCTGCCCCAGCTCCCCCTTTGTCCCATGCCCCCACCCCGCGCTTCTCCAGCAGGGGGCGAGCAGCTGTTCCGCTCGGTGGAGGGCCAGGCGGCCTCTGATGAGGAAGAGGAGGAGGAGTGGCGCGAGGGGCAGGGGCCGCCCGCGGTCGAGGTCGGTTCGCTGCTGGCGCGCCTGTCCAGCTTCGGCAGCGGGTAAGTGAGCCGGGACGCAGCCCCGGGACCTGTCCTCGCTGGGGCCCAAAAGCCTAGAGCCCAAAGCCGGCGGGGCCCAGAGCCTAGAGGCCCTCACATGGGGGCAGAGCTGACCTTGGGAGGAAAGCGGGTGACTCACATCTGGGAACCCCTGCCCTTCATCCATGGGGGGAGGTGGGCGCGGCCCCAGCTCTGAGGGAGGAAAGCGCAGCAGAAAGGCATGTGGCTTCAGCCCACTGCCTCGCGCATCCCTTGGTCACTGTCCCCAGGCAGGCCCCACTGCTCAGTGTGGCCTGCAGGCCTGTCAGGTGCCTTCCAAACCCCCATTCCGTGTGACAAACACTGTCCGCAGTGCCCCGTCCCACCTGGCCCCGGGCTGGCGCTTTCTGACCTCTGAGCTCGGGTCATCCTCACAACCACCAGGAGGGGGAGGGGGGCAAGGACGGGCCAGGGACACCCGGGGCACCTGAGGCAAGTCGCTGGCTTCTGGGGCCTCAGTCTTCTCGCCTCTAAACGAAGACACCCAACTGGCAGAGCTCTCAGCTCTCGTGAGGGTTTGTGATCAAAGACCCCCATGAGGCCACCCCCTGGGGGCTGCAGTGACGTCCCCATGAGACTGCACAGTGCTGCCGCTCTTCCAGGGTTAGCGTCATCCCTGGCTCTCCAAGTCCACGTGTCACTTAGCGAGCACCTGGTGCGGCTGGGTGCCCTGTCCCGCCGGCGTGGGGGCACTGGGCCAACAGAATAAACGGGGGCCCCCACCCTCGAGAGTGAGAGGATGAAGCAGGGGAAGGGGCAGATGGAGCCATGCAGGGAGATGCCGGAAGGCCTCTCTGAGAGCTGCCACCTGGGCAGAGACATGAAGGAAATGAGGGAAAGCATTCTGGAAAGCTGGAGTAGCAAGGACAAAGGCCCCAGGCAAGTGGGAGGGGCAGCAGGGAGGCCTCCCAGGCTGGAGCAGAGTGAGTGAAGGTGGGTGGGGCGTAGATCAGGTGAGGCCTTTGGCTTTTCCTCTGTGAAAGATGTGGAGCCCAGGGAGAGGGCTGAGCACAGGGGTGCAGGCCCCCACTCCCTGAGGCTGGGGTAGCCTTGGGGAAGCAGTGCCGCCACTCTCCTTTTGTTGCAGGTGTGATGACCAGACAGCCAAGAAGCTCCTGACTTACTTTGGCCACTTTGGCAGTGCTGGCCATGCACGAGCGCTGGGGGAGCTGGAGGCCCGCATCGCCACACTGGTGGAGCACCTGGAGACCCAGGGCTGCAGAGGGAAGACTGTGGGGCCGCCTGAGGAGGAGGTCAGCTGAGCCCCAGAGGTTGAGGACTGGATCAAGCCTAGGGTCTCTGAGAGCTAGGAGAACACTGAGGCATCTCAGTCAAGTCCTATGCCCCATTCAGAAAGGAGTAAACCAAGACTCAGCAATGTGATTTCCTTTGATGAAGAATATTTTGGCTGCAAGTTAAAAGGATCCATCTCAGATCAGCCTGAGTGCAAAACAGGAATTTATTAGAACACAGAGCTGGGAAGAACAGCCTCAGAAGAACAGTTGAGATGAGCTTCAGGCACGGCTGGCTCCAGGGACCCGGCTAGATTGTCTCCCCTTGTCTACTCTGTGGTTCTCTGGGTACTGGCCTCACTCTCCCCAACTTCAAAGGGGCTTACTCTGCATGGTGGGAAGAGGGATGGCAAGACCACAGACAGTTCCAGGCTCCTATCAAGCCACCTAAGAAACCCCAAGGGGACAATAAGAGCCTCATTCCCATTAAATCTCAGGGAGGAACTCTGCTGGCCCAGCCTCAGCCAAGTGCTCTTCCCGGGACCATCCTTGTGGTAGGGGGCAGGGTTCGGGATTGGGAGCTCTAGCAAAGTCAGATGAGGGGCAGTCCCCCCCACCAAGAAAACCTAGTGAGTGCTGTCATCAAGAACACTGGGGAGCGGGGAGCTGGGACCGCAACACCAGCGGCCAGATGTCTCTACAGCAACTGGCCGCTTAGTTTGTTCTCCTCATGTCTCTGCTCCAAGTAATTAACCGCAGGATGCTACCAAGAATTAGCATTTACTAAGCCCTAGCACTGCACTTTCACAAACCGTGGTTTTAACATAAGAGAGTTTTGTATTTCCATGCCTGAAGTTCTAAGCCTGCACTTCTTTTTACATATCCGGGGAGGTGGAGGAAACAGCTGGAGAGTGTTCTCTGCTTTGCTGCCAGACACGAGCCTTGAGCGGCTCCTGCTCTCGGCTTCCCCCGCTGTGGGTTCCTGAGGCTCTCCAGCCGTCAGTCCACTCTGGACCATCCCACCAGTCAGTCCACCACCAGCAAATTCCCTTTCTGTTAAACTAGCCAGGTCAGTTTCTGTTGCTTGCAACCAAGAAAAGCAATTATTAAAAAGAAAAAGAATCAGAAAGGTGGAGAGAAGAGTCTCCTTCTCTTTTCTCCACCTAGAGTCCCTTGACTGGAAAATAAAACATTTTCCTCCTATTCTTCCATCAGCCCGGCTCTCTGTGTGCCTCAGGCCAGCCATTCAGCTCCTCTGGGCCTCAGTGCCACAGCGGAGATACAGGTGATTTTACCTGCCTAACCACCTGGCAGGCGAGGGGCCAGGTGAGATGATCTCTGTGATGGTGTCAAGGCCAGCAAAGGGGTCCTGCCTGGGAGTGAGCCATGAGCAGGGGCAGAGGGCAGCAGGGCGGGCACTGAGCCCCACTGGTCCCACAGGCTGAGCTACCACGGAAGGCGGAGGAGAATGAGCACCTGCGGCTAGAGCTGCAGATGGTGGAGACGGAGCGGGTGCGGCTGTCCCTGCTGGAAGAGAAGCTGGTGGACGTGCTGCAGCTCCTGCAGAGGCTGCGGGACCGGGTAGGCTGGGGGCAGGCTGCCCAGGGGAGGGGAGGGGCTCTTGGGAGGGAGCCCCCACTGGCGCCAGGCCCCGGCCCTGGGCTTTCCTCACCGTAGGAGGTGTTATGTCCACACCCAGATCAGACACCGAGGCTCAGAGAAGCTAATCAAGAAGGAGGACGCTCTGGTGCAGGGTCTGAAGGGACATGTCCCTAAGCAACACGTGACTGTGTAAGAAGGGAAGACTGTAAGCTAATGGCACATTTAAATAAGGATGGAACATTTTTAAATTAGATATTAGCAAACCCAATCCAACAATGTAACGAAATGCAACATAATCAAATTGCACTTATCCCAGGAAAGCAAAGATGTTTCCATATCAGAACAAGAAACCTACCAACACAACCTACCGCATTGTAGATTAAAAGTGAAAAAGCATCTGTTTGTCTCAGTAGATGCAGAGAAGTCAGGAACAGTCTGGTTTCATTATAAAACCTCTCAGCAAGTTAAGAACAACCTTCCTAGCCAAGAAGAGTCTCTGCTAAACCCCAGCAGACTTCACACGTGCTGAGGAAGCGCTAGGATGAATCCTTCTAACCACATGCCTGTCGCCACTGCCTGCCGCCAAGACCTTCTGGCCAGGGCAGCACGACAGGAAAGAGAGGGCGTAAGAACTGGGAAGGGGACACAGAGCGACCGGTCGCTGTAGAGCAGAGTCACCCTCATGGGACACCCAGGGAAACCAGAGGCCAAAGGCTGGGATTCCCCGGCAAGGCGGCCGACAGGAAAAAATGACAACATAGTACACAGTAGCCAGTTATGTTCCCAAATAGCATCAGCAAAAATAATTTTTTTAAGAGATACTTGATTTAGCCAGGACTGCTTGGCCACCATGAGGTGGGCGGGGACCTGAAGCCAGGTCTGAAGGAGGCGCCGCCGGCAGCAGGGTGGCCTGGCACACAGGGCATGAGGCCGGGAGAGCGGCCGCCAACACACGCAGCAAAGGCGCTGGTTCCCACACGGGCTCCAGACAAACAGCCCGGGGTAAATGCCGGCCCTGCTACCTCCTGGCTGTGGGCAAATTCCTCATTCTCTCTCTGCAGAGCCTTTTCCACTGGTGAAAATGGGCATTTAAACAAGCTGCTGCAAGGAGTAAAGTGCTAATACATAAAAATGCTCTTATTCAGGGTTATTTCGCAAGTGCCTACTTGGGCATAAGTGACAGGCAGTAAATACCTGACCTCTGGTTGATGGGATGGGTGCTGCAGGCTATTCCATCCACCCATCAAGCAGTGCAGTCACCGGCAGGGTTGGGGGTGCAGGAAGGGATGATGGGGTTTGCCATAAGCCCCCAGGGAGCCAGAGCCCACAGTGGCCACCAAGCCCCACCTGCTGAATGAGGCACCGTCTGAGCCCCGTCTCCATTTCTCTTTCAGAACATATCGAAAAGAGCCCTGGGGAAGATTCTGCTGAGCACGCTGGATGCTTGCGGGGACCCTGCACACGGTAGGACAGCGCCCCGACCTTAGGAGCCTGGACGGTGGCTGGAGGGTGTCCTGACCAGGAAACCCCAGCCTTGGCCCAAGATTGATGTCTTGCCTACAAATGCCACCGTCATTCCCGCCCTGACCAGCTGTAAAGGGGACAGGCAGAACCAGTTCTGAGGAAAGTAAAAGTGCTATCTGAAAAGGGCAGAGAACAGACGTCCCAGGAAGAAGAGCTAAAGAAACCAGTGTGGCCAAGTCTCCCAGGGAGTTGGGTAGGCTCCCTGCTGGCGATTCAGACTTGTCCACAGTCACTGGGCTCAGTGTGGGCTGGGCTGAGGTGGCACCTGTGTTGTTAGGCCCCTGTGTCCTATCGATGAGGAGACTGAGGTGCAGAAGAAAAGCCACATGCTGGCTGCCCCCAAGGCTCTGGGTATCTCCCTTTAAGCGCCAAGCTAAGCACCTTCCCCCACATGTTTAAACAAAGCTCAGGGCAGCAGAAATTCCTCGGTGCCAACTTGTGCCAACCAGTGACATCAAAATGACAGGCCGAGCTCCTGGTGCAAAGGGCCTGGGGTGACTGACTGGTGATGAGCCTGACCTCACTGGCCCCGTCGGGCTGGATTCAGGATATGTGCCCTGAACAGGCCCTGACATCAGGGAGAAGGCCAGAAATTTTGCCCTAGGAGCCCCTTCCCCAGGACCTCCGTGGTAGAGAGATAAGAGGAGGTAGCTGGACGGGGATGGAGGAGGGTGCAAGGAAGGGGGCAAGTGACCCAGCCCTCCCTCCCCACTCTCTCCTTCCAGCAGAGACAGCTGGCCCTTTGGCCATTCTGGATGCCCTGCACCAAGCCTTAGCTGGCTGTGAGCTCTTGCAGAAAGAGCCACTGGCACCAGCCTCTGCAGCTCCTGCACTCACCAGTCCCTGCCTCATCTCCTGCTGAGATCACTGATCAGTCTGTGGGCATCCTGGTGAGCCGGACCAGCCTCGAGGACCAGCCTCCAGTCACACCAACCATCATCAGCTCAGCCCCTGCGATCAACCCGGCTGCCCTCACATGCTTGAAACCCTAGGCCCCCTCCCAGGCCTCCCGTGTCAGAGCCTGGCAGCCTCCCTTCCTTGGGCTCAATTTTCTGTGAACTACAACTGCTCTAAGTTGATTTTTAAAAAGTTGGGGAGGGGGAAAGATAGAGGAGGGCTCTCTGCTGTCTTTGCAGAGTCGGCCTTAGTGTCAGGCACTTCCTGGAACCCTCAGCCTTGTTGGCTGCAGCCCAGGTGGCCTTCCTTTTGCCCACAGGAGAGAGGCTGGGCCCTCAACTTTAAGGCCTTGAACCTCAGTATTACCTGGTCATCTGCCCAATGATGTGCCTGGCCCAAGGTTGGCCTGCTGCTCTCAGTGAGCAGAACCTGGCCAGAGGCTGGCAGTCCCACACCCCCTCAGGGCAAGAGAATGTGGGGCTTCCCTGGGGAAACCCCCAGTCAGGCAGTATCACCTTCTTCAACAAACAGCAACCAGGTTCGGGTTTCTTCTCCCCAAGACTGCCCTTGCCCTCGGCCCCGCAGAGCCAAGCAGCCCACCCCGCGCCTATACTCACAACCAAGTGACCAGCCTGCTGCCATGATAAGCAGGCAGGGCCTTTAGGAGCACCGAGGCCTGCGGTCACTGACAGCAAAGTGGGTCGAGGGTACAATTTCATAGAAAGATGTGGGCACCTCTTTGCTGAGCTGAAGGCTGGGGGATGTCTCCAGGGGAGAAATTGTGCTCCAGGGAGCAGTCATCAGGGGAAACTTGGGGTTTCCTTTGGACAGAAGCAGAGTAAGTACAACATTTCTGAGAAACCTTCACAAGAAACAGGACCTCCCCTGATATGTGGGCCTCAGCATCGGTCACAGGCCCACCCAGAAGTTTCCCATCACGGGAGGCTCCTGGGAACTGTTCATCCCTCGGGAGAGGCCTCCAGCAAAGCTCCAGCATTCTCTCCATGGAAGTCTTGTAACTATTTACGTCTGAAAATTTCCTGTTAAAATGCCTAGAAAGTCTTTGATAATTTTCCATCAAGATATAAAGCTGAATTCCTTTCCCTCTGTGCGTGTGCTAGACTTAGTGACTCACTTCCAACAATGAAAACGTGGCAGACGTGATGGTGTGATTTCTGATATTAGTCATAAAAGGCTGGTGGCTCTGTCCTTGCTCTCCACGTCATAAGTGCCCCAAGCAACCCTGTGGGAAAGGTCACGTGACAGACCAAAGTCTCCTGTCAATCGCCAGCAAAGAACGAGGCCTCCTGCTGTCAGACCAGCCTCCAGTCACAACAACCATCGTCAGATCAGCCCCTGAGATCAGCCCGGCTGCCCTCACATGCTTGAAATCCTGAGCCCTGGCTCACAGCTAGGAAGCTTGTCCTCAAGTCTTCTGACGAGTGTAGCCCCTGCTGAGATTCTGACTGCAGTCTCCAGAACCAAAACTGCCTGGCTAAGTCACTCACAAGTTCTGGGAGATAATAAATATGTCATTGTTTTAAGCTGCTAGTTTGGGGGATGTTTTGTTAGGCAGCAGTAGCAACAAATACATTCCCTAATAAAAATATGCTTCATCAAAACTGAGGGTGACTCGGGTGCTTGTGGTGTGGGTTTAGGTATATCAGTAACCAGCACTACACTATTTAGGTATATTAGTAAGCTGCCAACGGTCACCAGCATGTTGAAAAGAAGACAAGGGTCCCCCCAGGCACAGAGTCTGCTGAAGGAGTACACAAGGACACAGAGATGGGGGGGCGGGAATGTGCTCATTTGTTCAGGCCTGAAGGCTGCCAGGCAACCCCTCCCATTGCCAGCCTCCAGCCAGCAGACTGGCATAACACACCCAGGCAAAGGGCAGGTCAGGGACAGGGGAGCAGGCGACCAAGAGTCCAGAGGTGACAGGAAGCGGAGTAAGTGTTAGCTGAGGCTCCACGTCCCTGGAGCATATTCCACTGCCCTGCTGGACTTCACTGGCAAAACACATCCAGAGATGAACTGATTACATACATTTCAAGACAGCAGCCACCAAGCCTTAAACCCTAAGCACGGGGCCAAGTGGGGATCCCTGTGTAACTACACTGCTGTGTGCCCCTTCAGCCAGCCTGGTGGGGGGCCAAGGGGAGGGAGTGGGGGATGGGCAGGATTCCTACCATGTTTCAGGGCAAACGGGAGAATCCTGTATTTGTGAGCAGCCTTCATGTCTACCACTCTTCCCTGTTTTCTAAAGAGGTTTCTCTGGGGTTGCTTAAACCATCTGCAACTTGTTGAAAATGTCGTCTGTGAATTTCTAATTAATGTCCTCTCACACCTGGAAACAAAAATCATTGTGTTGACCTTAAATTGCCCCCTTCCCGCAAATAGTCTGTAATTTCACACTCTTGCCACTAGGTGGCAAACGCACCCACTTAACAGAGGACTGAAGAACGGTTCAAAGTCACCCCCAAGCCTGCCCCCAGGGGGTGGGGATCACCTCCCTCCATCTCTGGCTATTTGCAGGATCTTCCTTCCACCTGTGCTATTACTGACCTAGTGTTTTCCTTAGGATCAGCTCACTTTTTAAATTTATGGAAATAATTTTAACAGGGAAAAGGTGATGTGCTCTCATTTAATTGGGAACCAGTTTCCCCTGCCATACAGAGACGGCCATATAACAGTAAGTTCACAGACAATACAAGCATGTCGTTAACTGCTCACCAGATGCATTTGCTAAACCTGATGAAACTGGGCCAAAGGGTCAAAGTCTTGGCCGCCAAGCTGGAGCACAGACTCTGTCTCTTATTAATCACAACAGACAAATCCTTAGACACTGAAGACAACTCAGCAGAGGGCATCAGGCCAATCTTGATGGCCCGATTGCTTATGGGCACACACCTTGCCTGTGGCTGGTGAACCTGGGACAGACTGTGCCAACACACTTTACAAGCCTGACACTCGGCCCCATGGACCTCCAGGACCGTGGAGGTTTTATATTCCCCCATTACACAGATGAGGAAACTGAGCAGGGAGCGGCTGGAACTATTACCCAACATCACAGACTTGGTAAGTGGCAACACTGGGTTTGGAAGCCAGGGTGCTCCTCCACAGCCCCACCCCAACAGTAGAGAGGAATACCTGCAAAGAATCAGCAAACAGGGTTCCTGGTCACGGGGGCACCCCATTTTCCTCCTGGTTGTATACAAGCTGAAAATGCTAGACTATAGTCAACGCCCCTTAATCCTCTCTGCGTCCCATGAGAAGAAAACATTGCTCCTGAAGCACAGGGTAAGGTAAAAAAGCACCAGGCTTTCCTGCCCTCCCAACATTAGGACGGATGATGGATCCCTGCGGTCCTGGATGCATGCCTGATGGCGGGCACCTGCCCCGGGGTGTGGGCATGCGTAAGTGGATACACCTGGGCTAAGACTGGGCGTATAAGGGCGGCTTCACGGGGACGCCAGGAGAGCAGAGAAGCAGAGAACGCCAGAGAGCATAGATAGAGTGAAGACTTGCTGGGGGCTGGGTGGCCTGCCAGCTTCCCGGCCCCCCCAGCATCCCTGCCTGCTGTGTACCCAGTAAATCCCAATAAAAGCCTGCAAAAGCCACTGAGGGCTCCAGGATTCCTCCTTCACCTGTCTGCTCGGATCATAGAGATCCTGCTCTGGCCCTTCCTGTCCCTACATGGAGCATAGTGAAGGACCCTGGGCCCCCAAAATAAAGGCCTTCTAAGCACTGCTCCCCCTAAAATACAGTTACCAGACTGAGGCTCTCTCCTCAGGTCAGGGGGTGGGAAAGGAAGACTCTGTCGTTTCTCACTGTGTCCCAGGCGGCACCATCTGAAGTCACCGGAGACTGCTGACTCTCCGTCAGTAGGGGAACAGCACCGGCGCCCATCCCTGTGGGTGCCTGGGGCCCCCTAGGAGCTGCTGGGCTGTGGGTAAACAGTTCAGCCAAAAACAGCACCACTCACTCAGTGGGGGAGCAGGTCAGGGAGGGCTTCCTGGAAGAGGTCATGCCCTGTGTGAAGCTTAAAGGATAGAGAGTGCCGGGCAAAATGCAGGGGAGCGCTGCAGACAGGGAGGACTGGAGAGACAAAGGCAGAGAGAAGAATCTGCACGTGAGTGGGGAGGAAGGCGCAAAGATGACCGACCACAAAGCTGCAAGACAGGGGGAGGTGACAGGGTAGGCAGAGAGGACAGCAAAGGATGGCCCAAGAGCACCCGCTGAGGGGCTGGGTTTTATCCTGAAGACACTGGGAAGCCCTGCAGGGATGTCCAGGAGGGAAGTGACAAGGTCAAGCCTTTGCAGCCAGAGGCAGAGACTGGCACCCAGGAGACAACAGTCCTTGAGAGAATGGACTGGCTGGAAGCAGAAGAGAGATGGTCAGCAAAGCTGACAAATATTTATTCCGCACACGCTGTGTCAGTCACAGGTGTGGTTCTAAACAGCAGCTCATGGAGCAAAGTCCCCTCCATCTTACTCACGTGCAGTGGAGAAAACACTTCATAAATGCCTACAAAGTGTAAAAAGAAGATAATCTTAGGTCCTGATAAGTGCTATAAAAAAGTCCAGAATTGTGGGGCCTCCCTTTGGGGGGCCTTGAGAAGAGGAGTCATTTGCACTGAGACACAATGGCAAGAAACAGCCATGGAAGGTTCCAGGAGAAGGACCAGCAAGTGCAAAGGCCCTGAGGCAGGGCCTTTGCTTCTGGCAGAGGGACCAGCAAGTGCAAAGGCCCTGAGGCAGGAAGGCACTGAAGTGTCTGAGGAACAGAAAGCAGGTCCATGTGAGTGAAGATTGTTAAGCAAAGAGAAGGGTGCATGAGGAGGCCCAGAAGCAGCAGGGACGAGCCATGGGGGAGCACGTTCTGAGTGCAGCGGGAAGCAAGGGGTCAACCAAAGCCCAGGGGCGTGGCAGCCCAAGGGGGAAACAGGTAAGTTCTGAATATACTGGAGGGGAGGGGGCGAGACAACAGAAACTACGAAGCATTGGACAGTGAGTGGGGACGAATCTTTGCAGGAGTCATATGGTGGAGAGAGGCAGAGAGTCGGTGGTAAATGGAGGAAGATGGGGAATTAGGTAGGTTTTCAAAAGGCGATGTTACAGGTTATTTGTAATCCGAGGGAAGTGACCCAGTGAGCAAGAAACTGGCGATGGGGGGAGAAAGGAGACAGTTGCAGAGGCAATACCCTGGGGGGTGACGGGGCAGAACACAGAGCGCAAGTGGGGAAGCCTTGTAGGGTTTTTCTCTTCCCGCTGTAACAAATTGAGGCAAACTCAGCAGCTCCCAGACACACTCATCTCTCTCTCACTCTTCTGGTGGGTTTGGAGTGCGGGGACAAGGTGGCTCTGGTTCTCTGCTTCAGGTCTCATAAGGAAATCAAGGCTCAGGCAGGGCTGTGCTCCTCCCCAGAGGCTCTTGGGGAGCCCCCTAATGCCAAGGCAGCAGCAGCTCCTCTCTCTTCAGCGTCCCCAGCCCTCCTTGCACTCGGCATGTCTCCGACTTCCCCTTCGGCTCAGCTCTCTCACTTCCTCTTCAACCACCAGCCAGAGCTGCCTGCACTTCAGGGCTCACATTAGATCAGGACATACTGGAAAACCCCTCTTTTTTAGGATTGACCCTAGCATAAAACAGCACAAGCTCCGCATTGGATCCACCGGCGCTGGGGATTAGGGCGTGGGGTCTTGGGAGCCACGCCTAGGACTTCTGCCCACCCAGGTTGACAGGCAGGACCATTTTGTGCAATAAGTAGCAAGAGTGGGGGCAGATGTGGGGCACAGCCACAGGCTGACTGGCCTGCTTGGTGTCAGGAGCCGCTGTAACACAGACCTAAAAAGAGAGAGGCTTAAACAACAGAAAATTTCATCGCTCTCAGGGAGAAGTCTAGGTAGGCATGCCAGAGTTGGTTTCCAGAATTGCAAAGAACACAAGTTTCTCTGCTCTTGGCTCTGCCATGCACAACCCACAGCTTGCCCCATGGGCCAAGACGGCGTCCCCAGAGCTGCAGCCAGCAAATTGAAGCTGGAAGCCAAACACTGCACCCTCAATGTCTTCCTCTTTTTCACTGGGTCATGCTTGATCACATGACTACATCTTAAGGCAAGGGAAGTTTGGAGATGTAATTTTCACCTAGAAAATCATGCAATCAGCTCAAATTCTGTCAATGTGAAAGCAGAGGAGAGGGGGCAGCTTGGTGAGGGCATGATGGTGGACAGGATAGAGGGCAGTGGTAAGGGAACCACCAGGAGGCACAGGACACCCAGGTCTGGGCTGGAGTTGGAGCTGTGGGTGCAACTGTACTTGAAGTTGAGAGGAAAACAGGGGACAGGGTAGAGCTTGTGCCCACAGAGGGGCGCCACCCCACCTGGTCTGGCTGTGCAGCAGCAGGGAGAAATGGAGCGGGGTGGGGAGCTCGACACACACATGCACACACATATACACATACGCAATTTTTGCAGAATAAGGGAGGTTATGAGCATGTTTACAGACTGAGAGAGGGACAGGAGCGGGGGAGGTCTCCACACACAAGGAGGTGAGGGTGACCTAACAGGAGCCTGAAGGCTCCCCACAAGGAAAAGTGCAGTAAATCAGGCTGGCCGGGTTGGGCGGTCCCTGCAAGGAGGAGCCCTCTCAGGAGCCCAAATTCTGCCCCGCCACACCGCAGCCCCCGCGAAGGTCTGTGCGCCTGCGATAAGGAGAGCAGGCCTGCTGCATGCCCAGAAAATGCCCTCAGCGGAGGGCGCCGCCCACGCGCTGGGCCCAGGATGCTGGTGCCCCGCAGGCTGCTCACAGGCCCGTGGGCACAGGAGGCGGCTCCCGAGAGCCCAAGCCCCGCCCGCCCCTGCCTGGGCAGAAGAAAATACAGACAGGAAAAAAGAGAAATCTTGTCTGAGGGAGGGATGGAGGAAAAGCTTACTGTCCCCTCCTGCCTATCTGAAACTCTTACTTTCCCACAAAAAAAATGTGTTTGTGTAGCTTTTGTTGTTTGAAGGTACACACACTACAAACACGGGGCAAGTCTCAGAGGCTGGGGAGGAGAGAGGGGCCCACCAGGTCAGGTGAGGACACACGGCTGGCAGGCCCCCTTCCCACCAGCTCTAAGGGTACCCGGGCAGGTGGGGGCGGGGACAAGGCCAGGTTTCCTTCCCCAAGGGAGGGAGGCAGGGAGGGGAAGGCCCGGGAAGGATGAGTTCCTGTCGGGGTGCAGGGTCCTGGAAGAATCTCTGCCCACGTGTGACCCATCTGCCATGCAGGGGTGTCGACGCCCCAGCCCCTGGCCTGCCAGCTCTGGGCCAGCAGCAGCGGTGGGAAGGTCACTCCTCTGGACACACCCGGCAGCCCCCCTGGGCCTTGAGGAAGGTGAACACTCAGCTCCTTTCCGGGTTGCAGACGGGGCTGAGTTGGGGGAGAGAACGGAGTGCCCCCCTTCAGGAGGGAAGGGGAAACCCCAGCCTCCCTCAGAAGACGCCCAACCTGCCCATGGAGGAACAGGCTACCCTGCGAGGGCGCGTGATGCGGACCAGCAACACCCAGGCCTCCGGGGCACCCTGGGCATGGAGAGTTTTCCAGTCTGTTACCGAAATGGGGTCTTCCTTTAGACCTCAGCGCATTTTACTCTCCCTTGATAATACTTCATGGAGATTCCCTCAGCACAAACTCTCGCCACTTCACTGAACGCCCGTGCGCGGCGCCAGTGCGCGTGTGCCAGGATTCACTCCCTGAGTCTGGTTTTCGCCACTTGGGTAGATTCCTGAGTGGAATCGCAGGTCACACGGTAGGTTTTCGTTCCAACGCTGCAATCCGCATCGCTGAGCGTTTTAAAAAACCCAGGAGTTCTGCCAGCAAAAGCTCTTGCCAGTGCACCCACAGGCTCAGAAGCCACCTGTCCCCGCCCAGGCCCCCACAGGCCCCTCAGCATCTGCAGAAGAGGGGGCAGGTGAGAAAGGGGGAGGTCCCTCCTGCGCACGGCGTCACTTAAAGTCCAACCATTCACTCAACCTGCCACACACAACCCAGGGGCCCCCACTGCAGCCCTCTGCCTTGGCCCTAGGAGGTGGACACCGTCCTCGGGGAGAGAAGCAGGTGATAAAACACACAACTAACTGCGTGATGTCAAGTCCACGCACTGAGGAGGGCTAGGAAGTGCAGGATGGTCAAAAAAAAAAAGAAAAAAGACAAGATGAAACCACACAGGCTGTTGTGAACACGGGGACACCCCTGCAGGCCTGGCTCCTCCAGGCCGGGACCCACGGACGGCTGTGTGGAGGCGCCTCGAATGGATCTACCGTGTGACCTGCGATTCCACTCAGGAATCTACCGAAGGACACAAATACACTAATTCGAAAGGAAGCCTGCACCCCTATGCACCCTATGTTTACTGTGGCGCTATTTACAACAGCCAAGATAAGGAAAGAAGGCAAAGGCCCCAAATAGATGAGGGGATGAAAAAGGCACGTGTGTTTACACAGGGACTGCGACTCCGCGGTCGGGGTGGAGCCGGAGGGACTGGGCTAGCCGAACAAGCCAAGAGGGCGGCGATAAATAGCGGGTGGTCTCCCTTCCATGTGGACGACCCTAACGAAGGGTCAGGAAAAAGACAAAACCTTTAAGCTGACCGCAGCTCCGAGGCATCCAGTGGGGGGAGCAGCGAGGGGGAGGGGCTGGACAGGGAAGGGAAAAAACACAAGGGGCTGTGGTGACGGTCCCGGGCGCCATGGCGGGAGAGCTACAGGGACTACACCTGAGGGAGAAACAGTAACTGCACGAAAATGAACAACAATATAGGAAAAAGGGAAAGAAGAGTGGGCTGCATAGCACCCAGCCCCTCAGCAGGTCAAGGGCAGGTCAAGGGCAGCCTCAGCATCCGGCTGAGCCGCTCCCAGTCTCACTCCGGCCCTAAGTCCTCCCGAATGGCCTCCAGACTGGGTAGCCCAGACCTTCTCCTCCGATTTCACTTCCTTGGCTGTCACTGACTGTGGCCCTGGGGTACAGTCCCGGCACCCTCCTCCCGCTCCCTGTCTCTGGGCCCTCTAGCCAAACCGCTTCTGCTCCACCCCAGGGACCCCCACACTTCAGTCATCCCTCACCCCCCTCAAGTGCAATTTCCCCCCCTCTGTTACAAACCCTTTATTGGCTTATTTAATATTTCATAGTGGTGATATCTTTATGACTTATTAGCAAATACATGCATTAATGTTTTAATTTGTTTTACTGCTAGGTCTGATTTTGATTCATATTTTATAACAATAAAATAAAATTAAATTTGGGCCTCCCTGGTGGTGCAGTGGGTTGAGCGCCCTCTATGAAGCTGTCCGCAGCCTCTGCAGCGCGGGTTCAGCTCCTGGCCTGCCAGGGAGCAACCCACATGGCACAGCAGCCCTTTCCTGCCTCGCCCGCTGCTCCCCTCAGCAGTGTATTTGGTCTGTCTGCCTGTTCTGTTCCCCGCTCTGTCTCTGGTGAATCCTCTCACCCTCCCACGCCTCTGGCCTGTACTCTTGTATAAATACATAAATCTTAAAAAAAAAAAAAAGATAATAAAATATATATAATTAAATTAAAAATACATTTCTCTTTGAAGAGAAACTTTATACACTGGCATACATGGAGAACAAGGCCACTCCCCGCGTAGAAGGTAGTGATGGAATAAAAGTGATGCAGACGAGGGCCTCCCCGGTGGCGCAGCGGTTGAGCGCTGGGTTGTGAAGCTGCCCGCAGCCTCTGCAGCGCCGGTTCGATCCCCGGCTGCTCCCCGGCCACCGGAGGAGGGCCCCACGTGGCGTGCAGACCTCTCCTGCCGCCCGCTGCTCCCCTCAGCAGTGTACTTCGGTCCTTCTGCCTGCTCTGCTCCCTGCTCTGGCTCTGGTGAATTCTCTCACCCTCCCGTGATTCTGACTGTACCCAGTGCATGTATAAACAAACAAACAAATAAAGAAAGAAAGAAAACATGCCTCTATTAAAAAAAAAAATTAAAAAAAAAACTATATAAAAAAAAAAAAAGTGACGCAGACGAAACAGCGGCCTCTCTCCCAGGGAGAGGCGCGTGTCCAGCAGGGCTCAGAGCCCAGGCTGGCGCCCTTTATCCATGGGGTCAGGTGCTCCAGAAGCAATGGCACCAATAGCACAGCTTCTCCTCCACCTATTTGGAAGACCAAGGAGACTTCAAAACCAAGTCACTCCCCCACCATGGGACTCTCAGCCCAGCCCTGGCCGCGGCCCAACCCACACCTGTGAGGCCACGGACACTTTACAGAGGAGAAAGAGGCACCGAATCAGGGTCTGGAAGCCCCACACACCTGGCACAGGGGCTCCTGGGTTCTCCCCTATGGAGGCACTGGCAGTATAGTGTGGGGGGGGGCCTCTTGCACTAGCTGGAGATGCCCTATGGTCCTGCGCCTCTAGAGATAGGCCCCCGGGGCTGCACGCGGGGATAAGCGGCTATTTTCACCATTTCCTTCCTTCCACTGGAGTGGTGGCCTCCACTGGCAGCCACACACAGCCGCTCCAGCGCCTCTGGCGGGACGTGTCACAGAAGGGAGCCCCAGCCTCACAGGTAAGTGGCACTCCTCATTACCCAGCACCGCCTCCCACACAGGGCCTCTCCGGGCAGACAGACCCCAGGGAAGACCACCAGGCTGCCTCTGCCCCCCTTTGGCTGCTCCCTCCAGAAGACAGGGTGGGGGGTGCAGTCACTCTAAGCCAAGGGCACCGGCTATGTCCAGATTCTTTGGTTAGTTCTGTCCCCGCCGGGACGGCTGGTCTCAGGGCTAAGAGCCAGCCCCCGTAAGCCTGGAGGAGAGTGGAGAGTCAGGCAGAGATGGGGCTCATGAGACCTCGGTTTGAGTCTGGTCTTTGACTCAGGGAGGTCCTGCACAAGTCACTTTCCTTCTCTGCCTCCTTTTCCCAGCCCAGAGTGTTGGCCCAGATCCCTGGCTTTCCAGATGAGCCCCTTCCGGGCTCCCTCCCCCAGCTGACCTCGGCTTCCTCACCCTGCTGTCTTCTGTCGAGTGTCAGGGTAGTCGTAGCCAAGTGGACAGGGGACAGTCTAGGAAGCCCACACCACCTGCCCGGCCCAGGCTTAGGTGTGGGTCTGGGGGCAGCCTGGGAGACCCACTCCAAGGCCTTCCCCAGGGTCTGGGGGCTGGGTCCAGGGCTAGGAGGCATTAAGCAGGGGTGCTCCCCCTACCCCTGAGCCAGGGTTAGGGTCTCTACCAAGGCCAGGAAGTCCCTTCCCCAACCCAAGGACAAAGTGAACACAACCACCTCGCCCACCACAGCCACCCTGGTCATCCAGTCTTCCATCTGTCTGGTGAGGGGCAACTAGACCCTGGGTTGGACCTGCTCACCCCCTTCTGTCACCACCACCCCATTTCAGAGGAGAAAGCTGAGGCCTGAGAAGGGAGGTGAGTCCCAGCCCCAGAGTGCACTGTCCTTGGGATGGGGTGCAGGCTGCAGGCTCATCCCATACCTCTCGGCGGCTCTCCCCACAGTCAGCCGGCCCGATGCCTGCCTGGGGGGCCCTGTTCCTGCTCTGGGCCACTGCAGAGGCCACCACGAACTGCCCCACACCGTGCACCTGCCAGGCTCTGGAAACCATGGGGCTGTGGGTGGACTGCGGGAGCCGGGGGCTCACAGCCCTGCCTGCCCTGCCCATCCACACCCGCCACCTCCTGTTAGCCAACAACAGCCTACGCTCCGTGCCTCCCGGCGCCTTCGACCACCTGCCCCAGTTGCAGACCCTGGACGCCTCAAAGAACCCCTGGCACTGCGACTGCAGCCTCACCTACCTGCGCCTCTGGCTGAAGGACCACACGCCCGAGGCCCTGCTGCATGTCCGCTGCGCCAGCCCCCGCCTCGCCACCAGACGCCCACTGGGTCAGCTGACCGGCTATGAGCTGGGCAACTGCGGCTGGCGGCTCCAGGAGTCCTGGGCCTACCCGGGCGTCTGGTGGGACGTGGCTCTGGTGGTCATGGCGGTGCTGGGCCTGGCTCTCCTGGCTGGTCTGCTGTGCACCGCCACAGATCCCCTGGACTGAGCCCAGGCCCCAGGATCACCCCAGACCAGAGGGCCAGGCTCTCCGGACGCCACCTGCCCTGGTCAGTCCTAATCACCACAGCTCAAAATAAAATGGCTGCTCGGCCATTTTATCCAAACCCAGAGATTTTGTTTTCCTTTCAAGCACCAGGGTCTGGCTTTTTCCAGGAAACCAGGGTCAGGTTTGTTATAACCAGATATCAACTGGAGTTTCTCTGGGAGGCCCCAGACCCTTCCCCATCACCCAGCTACCCCCCTTCTTATCCTCTCTAGACATCCTGTGCCCTCCTCAGGGCCCGCCTGGCCCCAGGGCACCAGTTCTCACACCACCCCATCAGCCACACCTGCCTCCCATGCCGCCATCCAACGGCCCATTTCCTATCCCATCCACGCTGCACAAAAAGCTTGCCCCCACAACACGGCCGTGGGCAGAGCATAAGGCGCTGAGGGCCCCCTCCTGCAGGCCACACCTGCCACAGACAGACCTTGAGACTCAGCACTGAGAACCCAAAGTGGCTCTGGCTGCACTGTCCTGGCCCTTGGGCCTCCTGGGTGCGAGGCCCCACCCCAGTCTCAAGCCCGCTGCAGCCCCCCTCTCTCCTTCCCCTCCTTGCTACTCTTCTTTGGAAAAATAATCAACTCCTCCCTTTCTCATGGAAATGACATCAGACACCTGCAAGCTCGGGGTCCAACTTGGACCCCAGGATTGGTCACCAAAGTCTTCCAACGCTACCACCTGTTGGCTTTGGTTCAGCAAGAACCTGCCCAGGCAGCCCAGTGTCACCACTACAGGTGATGACTCCCCTGAGGGTGGGAGGAGTGGAGCTGCAACAGGGTGGTCCCCAGGAAAGGGGGAGGTTCCCTGCCCCACCCAAGGGAGGGTGGAGCTGAGCAGGAAGAAAAAGAAGCTGCAGAAGAGACTGAGGAAGGAAGCAGGATGGAGCCAGGAGACCTGGAGGAGGCGCGTGGAGCCTAGAGACACGTGAAGAAACTGCGCTTGTCTTTTGGTCGTGGACTAGGTGACACAGATGTGGGTGAGACCCGTGGGGAGGTGACAATGGCAGCTTTTATCTTGATATTGATTTTGCTCTTTTCCTTCCGGGCTTGTCCAGTTGTTTGTGACCCTTTTCTGTGGGTCCCCACTGGAAGATGCTTTAGACTTGTAGCAGGCTTTGGGGCCTTGTTCTGGGCCGATCCCATTTGGATGGAGTTTTACCCACGAGGGGACGGGTAACTTTGGGTGCTTGATTTAGAAACTAGATTATTTGCTTTTCCTGTATTGTTTCCTAGTTTTATTAAAGTTCCTTCTCATTAAAGTCTCATATGTTTTGTGTTAATGCAGCGGATGGCAGAACCCATTTAAAATAGGCAGGTTTGCGGGGTTTGGGCTGCCCCTCTCCCTGTCCTATAACAGATTGACCTTCAGTGACAGGGAGGGACTTCCTGATTTGCGCTGGAGCCCCAGGGAAGCAGGTCCCCTGGGAAGTTTGATTCATCAGCTCCAACTCCCCACGGTCTCATGCCAGGCAGCAAGGCCCACACCGAGCCTCTGCTCCGCCGCATCACCACCGCCAGCCAGCTTCACTGCCTCCCAGCCGCGCCCCGCTGACCACCACCATCCCCTGAGGGACCCCAGTCAGCTCCCACCACCCTCCACACGACTTCCCACCCCATGGAGATTAACACCACCTCCGCCACCATCCTGGTACCCACCACCGCCTGCACACCGGCCTCACGTCCGCCACCCCTCTCTTCTCTCCATCACCTCCACAGCCAACAGCCCCAAGAGTTGACCCTGCCCCCCACCCCTCACCACTAGCCCCCAAACAACCCAGGCGCCTTCTCCCCATAAGGATAAGCGAAACACCAGCTCTGCCGTCCCCTGTCTACCCCACAGTCACCGGGACATCCTTTCCAAAATCCAGTTGCACATGGAGGTTCCCTGAAGGTCATTTTTACCAGCCCCACCCCCGTTGGCCGCTGCTCACCTCCAAGGTTCGCTCCTCCCTCGCACCTCCTGCTGGGGTTGTGCCCCGAGGCCTTCCACGGGCCCTGGCTCCTGCCAGCCCTTCTTCTGGGGCCCCCGGGGCATCTTCTGCTTTCCTCCGGCCAGCCAGCAGGGAGCAGGCGGCCAGGCGGGCCTCGCGAGCTCCTTCTGCAGCAGCCAGTGTCCAGCCGCAGCCCGGGGGGGCGGGGGGCTCTTCCCGGCCCGGGCGCCTGGCCCTTCTGGGCCCGTGCGCGCTGCGAGGGTCTCGCGCCCGGTCTGGAGAAAGCGCGGGAGCCGGGCATTTGTGAACGCGCGGGCCCTTCTGGGGGCCACGCCCAGTCCTGACCCTGAGCGCCCCCCCCACCCCAACCCTGGGACCTAACGCTGGGCCCACCTCATCCTCGCCCGCCTGCCCTCGTGTCTGTGGGCACGTGTGCGTGCGTGCGTATGTGCGTGCGTGCGTGAGCACGCCCGCATGCGTGCGCATGCGTGTGCGTGCGTGCGCGCATGCGTGCACATGCTCAAACCGCCTCTATGGGCCCATCCCACCGGAGGAGCTGCCAGGCCTCAGCCTCTCCAGCCATGGGGGTGACGCCTCAGACTAGCCGAAAGCGAATCCCCCTGTTGGCCAAGAGCGTGCTCCCTCTCCCGAGACGGGCGTGCCGGGAAGGCAGCGTGCGGAAGCTGGAAGGCTGTCCCCGCGGGCTCTGCCTGAGCTGGGGACAGTGAGTCCATGACCTGGGGAGCCTTCCAAGAACCGGCTCTGGATGGAGAGACTCCCCGGCCTCGGGCGGTTCGCTTTCTAAACAACCCGGTGCTGGAATCCTCGTTTAAACTTTAAATCACTCTGGACAAGGGCCTCCCCGGTGGCGCAGCGGTTGAGCGCTGGGTTGCGAAGCTGCCTGCGGACTTTGCGGCGCCGGTTCGATCCCCGGCCGCTCCCCGGCCACCGGAGGAGGGTCCCACATGGCGCGCAGACCTCTCCTGCCGCCCGCTGCTCCCCTCAGCAGTGTACTTCGGTCCTTCTGCCTGCTCTGCTCCCCGCTCTGGCTCTGGTGAATTCTCTCACCCTCCCGCGCTTCTGACTGTACCCAATGCATGTACAAAACAAACAAATGAATACATAAATAAATAAATAAAAATACATGCCTCTCTTAAAAAAATATAAATAAATAAATAAATAAATCACTCTGGACAATAAGAACTTCAGGCTTTGGGATCCGCAGCCTCTGCAGCACGAGTTCGATCCCCGGCCAGCCAGGGAGCAACCCACATGGCGCGTAGACCTCTCCTGACTCGCCTGCTGCTCCCCTCAGCAGTGTACTTCAGGCAGTCTGCCTGTTCTGCGCCCCGCTCTGTCTTCGGTGACAGAGCCTGTACCCCGGTTCTTGTATAAAAATAAATAAAATCTTAAAAAAAAAAATCCTTCCTAATATTAAAGGGAGCATTCCAGAAGCTATCTGATGTGTGAGAAGCCAATAAGTTGACTGCAGTGGTAAACTAAGTATCCAGCTAACTTTGTTCAGCCAGACATCAAGGAGATTTGCAAAAATATAAAACAATGCCACACTTCTCTCAATGGTTTTTGTTGTTTTGGGGCGTATCTATTTTTAATTGTTTTATTTATGTTAACATCTTTGAGTTTATTGTCATGATTTTGAATTAGATAACACAAATGTCTTTGCTTTATTTTCACATCTTGTAAACTATTAATAGATACACCCACATAAGCGAAAGCTCTCTGTGGCCCTCAAAAATTTTGAGAGTGTCAAGGAGTCTTGGGACGGAAAAGTTTGAGAATTGTTGCTCTAGCCCAAAAAGTCTAGCTTGCTGATTTGACCAAGAAATTAATTATTGGGGGCCTCCCTGGTGGCGCAGCGGTTGAGCGCTGGGTTGCGAAGCTGCCCGCAGCCTCTGCAGCGCCCGTTCGATCTCTGGCTTCTCTCCGGCCACCGGAGGAGGGTCCCGCATGGCGCGCAGACCTCCCCTGCCGCCCGCTGCTCCCCTCAGCAGTGTACTTCGGTCCTTCTGCCTGCTCTGCTCCCTGCTCTGGCTCTGGTGAATTCTCTCACCCTCCCGTGATTCTGACTGTACCCAGTGCTTGTATAAATAAATCTTTAAAAAAAAATTACTTATTGGACATTGGACTTTGCACTTTCTAAATTCTGATACGTGATACTTTCCAAAACTTTGCCATTTTGATAGGGAGGACATTTCAACCTGCATTCCTGGATTCCCCTGGGTGGGGAGGGAGAGGGGTGAGATGGCTACATTTCTCCCTTCTTCTGCAAGCACCCAGTTGCCCTTACTGCAGCCTTTCCATGGGCAACCCGGATGGCACATAGGCCAGCCTGGTGACCTCTAGCTTCAAAAACGCATGCCCTCCAGATTCCCAGAAAGTTTTTATGCCCCCAGAAAACCTCCATCCTTGAAAGCTTGTTACAGCCCTGCGCCACCTTGCCAGCATTGGGCACTAACAGTTTTCTTCTATTTTGGTAACTGCGAAAAATAGTGTCCGCTCAAGTTTTTATCACTTGCATATCACTGTCAGCTAGCTGGATAAACACTGTCCTGCTGGATTTTTTCTATCACTGTGCCTTCCTGAAGTGGATTCTGTTAGAGGGAACTGCCCTTCTATCTTACCTGCACTGCTATGGGTTTGGATATGTTTTTAATTATGTATCATGAATGCTTAATGTTTTCATTGTCAGCTAGTTTGAGGGATTTCCAAATTCATTCAAGGAGCACGCAGTGAAGAGACAAGCCCCAGAGGTGCCCCTGATGCTTCTAATCACTGAGTAAGGAGAGTGGCAACAGGGAGAGTGTCACAGGCGGGACCCTGCAGTGCTCAGTTCTTGTCCCTACTGGAGTCAACAAACACTGGGCCCACACCTCCCTTGTTAAGGTAATTTAACCGCAGAACAGCCCCACTACTGGGTGGTAGCTGCCACTGTCACTTTCACTCCCCCCATTTCACAGGCCATGTCACAGGTTTAAATAAAATGCCATCCCCAGGGCCTCCCCGGTGGCACAGCGGTTGAGCGCTGGGTTGCGAAGCTGCCCGTGGCCTCTGCGGCGCCGGTTCGATTCCCGGCTGCTCCCCGGCCACCGGAGGAGGGTCCCACATGGCGCGCAGACCTCTCCTGCCGCCCGCTGCTCCCCTCAGCAGTGTACTTCGGTCCTTCTGCCTGCTCTGCTCCCCGCTCTGGCTCTGGTGAATTCTCTCACCCTCCCGCGCTTCTGACTGTACCCAGTGCTTGTATAAATAAATAAATCTTTAAAAAAAAAATGCCATCCCCAAATGTTTTTATTTTGTCCTCTTACCTGTCTCCTCTTTCACCTGCATTTGGTTCTTAAAACATGGTTTTAAGGGCAGCCTTGAAGGATGACTCATTTCATGAGTGCTCCTAGCCTGTCTCAGCATCAATTCTCGCTGCCTGAGGTCCTTTGAACATTCAATTTCATAGACTGAGGTTGTAGAGGAAAGGTGTGGCTAGGGGGAGGGGGAAAGGGGGAATTAATATTTAATAAGTGCAGAATTTTCGTTGGGGGTGATGAAAAATGTAGGGTGTAGATAGTGGCAGTGTTTGTACAACAAAGTGGGTGTATTTGCCACTACCAAACTGTACACTTACAAATGGCTAAATCGATAAATATTATGCTATACATAATTTTTTGCCCACATTCTAAAGATAAAATGCTTAAGGAGCAAGATAGGAGATTTCTGTACGTTCTCTTAGCCAAACACAATCATGATCACATTGTCATTTTTTTTTTTAGTCTATAAACTTTGGTCTTTTTCCTTTTCTAACTCTGGAAAGAATACACCCTCCCTGAAACGAACATAAAGACAGAGGGGGAGAATCCGGCACGAATCCATCATCCAGAGGCAACCATGGGAGGTTTCGTTTCTCTGAAAAGTTGTATGCTTGAGATCATAACCAGACAAACCACTTTTACTCTAGCTTTTTCTTTCTTTTCTTTTTCTAAGTGGGAATGGTTTCATCAGTTTTCCTAACTACATATAATTAATTCATGTTCATAGCCAAAAATTGAGAAAACTACAAAGCAAACTATTCCATGTTCCAGAAAGATATTTATTGCTAAAGCTAGCTTGAATATCCTTCCAGGCTTTTCCCAAAAAAGTTATGTATGTTTTGCCTAATACTTAAAAGTGTTTTACTTATTAGATTAATTGGAAACATATTTCCATGGCCCACATGTGTTTACTTAGTCATTTTAAAAGATCAGCCTTGTACCATAATTTTATTTGTTCATCTATTATTGCTGAATGTTTAGGTTTAACTGAAAAGTTGCAGTTATAAACAGCAATCCAACTGTTTTCACTCATGCTATTTTCCAATCAATATTAGAATTCCAATCAATATTCCAATCAAATCCTTCATGAAGTTCATTCCTATGCCAGTCCTTTTCTGAGATATTGAGGTTATTTCTAAGCTTACTAGTCCCACGAGAGAACAAGAATTGTCCCCCTTTTTTTGCAGTGAGAAAACTCACATTTAGAGGGGGAGTATGGTGCCCCCAAAGCTATTGGGATGGGCCTGGGGGAGAGTAGGAATTCAGCTAACCCTGAGCACCATGGTCTTTTCCAGCACCCCTGCAACTGGTCAGGGACAACTAAGTACAACAAATACTGCACCTTCAGCACTGCTGTCCCCTTCTTCACAGGGAACAGGGTCTTAGCCAAGCACATGACAGCTCAGAATATAAACTACGTTTCCCAGAGACCTTGCGTTAGCTGTGGCCACGGGACCACCTTCCAGCCAAGGGCATGAAAGCAGATGTGGCAACTTCTTGGTGGTGACCTAAAGGAAAAGGCTTTCCACCACCCCCTTTCCTCTTCCTGTGGGCTGGATGCAGTCAGGTTTATCAGGGCAACACAGAGGGCACTCCTGGAACCCCTAAATGCCCCACTTTCCCATTCCGATGTTCTTGTTTAGACCATTGCAGGAACAGAGGCCAACTCCTATTCTGTTATTTTAGGTTTGTGCATCCCTAGTAATTAGAAAACAAAAGTGAGGTTTACAAAGATATAAAAAGAGAAGGCAGGCCGTAAAGTCTGCCAACTCATTGGCTTTTTCACTTGATAGTCAGATGCCTGCCTTTAGTAAAAGCAAAAGCCGAAGAAGGAATCTATACATCCTTCTTTCAATGTTCTAGATTCCAAAAGAACTCCATATACCTGAATCATAACCTGAATGACTTTGAGTTCAGAAAGTTTTATTTATCTTCTAAAAGCTGCTTCCTAACCAAACCTTCACCAAACCTTCATCTATTTATGGAGTAGCCTTCAAAAGACACAGCAGTCACCTGTTCTTTTGCCTTTAAAAAGTCTAGAGAGGAGACTGTGGGCGGGGAGAATGGGAGTTGCCTCTGGGTACAGAGTTTCAGTTTTACACAAAGAGAAAGCTCTGGCAAGGGTGGTGTTGGTGGCTGTTTGTACAAAGAATGTAATTAACACTGCTATGCGGTAGAAATGGTTGAGATGGTAGATTTTGTGTGTACTTTACTCAAAAAAAATTTTTTTTAAAGTCTAGAATGATAGTTTTCAAACCTTTTTCTTCAAAGGTTTGAAGATCTTTTTTTCAACAAACTCCTTAACAGCACCTGGTATGTGAAATAAAGCCACTCACTCTGGTTGGGCACAACCACTTTCACCTCCTTCTTCACCACCCGCCCCCATTCTTGTGTGCTCTCCACAAGCTTGAAACTCTTTAAAAGCCCATTTGTGAAATAGATCTAGTGGGATATTAAATTTATTAGAAAGCAAGTATAGTAAATTGTCACTGGGGACGGAGAGACAGCCTGAGTATGTGGACAGATGTGGCCATTTATCACCAGCGAGACTCAGTTCTCGCAATTAACGTCTAAATTAAATTTCATCCCCATCAACATCCTGACTGGGTTGGGGGTTTCTGTTGTTTCGGATTTTGTAGAATTTGACAAATGAAGGAATGACACAGGCACTACCTTATCGATCCTCGGGAGGGATTTTAGCAGAGCAGGGAGAGCCAGTGGAGCGGCTTCAGGTGGTGATGGCGAAGCTTATAGAACCTCTCCAGACTTTTGCTTACTTGGGCATACCGGCCACACCATAATGACATGTCGCCCTGCCCCAAACCCAGCTGAAATCACTAGATGGCTATAAAAAGGGGCAAATCCAACAGACAAGGTGAAGGGAGAAGACAACAGCTTCTGTAAAAAGGAGGTGGATGGAGGTGCACAGTAGTCTCAGCAGGTAAGAGAAGACCCACCTGCACCTGTAGACCTAAAAGAGATAAGAACCCAAATATAACTGACCACAACAGACACGGTAAGACATTCTTTAGACAAAGGGGGAATCTGAATATGGCTCAGACAGAGGATGACTAGAAGGAATCACTATTAATTTTGCTAGCTGGAGAACAGCATTATGGCTATGCTGACCTGTTTGCTGTCAGATTCAGACTGAAAAATCAGAATAAAATGCCAAGATGTCTGTGATTTCCCTTAAAATATCCCATCAAAAAGGAGGAGGGTGGGTAGAGTCGGGTCTGACAAGATGATGAGGGTCACTGAAGCTCTGTGGTAGGCAAACAGGATTTCCCTGCCAACTCTGCTTTTGTGAGTATTTGGAAATTCTCAAATTCAAACAAATGTCACGTACACATAGGCGACTTTTAAGCAACCTCCCCCCCAAAATAAGTGAGAAACTTCATTACCTCTATCATTCCACCATGCACGATGGTCTCCCTAAATCCATAGCTGGTTTATATGTGATCAGAATATTCTAAATCTTCCCCTCAAATTTTTATCAGGTTATTTCCCACAAGAGCACGTCTGTGCACATGTGTGTGTCTATAGGTAGAGATAGCTATATAATCACACACTTATATATCTTGTATATATATCACATATGATATTATGAAAGCCATGCAGTTCTATTTTATAAAGTGTGGAAAAGAGGAAGTTCTAACCTTATTTTGGTACAAACATTATTAACATTTTCACGTCCAGACTTTTCTTATGTTGTTCCTAACATTCCATATCCAAGGACTCTGAATTGTTCAGTGAATGTTGCATCATAAACATTTTTGAATATTGAATATTGTTTTTGTGATTCTTAAGCTTATTGTATCTTTCCAGTACAAATGTGCTACGGATTTATTATCGAAAACTGCAAAGTGTAGAAAAGCAGCAGGATGACCCAGAGCCCCAGCTCCTTCTTGGAGATGGCCTTGACTCTGCTGAGATCAGCACCTTAGAAATTGTCTAAAACACTGTGGCGAGGGGGGGCTAGCTCCACATCTCTCCTGGACTAGAACTAAGGCTACATGGTTTGTCTTAGGTTTTACTGTTTTTAAGATTCATCCTTTGGAGCGAGCTTCACAAGGGCTATCATTTTATAATCACATGCCTTTGTTGAATCTAAGCCTGAGTTTGTGGCAGTTGTCCCTGCAGCCCCGTCTCAGCCACAATATCCAAGGCCCCCGAACCAAAGCTCCTGGCACAGCTCTCCCTTGTGCCGCTTACTGGGTGTGCTTTTGAGGCCCTGAAACTCTCGTGAATTTGTGTGGAAACCTCTCAACAAACATCAGTTGTGCCCACCATTCTGCTAGATGTTTGAAGAGCCTACACTGGAAAGTGAGCAGCCTACTAACCCCAACGGTGTGCCATGTTTGGGTCTCGTGAATCTGTATCCATTCTGATGAAAGGGGTCTACAGCTTTAAGGGGTTAAGGATCCAGAAAAAAATCGTCCCTGACGGGGACAAGTTCAAATCTTGGCACAATTCAAGTTTGAATGATAGTGTGTTGGTGTCAGGTAGGGTGACCTCTTCCACAGATGGTCTCTGGCTCCAGACAGAGGGTGACAGTCAGAGCCTTGACAGGGAGCAGACCAGCAGGCCTTTAGCCCGATGGCCACAGGTAAAGTCAGCACTGCACCCAGGAAGGAAAACACGTGTTATCTAGAAATGAAAAGAGCAAGATCCTTCAGGCAATCGAAGACCCTAAAGCTTCTTATATTAGGTCTGATCAGGGACCTTCCTGGTGGTAGGCAGGCTGTCTAGACCAGCGTTGTTCAAATTGCACCGTGCACACAAATTCCCTGGGACCTTATGAAATTCAGACTCTGAGTCATGAGTTCTGGGGTGGACACTGGGATTCTTTTGCTAACGCTCTCCTGGACGAGGCCTGCTTCGGGTCCCGGGACCCGAGAGTGAGCAGCAGCCCTGCACGCAATCCCCCAGGGGGTAGAACTCACCTCTCCTGGCCTCTTTCGAGGCCCTTGCTTCTGAGGGCCTCGCCTCCTGTGTCCCCTCAGTCCAGCACACAGACCCCCAGTTTCTGGAAATACTGTCACTGTGCTGAGAAGGTGAAGCTTTGAGTTGATGTGATGGGGAGCCCCTGTACCTGCAGCTTGTTCCCAGGCTACCTGTACCAGGGTGCTGCTTGTTAGGATGTGAGGTTTAGAATCCCAGCAGTGGAGAGGCCCATTGCAGCCTTGGTACAGGAGGGGTGGGCCCAGCCGAGGGGGCATGTCAGGCCAGCCCAACCGTACCCCGCACCCAAACCCCCAGCTGCAGATCAGGCCACAAAGACCTGGGGGAAAGCACTCCATGGAAGCCCAGGAAGCTCGGTGAGCCCAGACTCAGCCTCTGAGCTGGGTCTTTCTTTTCCAGCAGAGGCTGCAGCGCCCCACTCTCTACCCAGGCAGTGTGGGGTCAGCACTGAACGTCCCAGTCAATTCGGGACCAGGGAGGGGAGCTGTTCTTTGTGTCAGAGACCCCAGCTCAAGCTGTTTGTAAACCAGGACCCTGTGTGGAGAAGCCCAGCGCCCAGCAGGGGTCTCGGGTCCTCAGGTGGTCTGCCCGGCAGGGGAGCAGCAAGGTCAGAGCCGGCTGGGGTGATGAATGGCTGGGGTGGTGAGTGTCAGGAGAGTGGCCAGGCCTGTCTGTCCTTTGTGGCCTCTTGAAGGAGACTGAGGGCAGCATGGATGGTGCGGAGTTCTGAGAAGGGGTGACTCAGCGAGCGAGCTTTGGAAACTCCCTGCAGCATGTGGAGACTGGAGGCAGGATCCAGGAAAGAGCGGGGAGAGGCCAGGAGGGGCCAGTGTGGCCCTGGGGACGGTGACAGAAGAGGGACTTCAGGGCTGTGAGGGTGAGGGGCAGTGACACCCTGGCTTTCCTGAAGGTCTACCCCACCACGGCCGGCCCGGAGACAGGGAGGTCAGCTGAGGAGGTGGGATCATCTTGGTTTCAAAGGTGAGAGAACCAGTCTCTGGCACCACTGGCTCGTTACAGAAATCTGTTTAATGGTTTAGGAATGTGCACACTCTGGCTCTGCTAAGTCTCCATAAAGGCAACTTTTCCATGTTTTAAAAAATAGATTTGATATAAAGATCTATATATTCATAAATAGGTAATGTGAAAAATTCCCAAATGCAAATGGCATCCTTGGGTTGGCTGAGGCCCTTCCCACCCCAACAGTCCAAGCCAGAGGGGGTCACAGCATTCCGGGGGCCCCACCCTGCACAGCCCTCCTGGGGAAGATAACTGAATTCAATATGAATTAGGAGCTCCTCCAGCTCCAAACCTGCTGGGCCCTGTGTCCTCGAGGTCAAGACCTGCCTCGTGGGAGAACAGAGACGTACCCTCCAGCTTCGGAGTCCGGACACATCCCTGCCGGCCCCACCGTGGAAAACCTGCCCTCCTCAGGAGCCTCCTTCAGCTGGGATACTTCCTGGCCTCCCTCCCAGGACCCCTCCCCTTCACCCCGACCCTACCTGCTCCATTCTTGGGTAATTTATAAACAAGGGGAGAGATTAAACTGTTCTCCTCTTGCCCCAGAGGCCTGATCTGCTGGGAGAGGGACTGGCCAAGTGAGGGAAGGAAATAGAGGCCCATCTTGTTTTCTGCACACACTTCCCCATTTTCTCTCACCCATGTCTGGGCCAGAGAGTTGGGGAGGCCCCGCCTGAGGGGCCACTACAGAGCAGGCACCCAGGCACATGTGGTCATCCCTGCCCCAGGGGGGCCCGCGCAGTGGGAAATGACCTCAGCCCAGGATAGGGGAGCCTAGCAGGCCACGGGTTGGGGCAGAACTCATTCTTGCCAGAGGGTACAACGGGCAAGGGATGAACTTGGGGTGTAGCCAGCTGGGTCACTTGTAGGATTCTAAGTGAATCAAAGGGCAGGGTGGGTAAAGGGGGAGGCCAGGAAGGGGTCTGGGGCAGGGTGGGGCTGTGGCAGTTTTGGCCATCCTGGTGGAGTAAGGGCTGCTTCGGAGCCCCAGAAGTGCTAGAGCAGGGAGACAGGACCAGGATGACCTGCTGGACCAGTCACTCTGACAGGAGCAAGAGGGTGGCTTGGGTGTTAGAGAAGGGAAACTCCAGGGCATGGAGGTCCGTGAGGGGTCCAGTTGAGGGGATGGGGTCTGGGGTAGAGGGGCAGGGGGTTGTAAAGGTGGAATCCTCAGCACTGTGGGGGTGGGAGAATGTGGAGCTCAGGTGATCCTGGATTTCTAGGCTAAAACCCCTGGAGTGTAAGGCTGCCCCAAAGCATGGAGGATGGGGTAGCAGGAGCCCTCTCAGTCCAAGTTTCTGACATCTTGGGCTGTGAAAGTGAGGTGCTATTTCTTGGTGGCTAGGTGAGCCACGGAGCCACCAATGAGAGGTAAGCTCCCTGATGCAGGCTGGACTGGCCACCCCCTCCTAAGCTGAGCCTTCATGGGATTTCAAGTCTCCCATGCATGACTCTCAGTCCAAGGTGCCAAAGCTACCTAACCCTGTTCCAACCTGGCACCCAGTGAAGGAAGGCTTTTCAGAGAGGGTGGGGGGTAGCAAAGGGCAGGGTCACCATCTGTACTCGACTGGAACTGGGGTGGCAAATCAATCCCTGGGTATAGGCCCAGGCCTCTGCTCCAAGCCCCTACTTGTACCTCCCTCCCAAAGCAGCACATTTCTGCAAGGTCAGGCTTTGTGAGATTCTCTTCCAGCTTTGCCCAAATATCAGCCCCTCACAGGCAGTCAAGAGGCTGGAGGGCCACTGCCCTTGGCCTGAATGGGGCCCTCTATAGGGAGCCCCTTAAGAAAGCCAGGCATTTTCTACCCTGCTGGCAGAACCCAGGTACCATGAACAAGGGGCAGGAGCCACCGCCTCTCCCTGCCAGCTGCGTGGCCCTAGCCCTGCTCAGCCCCATCCCATCAGCAAGGCTGCTGAGGAAAGAAGCCAGACGGTCTTCCTGCTTCCACCTCCCATCCCAGATGACTCCCCTCAGGGCAGACCCCTGTTGAGCTGACCACTGTGGGCTGCTCCAAGCCTCTGGCTTCTGGCCCTACAACCAGGCCTGCCTGGGACAGGGACCACGCAGACCACAGTGCCTGGAGGGGAAAGCAAGAAGTGCAAGATGGGACTGAGCAGGGAGCCACCTGGCCTCCGGACCCCTCTGGATGTAGCCTCACCATGGCTTAGAGGGCAGTTCACTTCCTGGGGCACCCACACTGAGGAGCCTGAGGAGCTGGACTGGGAGGGACAAGGGTTGGCATGGAACCATCACCTGCCTCCCACAACCTAATCCCTATGATTCTCTGAGCTACACCCAGAGTACCCTGCTACATCCAAGAGCGCTTGCCTTCTAAACTTAGAATCCAGGACAGGGAGAGGCCATTAAAGGGGCGTGGTTCAACCCCTGGTGGCGGGGTGGTGGGGGGAGGGGGGTGGTGGTGGTGGTGGTGGTGAAACAAGGACTGCAGGGCCTCACCTTCTGTAGGCTGCATCTGGAGAGGCAGCACACGGGTGAACCCTGGGCGCCCTGAGGATCCCTCTCAGACCTGGACCTCAGGAATGTCAGCTTTTACTTTTCCCTTAAAGGACCAGTTCCTATCTCACGCCCCTACCCCCAAGCTTCTGAGAGCTGGTGCCCCAAAAGGAGCTGGTTTTGCAACCTGAGCAAAATTTTGGGCTGCAAGCCAGCAGAGTCCCCGCTTGGCTGTGGGCCCTGACCCCGCACTTGTGCTAATGAAACCAAGAAGCTACATGGAAAACCAGAAAACTCGAGAGGTCTTGCTAAGACAGTGAGCTGGCCCAAGGTGTCTGTGAGTTGAGAGCTGGCAGTGAAGAAAGGAAGAAGGCTCCGTGCTTGGGAGGAGGCAGGGTGTCCCTGGGCTGTGCTCAGGAACTGAGTCCATTGGGCCAGTTGCCCTTGCTCTCTGCGGCTACATACGGAGGCCCTGGAATGGCCTGGAAGAACCTGGGCACCAGCCCCATTCCTGGAAAGCAGCAGGCTACTACCACAGCTGCAGACTGAAATGGTCGGAACCAATCCATGTGGGACAGGGAGGCACGTTCCTGGCCCCTCACCCACTGCTATCCACGGGGGCCAGTCCTGGAATGTGAAGAACTCTGAGGGAACAGCCTCTGGCTGGCAAGATGGGCCCCACACCCTACCCTGTGACCACAGTTCTCCTGTGCAGGAGGAGGTCTCCTGCTTCTTCCTTCCTTGAGGGTACCTTGCCCATCAAGCATCCAGGCCCTGGGATGGTCACTTCCAGGACTCTAACCAGCTGCCCTAGAATTGCTGGCGTCCTGGAGGGCCAGTTCTGGAGGGCTGGGCTTGGCAGGCCAGAGAGAGAGAGAGAGAGAAGGTGGGGAGGCCCCTGCCTGCCTGCCCGCCACCCCAGTCAGCACCCACAGCCCCAGCTCTCTCCAATGTCCTTGCTGTCCAGTTGGATGTGGTCGGTGCCCTTCTCACTGAGCAGAGGGCCCCCATGCCTCATCACCAGCTCCGTAGCCACCCTCACGAAGGCCTCCTCCACGTTGTTCGAGTCCTTGGCAGACGTCTCGATGGCACACAAGATGTCGTAGTGTTCCGCCAGGCTCTGTGCCTCAGCCAGCTGGACCTCCCGGAACTCATTGAGGTCGGACTTGTTCCCTGCAGGGAAAGGCCAGGAGTAGCTCAGGGAGGTACACAGGTGCCAGGCCAGGCTATGTTACCTGGCAGGGTCATCCGAGACCCAATACCATCCCCTGCCCTGAGAGCTGCCAATAAATACAGTTGTGTATGAGTATCTTACCTATTTTTTAAAAGTTTTTAATTTTAAAGTTTCTTATTCTATCCTTTACTCCCTCATTGTGTTTTCTTTTTTTGCCTTTGCAAGGGATTTGTGTATTTTCTTGCTTTTTCCTAAGAATTAGAACCACTAAAGTTTGGTGATAAGAACGCGGTACTTTAGGAGAAGAAGAAACCCCTCTTTCCTATTGCTTTCTGGGTAATCCCCCTCTTTCCTATAGCCACTTCACCTGGGTATCAGTTTCCCCACTAATGAGAATTAACCAGCAGAATAGGGATTAAATAATACAATGGCCATGACAGGCCATCAGTGTTGAGGTTAACAAAGAAATTGGCCTTTTTTCCCTAAAATGTTATTATTATGTTCATTGTTTACTCTTTCCTATTTTTTTTTTTAAGATTTATTTATGCACACAAGAACTGAGGTGTAGGCCAGAGGTGTGGGGGGTAAGGATTCACCAGAGAGTGAGGAGCAGGACAGGCAGATCTACTGAAATACACTGCTGAGGGGAGTAGGAGAGACAGGAGAGGTCTGTTGTGCCATGTAGGTAAGCTCCCTGGCTGGGATTGAACTCATGTTTAAGTGGCCGCTGATAGCTTCATAGTGCTGTGTCTTTAATCTTGGGCCACCGGGGAGGCCCTCTTTCTTATTTTCTTTAGCAATGTTTTTATTCTCTGTAAGAATATAATTTTGATTATTTTTGCTTTTCTGATGGTACAAGCAAAGACTATACTTTACTTGAGAGTACACCTCTGGCTTCTATAGGTGTGAGATGTTTCATATTCTAAACAATCTACTAAACTCTTCCTTGACTCAACTTCTAGATTTTTTTAAGTCTCTAAGTGGTTGACTTTTATGTGATTATAATGAGGGCATATATGTGTGTGTGTGTATGTGCATCTATGAAGCTCTAAAATTTCTTTGGTAACATTAAGGGAGGTAGCAACCAACTTCAACATATAGAATCTACTTGGGCTCTGATTTTAACAAACTGAAAAAAAAAAAATCACGTGACATTTAAGAACAATAAATCTGAACTGTGACTATGGTATTATATGGCGCTCTCTCTCTCTCTCTCTCTCTCTCTCTATATATATATATATATATATATATATATTTAAATGTCTTATACATTCATGCTAGAATATTTATAGAAGAAATAGCTCTTGGATTTGCCTCAAAAGGATACATGGAGGTGATAAGGGCAGAGAAGAAACTGGACATGAGCTGACCTGGGTGAGAGATGGGGTTCATTACACTATTCTCTTTTTGCAATTATATAAAATGCTCTGTGATTGAATATTTCTGTAAATGTCCTGGATAAAAGGGAAGTGGTTAGGCCAGACAGAGAGATTCCTGGGGAATCCAGCACTGACTAAACAATTCCACACCCTAGTCTCAGCAGGCCGTGCGGGGGGGGGGGGGGGGGGGGATGGTCCAGTAAAACCCTCCACCTAGATTGGAGAGGACACCTAGCCCTGTCCAATGTCATCTCAGAGGAATCAGCCTGACAAGGACACAGGGAACACACAAATGCACCAAAGCTTCTTGGGCTCAGGCTGAAGGTAATGTGGGAAGAACAGAGCAAACAGAGGTAATGATCTCCCTTCTCCCTTTGCAGCAGCAGCAGCTCTCAAAGTGGGGTCCCAGGGCCAGCACTATGGACATCACCAGGCCCCCGGGGGGAGCTTGTCAGAAATGCACCTACATGTGCTGCTCGCAAGTTTCCTGAATCAGACACCCTGGGGTGGTGCTGGCGTCTGGGTTGAAATAAGCCTTCTGAGTGGTTGGGCAAGTCCTGCGTGTGACACAGCTAGTGACTGAACTCGGATGGGCTAAACCGAACTCCACACTGGTATGTTCATGGTGGGTGGGGACTGGGCTACATTATTTCACTTTTCTGAGCCTCAGCACATCCCTCTCCAAGAGGAAGAAGCCAGGGTTAGGAGAACTAAATCTGATGACACACAGGAAGATTTAACCAGCATTAACCGCTGTGTGGATCCGTGCAAAGGAAATGTCTTTCCTCTCTTCCTTCCACAAATACCAATTTTGAATATAATGTCATATGTGATTAGAAGGATCAGATGTGCAAGGTTTGGGCCAGAATTCTGGCTCCATTTCTGCCCAGCCAAGCTCAGCACCTCTGTGCACTCTGGCTGGCCATCTACTTAGAAAGCAGAGAGAGACCGAGATGGGCAGAGTGGGATCCACGGCCCTGAACCCCCCAGCTCACCAATCAGCAGCTGTACAATGTTGGAACCCCCGTACTTCCTCACATCCTCAATCCAGTGAGGCACCGACAAGAAGGAGCTCCTCTTGGTGATGTCATAAGCGAGGATGGCCCCGTTGGCACTGCGGTAGTAGCTCTGGGTGATGGTGCGGAACCGCTCCTGGCCAGCCGTGTCCCAGATCTGCAGCTAAAGAAAGGAGCATCCTGTGAACCTGGTGTGTGGCCAAGCACAGGGGCCTAGGGGGACAATCTCACAGACCTACACCCCAAGTGCTGCTTCCACTGGGTAGGAATCACACACGGGCCACTGAAGGTGGACAGAGAGAAGGTCTTCTGAGTCCTCTGAAAGCAACTCGGGCACCCAAGTTTGAGGAAGGAAGGAGGCAGCAAGGGGAAGGCGAGCAGTCCTCAGCTCCGCCCTCGAGAGTCTCCAGAGAAAGGAGGTGAGGGGACAAGGGGTGTGCTCTGCACTGCAGCTGGAAGTCAACTTGACTTAGGGGCCCTGTGTTCCCTCTCTCCACTAAACACTGGGTTTGCTGCTGGGAACTGAAATGGAGTGCTCACGCAGCTCAGCCTGGTAATCTGGTCCAGGGGTGACACAAAGCTGGCTGTGCGCATGAGGGCCTATAAACACCCCACACCTGGCTGGCCATAAAGCTCCCCAGCACCAGGGCTCTCTACTAATGCCCTGGTGAGGCTGGAAGATGTTCCACCTCCTGGAGGTGAGGGAGCGGGGCTGTGGCAGGGAGGGCCTGCGGGAGGCAATGGGCAGCCTTTTCCATCAGCCCACCCAGCTTGGCAAAGGCACACATTTGCTAGTGCCTGCTGCCGAATCCTCTAGACACTGGCCATGGAAGAGGTGCCCGTGTGTAGCAGGAGTTTCCCTGGCTTTTGATGGAAACAGCAGGATAAATACCAGATTGGGCAGGGAGGATGCTGGACCAGGGGCAGACCTGGACTCAGAGCAGGAGGCTGCCCACACCAGCTCTGGGACTGGGAGAAATGGACTGTGGGTGTGCATCAGATTGGGCAGGGGTCTCTGGAGCAGAGCTTTCCTTCTCTGCTCCATATATCACAGACTCCTGGGCTCCCTGAAGATGAACATGAGCTTGGTCTACAAGAAGCTGCAGGTCTGTCCATCCTCCCTGCTGGCACCAGCACTCAGGAGCCTTTTTATCTAGTTCTCAAGGTATGGGGTGGGGACAGGCCACTGAGGCGTCAGCTGGTGGGGGCAAGGCTGCTGATACTGCAGTGTGAAGGTGTCTTCCTCTTCCCTCGGCCCCACGAAGAAAAGTCTGTGAGCTCTGGGCCACAAAGTAAAACCCTCCAGTCCCGAAACTCCTTATTCAGAGGCTCCAAGGCAACAGGTCTCATGACCCATAGCTCAGGCATGGCCGCCAGGGGGTAAGCAAAGGCATGAGCTTTGGCAAGAGAAAAAACTGGGACCAGATGACCAAGGACTCATGTCCACACCCCAGAGGAGACATGAAGGACAAGACGAACAACAGATGGGGGGTGGGTGACTTGGAGGAAACAGAAACTCTGCAGAGGCAAAACACAGTAGAAAAAAACCCATGAAGCAATAACAGAACACCATTTTTCTAAGGTCGGGAAAGTACTCAGAAAGAAAAAGAATTCTTGAAAATTAAAAAAAAAAAAACATAAATGAAAAATACAACATAAGGCTTGGAAGAGCTGAAATCTTTCCAAAGCAGAAGGGGGGAAAATACAAAGAGATGGAAAAAGAAAAAAAAAATTACAGAAGTAGCCTAGGAGACGCAATATCAGGATAATAAGGATTTCAGGGGCAAAAAAGAACAGTAAAATCAAGGGGAGGAAATCAAAAAAATACTTTAAAAAATCAAAGAAATACTCTACTAAGAGAACTCCCCAGAACTGACTGGAGGGGTGCACTTGTGCAGGGGAGGGAAACAGACCAACACGTAACACCTGACTGGAAATTCCTGAACAACAGGGAGAAGGAAAGATCTCAAGATCTTTTCCCAGAGAGGAAAAGCAAAGACAGGTTTCAAGCTTTCACATAGAAGACCCGGATGGCACGAGATGTTCAAGGAGACAATGCCTTAAAAGGATGAGGGGAAATTATTTCTGACCTAGAATTCTCTACCCACTTAATTATCAGCCAAGGCAACTCCAAACACACAAGCCTTAAAACCTTTCAGGCCATCCTTTCTCAGGACGCTACAGAAGATTCCTCTACTAAAGTAGTCAGCCACAAATAAGAAAATGAAGGCTCCAGAAATAGCATTTAACTCAGTTGAGAAGCATGGGGAATAGTTTCCCAGGATGACAGGCGGGGGAGACCCCAAGATAACAGCCAGACAGCAACATGGGCATACACCCCTCGGGAATAGGCCACTGGGGTCCAGGGCAGCTGCCTGCACTGTAGTCCTTGGAAGCAGAAGATGTTCGACAGAAAAACACCTAACGCTGCCTATTTCAGGATGTGAAGACCAAGCAGCACTGGACTATCCCTGGGGGGTAGCGGGGAGCAGAACTCACGGTCACCACAACTCTCTGTCCAGGATGGTTTTCTGGGCCCCAGACAGTGGGCTAGACCCCAAACAGAGCATGAGCCCAAGTATCGTTTCATCGGTGGCAGATCAGAATCTGGAGCAGCTGGTGTACCTGAATGAGCAGCTATAAGGGAGTTTCTGTGGGGGCCCCTGGTGAGCCCTTGCTTGAGGGCTAGAAATGCAGAGTGGGAACACCAGAATCGTACCAGAGAGTGGCTGCAATGAGGTTGAGAACAGACCAGAGATAAGGGTTGTGCAGTGCAGGGGGGAGTCTGAAGTCCCAAGCCTGACACGGTGAAGAGAGACCCATTAGCACCCAGACATTAAGCCGAGACATCAGGAAGGCTGCACCCAATGACTGTGGACCACGGCTGGTAAGCCCTCCAGAGATCTCCCCCAACAGAGCCCAAGACCAAGTCCCAACATAGCCTGGGGTTGGCGGCTGAATTCTGAATTCCATCAAGTCAGCCTAGAGAAACATCTTTGGCTTTCCACCTCTCTGCCCTCGCAAACATGAGAGCAAGGCACACGGGTCAAGGTGATCAGCCAGTAACTGAACAGTAGCTGGTAAAATGTGGGCAGTCTGGAGGAGATATTTTTGGAAAGTCGGTTCTCAGGACTGGGAATGTTCTCATCCTACTCCCCATGCTGGAGGAAGTAAAGGAAAGGGGACCGGCAGAAGGACCGGCCAGAAGCCATAAACCAGTTCTGTCACTTTCCATCTCGGTGTCTCTGGGTTAAAGCTTAATTCTGTTTTCATCTGTAAATAAAAGATGCTGTAGAGGTTAAATAATAGATTCAGTGTGCACAGTGTCTAGCACAGAAAAGGTACTGGATAAACACACCCATTTCACAATATTTACTGAGCTATTATAATTGTATGGCCAGTGTTTTTAAGACATGCGAAGGAATGTTAACGCAAGTAGCAAGCAAAAAATGCCCAAAGACAAATAGCACCAGCGTGCGGCTCCTTCATTTGCTCACTCGATGCCTACTGAGTTCCTGCCGCGTCCCAGCCCCCGTTTTAGCAACCGGAGATGCCACAGGGTATGAAAAGCTCCCATCCCAGGAGGGGAGGCAGACAAGGAGCCTGCAAGGAGGTATCTGCAAGGAGGAAAATGGGCTTTCTGAAGAAAGTAAAGGACCGAGGGGAGATGCTCCAGGGCGGGTGCCTCCTGGGGTGGTCAGGGATGGTGCTGTTGGAGCAGAGTCCTGAGGAGGAAGAGCCCAGCACCAGGATGGAGTTCAGATAGAGGGAACAGTGCAAGGGCTGGAAGCCTGCCAAGATGCAGGTTCAGAAAGGGCGGGGAGGCCAGATGGTAGTGAGGAAGGAGAGAGGAGGTACGCCTGGCTTCCTGCCTGAGAGCCTCCATTTCTGGGACAGGAGGGCTATGGGAAACCCCATCAATCCTGCATTCATGACCCACAAGTGAGAGGGGGTTCCCACTCTAGGGGGGAACCCTCGACCATGGGGGTTGAAGGGATGTGGGAGCCAGTGGATGCTCCCTCTGAGAGTCACTTTTGAGACACACCACATTCGTTTCAGAGAGCCTGGGACAGATCAAGGCCTCTTGCTGTGACAGTGACAATGTAAGGATGCAATCTCATATTGCCTTTCCTTCCTTCTTTGTTTCATAACCTCCAGTCCCTAAAACAACCACACTGCATGCAAGGCCTTGCCCCGGGTGCTGTTTTCCAGGGAGGCACGGGCTAAGACAAGCTGTGCTCCGATTTGTTTGTAAAGCATCTCCTGGGCTGCTGGGTGGAGAATGGTGTGGGTTCCAGAAGTTTAGTAGAAGAGGCCTAATTGCCTGGCCCAAATGCCCTCTGTGTTCCAAGAAGCAGAAGCTGATGCAGGCTGGGCCCCTCTCAGGCAGCCATGGCCCCTAAGCTGCCACCAGGCGGGGTCTCCAGGGAGGCCGGGCAGAAGTTTAATGAGTCTCTTCAACCACCTTCGGTCTCTGAGACAAGCAGGTGAGAACACGGCAAGCAGGTGGCCGTCCTGAACTATGTAGTAAAGAGGGCAGGCTGGGGCTGTGTCTCAGAACCCACTGCATAGATTCCAGGGGCATCCTAGAGCAGACCTGTGGGTCACTAGGTCCCAGAGGAGAAAGGAGGCTGGTGGGCACACGGACTGGCCAAAGCGTTTCAGCAAGACACTGAGTCCAAGTCCATCTGCTTCTGCTACCCTTCTGCTCCCAGACCTGGGCAAGGCCTGGCTAGAGGAAGCTACTCCTGTCATCACCTCCCACAGCCTCAAACCAGGGTCGCTGGGGACAGTCTCAAACATGTGTGGGCTTTGTCCCCTGCACTCGAGATCCTGGCAGTCTGTTTTCCCGCCTCGAGTGGCACCCCTCAAGGACCACGGGCTCCAACTCTATCTGCTGCAGCTTTACTCTGCAGCCCTGAAGTGCTCCAACCCAGGCCGTCACATCACTGCTTCCTCCCTTCAGCCCACCCTGCACCCCAACGTCACCACCAGGAGAGATCTTTCAGGATCTCTTAGAAGAGCAGCCCATGCTATCCTTCACCCAGTTTATTTTTCTTCACTGCCCCCACTGCCTGATTTGACATAAGGGGCACATGTGCGTGCACTTTCTAAATGCTCGTCAACCCCTTCATGTGTGTTCATGAGGGCAGAGGGGCATGT